GTGAGAAATGGATATCTTACACAACTATACAACATAGCGTTTAACTCGTATTCCCTTCTTTTCATTTAATAATCATTAGTCCTGGACATGGTGAGCATAAAAAAGAAACGATAAACTTCGCTCGACCCACCCGCTGCTTCTGCTGAAAGCAGTGCGGAACACGTTCATTACATTATTTATAATTAATAATAAAGTTTCAAATTTCCATATTAAATTAAAAATTCCCATCCTCTCAATTGAATCTAAAAGATAGATGCAATTATTACTTATACAATGTATCAAATGAAATTTGTAGCCCTTCAATAGCAGTTTTTGTGACGTTTTTCTTTATTTTATGATACCCAGTGAATTTCGATTACTCAAGCGGACTACGTACTGTACTGGATATCGCTAATAAGACAGGAAAAGAAAAACGTAATCGTCACTTGTACCAAGCATTATATAGAATTTGAAGCCTTTAAACAGAGGTTTAATGGCGTCTTTTATTTTATGATATCACGTATATATCAATCGCTCTGGCAGACCAGTTATGTTGGAAAAAATGATCATCGTTGTTTGTATATGTATAGTGTTACAAGAAATTCAGAGTCCTAACGAAGGTGTAATGACGTCTTTCTTACGATATCATTTATCCGCCAGTCATAAAACAACGTAGAGGCATCGAAAAGAAAAAGGGCAAACTTTGCTTTTACTTTACGAAGCATCACGTGAAAGTTGCAGTCTTTTTTTTAACAGAGGTTTTATGACGTCTTTCTGTAATAATTATATGATAGGAAAGGAAAATGAGATTATTGAACGGAAGATTTTATGACGTATTTCTTTAATAACGAAGCTATTTTATATGCCAGTCATTAACTTAGTCCAGTGATACAGGGAATAGAAAACGTATTTATAACTTATACAATACATCGCATGAAATTTGTAGCCTTTTAATTAATAGAGAATTGATGACGTCTTTCTTCGATTTCGATATTATTGGATGCGCTAACATGTTAATATACGGAGTAGTGACAAGAATGAAATCAACTTAAATTATGATTATTATGCCGCAAACAGCCTTGATACTGATTTCTCCCTATCAGGAAAAACACCCACTATCAACAGCCACAGCAGTCAAAAACTATTAAAGTAGATGATCAAATTGCTTTCAAATGTCTTTAAGAATCTACCGTACTAATTATATAGTGCAATGGATTATCCCTATATCATCAAATAAAAAACACGATCAATACATCCTATAAATAGCTCATAGACACAGTCCTCTAATAGTTTCATTGCATAAAATTGGTAAAATTGATAACTGAGAATTGATCAATAGATTGAAAAAAAGAGTAAACAATAAGTATTCAATTTGAAAGAGCAAATTTTACCCTTCCATTGCAGTATTCTTTTCATCCCAGATTACAATTAAAGGAGTAATAGAAGATTCATATAATAATATGCAGTACTATATACGCAAAAATTACAGTGATTAGCTTGGCAGTCGATTTACTTTACCGGATTACCCTTCAAAAACTACATGTAGTTATCCTTACGGTACTATTAAAAGCTGACTTTGTCAGCATATGCATTAGCATGTTGCAAGATCAGATTTTAATCTTGCTTTATGAATTGGTTGCGTGCGGAATATTTTTAAGTGACCGCCTTCATAGTCTTTAAAATTTAAGTATAATACTCGTAGGGTAACAAGATTACATTCGAAAATGTCCATTCTAGTCAAGATTTGTTATCATATAATAAATCTTTGTTCAAGACCAGCCATACCTTTTCAATAGAATTGAACATAAGTAGCTAGGATGATACTATTTACAGCTTTCGAGGGGCCTTGCTGGTATTCTTAACATCAATTCATCATTTCTTGACTGCACGTATGTGTTATTGTAGACTTTCGATTACTTAATCCACGTGTGGTAAGGATTCTGTTAATGAAAGTTTATTTTTCTTGTTGGGCTTTAGATCATGTATAAATTTATGCACTTTCATTGGCCAATCATGCCGCAGAATTTATATTATTTTCAGTCTGACGAGTAAACCAATGCGATACTTGTAATAGCTATAAGATCGTCTGAAAGTACTACACCAGATGTCTCCCAACAAAAAAACTTGTTTATACTGATAATTGTAGCATGCTATATTAAACCCTGCTATCCAAAGAAGATTCTAGCAGTCATATACGAAATGTTATTATAGCACGATCAACGTAATGGCAGTTAGTATTTTCGGCTTGCATCCTTTATACATAACAAAAATTCTAAAATGATCCTAAAGGCAACGAATCGATCTGTTTTAATACTCGTAAAGCGCTAAACATCGTTATTATTCACGAATATTCTATCTCACGATATGATGTAGAAATTTTAATTATCGTTAGATTAATTTGTTATTTAAGGATTCACGAAAAACAATAATTCATATTTTTTATCTCGACATGGAAAGGGAGCAAGCCCATCTAACAAGCGAATCTGAATTTATTCCGGAAGTTCTTTTTGGTAATGTCGGAGATCAAATAATCACAGGCAATAATCACCACAGCTATCGTCGATTTTTTCTTAACAGCTTCGCCGTAGTTATAGGCGTTGTTGGTATTATGTTTCTTACTGCTGGGCTTATTATTTTACCGTTCTATAATGTAAAATATAACCAATCACCACATTTTGCGTATCATCTTACCTTTCTACAAACTGGAGGTGGGATGCTAGCAATTGCTAGTATAATTACGCTAACAACATTCAGTTGCAAGAAGTTAAAGACGAAAAAGAAGAAGTTATGCTCGTATAAGTCCAACTACGAAATTAATCATCAAATAAATTATCTAGTTCCGTTGGATACTGTCATAACGGCATATCCTGTTCAGATAGAAATTGTATCAGATTCTTATGATTTATACAATTGACTAAGTTGTTGACTTAATGGATTACAGACTTGCAAGACATAGCAATGAGACTATGTCATATCTTATAGATGGAAGGTAAAGTAGTAATACTTATATATGTGAATTACAGTATGCTCGTATTGGAGTAAATAGCCTATATGGCTATACCTACTCCAATGTAAAATAGACGTAGCATAATATGTAAGACTTAACGGTAAATACAGTAGAACTTTGGTGTAAAACTTTACTAGAGTGCCTTGTATCGTATCTTAAAAGTCAAATCATTATACAGTATGTCTAATCTATAAGATACAAATGGTAATAAGTAACACAGAAACATGTAAGAATATTGTTTGATCTGATTAATATTAATTGCATACAATGTTGAAAAACTGCGAATAGATTAGTTGATAACTGTAATAGGGCAATGGAATATACTTTTGCGATATAAATCTTTTTAATATGTTTGATATTTCTCTGAACTTTACGGATAAATAATGATAATATGATAAATTAGGCCTGATGTATAGTCGATCTATTAAAAGTGGATGCATATTGAAAAACGTTGAATATATATTGAAGGCAGTATCATCAAGAATAGCATCAATATATAGTATACTGTGCAATGTATATATCCGCAAATAACAAGAGGATTTGTATAGTTGGAGATATTAGATTACAGACATCGCAGATTGCCTTATGAATTTTTTAATAAGTTAAGATAGGGAGTACAGTACAGCATGTTGCACTCCTATGTTCAGTCGACATCTTGATAATTTGAGTTAAAGTTTCCAGTTTCGAAATAGCCCTTTAACTACTTTAATTTTTAATCGCTACTAAAAAGGCAGTATACTTACAACTGGCTTACTATAGCTGTTCCTGTTAGCGTAATAATTTCTACTGAGATGGTAATTTTATATGATTCTGCTAATTATAATACAACTGAATTATTATCAATGGGCTTGTTAGGTCATGTATTTAATATCATAGCTACTCTGTAGAGAGTTTATCGACTATACTTTATAAAATTGATATTGTAGCAGCAATCAACTAGATATGATCTCTTAATAAATCTGGGGTTTAAAGTATAACCTGAAAATATATTTTAAATATCCCATTGTCTGTGGGCTATATTGTACTTCCATGGCGATAATTTTAAGCTAACCTTGTATCATATTAGCGCATAATATTAATCATGCAAGAATGAAGAAAATCGCTATTATTTATTAACCACAAAACCTTAGAGGTAAATTAGCAGCCAATAACCATTATTTAAACTTTCTTATTCAGTTTTTAAGTACTTATAAACTGGATGACTGGATCGTAGGTTGCTTACGTCAGTGTGATTTCTTTATATGTTATTATTATGTTGATAATCATGTCCTCAAAGTGATACTTATACTCAAGAATAATAAACATTGTTACTTAGCCGTAAGTGGTTTTATTGATATATCTGCTCTGGAAACGAAAACTTAGGGCTAATATGTTAGCAGCATTGTCAGGAATATTTATAGATAAGTATATGATTTTAATAAAACATAGGCATTAGCGACTATAGATAATACTAGCACCAAGCTATAATCGCAACGTAATTATATAATAAATCGAAATGTTGAATCTTCTTTGTGAAAAATGTGTAATCTTTTTATAGCAGGATGTAGTTACTATTTTAATAACAAAACCTCATTGAGTTTGCAAACTATACATACAAAACTACTCAAGAGATTGAAGCCTTTATGAGCGGCCATAAAAATTGTATTCGAAATCAATAACTATTATTAGAACCATCTTAAAATGTTCACTATACAGAATTTTAAATATATTCACAGGCGTAAGCGCACCGAAAGTAAAAAGTCCTATAGAAACCTTACAATAAGAAATAGATATTCTTAATATTAATTTCTTTAAACCGTATTTACTTGTAAACCCGTAAAACAAATCGAGTAAATATTATATTGAACAAGCAAATTACAAATAAGGTAGATATCTACACAAAATAATAGATATACCGGAAAAGGTATGGCATAATTTTTTCGATGTTATGAATCTGAATTTATCAACGCAATCTCCAATTTATATGCGCTAAATCTAAATATGATGTTATGTACATATCTTGCTTTATAGGAGATCAAATGGGTAATTGAACAGAATTTCGTTTCCCTTTTTTGGTATAGCAATTAAAATGATAAACCTGTAATGAAATACAATAATAAGTATTACAATTTTATCTACGATTACGTTAAATGGTTATTCTTTCTATGAAAATAATCATTACTTGATTTTTATCTTTGATGCATCGTATTCCCTCAGCTTGGTTTAGAGAACCCTGAATAACGTCATAGCATACTGGACATCTGATATCAATTTTATAGATAAAACAAAATCATTTCTATTAGCTTCAGAGGTTAGATATGATATTTTAACTTTGTTACTAAAAAGTTATTTTCGTTTCTCATTAAATCAAACAAAAATCGTAAAATATTAATCACGATTCGACTCTCAATTGCAATTAACATACTACAATTGTTATGTATTAAGAAATAGCTCAATTTTGATGAGATTACGATAGTCTTAGCTAATCAATATCATCTATGTTGATAAATATTTACAAGTATGTATGATCTTATGATACATGAGCAGTACTCGTATGTGCGTCTATTATGGTGTTTTATAAATTGAACTACAGTGGTGCCTGAACTTTTAGATAGAAATAATCGTAAGCAAATTTATTCTACTCGTATATCTGGTAGTTGTTTACCTAGGACCGCTGTAATCTTCGTAGCATTCTACATGATACCAGGCGTTGTTAAATTTTGCCAGTATTCCACTAAATTTCTGAAATTTACAAGAGTCATTACAAAAAAGAAGAAGTTACTTCAAGAAGTAATATGATAGACATATAGATATATATTACGCTAATATGTAATATAAAATCTGTATCACAATCGCTAGTATTAGGTCAGTATCTAAATAATGATCACTGTTGATGTTGCCAATATGATTTCTATTACAGTAGAGGGTAATCGTAATGTAATCCCTTACATTAACTATTTTTCGCTACACTAATTTTAACTTGATTGCGGGTTGTAATTGGTTACCTTATCATGCTGACGAACTAGTTCCAGGTGACAATGCTTGCATTTTGGTGCTAAATATCATAAGTCATAATAATAATGAGATAATTTTTAGGTAGAGTTATTAGAAATTGATTATATGATTACATTATTGCAGCAACAAATATTTAATATAACGATAGAGACATAATCTAAAACTAACAGATTAATTTCCAATAGCATTCCATATGATATTTTTTCCCGTCATCATCTTTACAAGCATATCCAGTGTATCTTGTACCGTTAAAAATTGTAATCATTTTACAACATGAGGAACACCTAAAATAGATTAATTTAAAAAAGGATTCGAATTTACTGTACGATCTTGTGAAAGTATGTGTACATACTTAATAGACAGTGAATCTGTGATAGCATTTCTTAATTTTGATAACTTAGCGATTAAAAGTTGGCTATAGTTCAAACCTGACGCTTTCTTTATCACTTAAATCACAGATAGGCAAATTGCTTGGTAATATTCCCTGCGGTTGAATAATATGTTACAGCGTTTATTCCATGTAGATGCATTACGCTTGAATAAAATTTACCATAAAGGTTATTGTATTTTAATCGGATGCAAATCATTTCCTTAATTTTTACGTAGACTATCTTGAAAGTTTACGATTCTTTCTAATTATTCATTGCGTCTCTCAATAATGAAGCTAAGCAATTAAGATGATAACTAAGCAATAATATATAATTAGTTTATTGAATAATGTACACCCGGTAATCCCATATAAGCTTAATAGAATTACTTTTTTCTATAAGAAATGGAGTAAATTTAAGAAGACGAAGGACTAGGGCGAAATCAAAATTTTCGATATCAATAAAAGGATATTTTTGTAATTAAATGATAAAACATATGTGCAAGTTTTTGTGATTTATATCGCCTAATTACTAAAATGAACTCTAGCTGGGACGTTATGACATTGGATAAGTCAGCAATAAGGCATGCAAAAAGCATCTAGAAAAAGTAATATTTACTTACATGAGCATCTTCTGTTCTGACATACTCCACAATACTAGTAACGACGATAGCAGCACCGTGTTTCTCGACATTTTCATCTGATCAGTTAAATATAAATTTTGACATTTAGTTGACCTTATGGTTTTTTAGTAATAAATATATTCTAAGTAACATTGATTTAAGATTTTAGTTTTATCTTTGCAAAGTATTAAGTGAAGGTGATAAGAAATAGAAGAATAGTCTACAAGTAAAACAAAAGTAATATTTTGAGTGATATACCAACTTACAGCTAGGAGGACTATTCTCATTGACATGATTATTATCACCATATGGTAAGCTGGCCTTGCACTTCTCATAGCTTGGTTCTAACTCAACTTCTTCTAAAGGATGCAAAGAGCATGGGATAATATTACTTACAATCAATGTAGTCTTTTTATTTAATAAAATAGATCCAGTGTTTCTATGCCCTGCAGATTTACTTCATGAGAGAAATCTGCCATGTCAATAATTGATTTGTACTAACCTATGTAACTTAGTTTTACATCAGGTTGGATATCAGTATGGACTTCTGATATTGCTGACGTCTTTGTAGGTGTAGTAGGTGTGGAGGAGTCGATAATTGCATTTTGAAATCTGACATATTTTTAATTTATCGGTAGTCCAAGGCGAAAAAAATTATAAAGTAACAGTTAGGTGATTAGAAAATACGTGGTTCTAGGATGATAAGGAAAGAACTGCTAAAGCATTTTATAAAGAGATCGTATAATTGATGTCTTGGACTAGTATACTGCACATTACAGAGCTTTCAGATGAAGGAAAGAAGATGAGAAAGATTAGAGACAATAGCCGTACCTTAATTCTTTATCAATTTGATTCTGAAGAATGTAAGACTGCTTCTCTCTATAGTTTAAACAAGCAATGAAACGTTAATACGCTATGCTTTCATTATAATTGTAACAATAATTAAAGGAAATCAATATTTCTAATGAAAGCTAACACATAAATTATCTAAACATTTAATTCTGTGAAGAGCCATAGCATTTCTGGCTGGTGTATAGTATAGTATACACGGTGTATGCAAGTCAATATGTATGGCTGGATGAGGATACGTGAATCGAATCGTATCTATACAAACCTTTCTTGACGTTGGACTTCAAATGTTTGTAACAAGGCTAGATCTTCTTGAATTCTTTGTCGACGATTACTCTCATGTAATTGAAAAGTTCTCTGCCATAATGGCAAAACTTGAATACCGTGGTCACACGAATCGGATGAAATAATAACCGAGTCGTCATCTTGATTTAAGAGAACAATCATTATCATTAGTAAACATGCTATTTGAGTATAATACGTATAGGTGCTTCTTATTAGGCAAACAGTCCATCTTATTAAAATGGAGTCTAATCGCTTGTTACTATAATTTATGCAAGTCTCTTAACAACAGCTTTGGCCAATACAACATTCCATTTGACGATTGTCAAGAAGGGTTTATTCCTTATACATACATGAATTATTACCAAAATGTAGTCCTGTCAAGAAGGGTTTGTCCTTTGTACATATATTCATTATTAGCAAAATGTAGTCCTGTCTAGAAAGTCTTGTTTTTTCAAAATGATTTATTCTACCATGACTACTTTCGGTGTTTGTATTACTCGATTGATTTTATGTAATTAGTTAGCATGAGGAATAACTATTATGGCCGTGATGTACTGTAGAACGTCCATCAGGTACAACAGTAAGTGCGTCGTCAAGACCGTTGATGGTCTGGTATGTTTGTATATTGTCCATACGTCTAGGACCTATACCAGTACAGAAGCCATTACCCACAAATTTGATCAATTATTTCGATCCATTTCATAACTAGTTGAATAGATTAAGTAACATCGGCTGGAAAGAGTTTGTTTTCATTGAAAATCTACTTCATCCTGTGAGAATATTTTTACTACAGCCCAAAATGAACATGCCATTGCACAAGAAAACGCTGGTTTTCGTTGGACTATTTTGGATATTGGGCGTCAGCCCGTAATCCATCTTCGTATATTACGTACGTATTGATTTACCTGAACATTGGGTTGCCATGCCGTTTTGGACAAGTTGATTGGTAACAAGCAAATGGTAGACTAATTATTAGAAACTAAAACGCCGAATGGTTTGGATGCCAGTTAAATGGGAGAGGAGATGCCTACGCCCAGGGATTGTCATGGTAATTATCTGATTGTTAACCCTGAAGGACGTCAACCATGTTTGTTCATTTTTAGAATCTGCCCTACAGTGTACAGTACAATAACGGTGGTACAATACTGTAGGCATACAGTAGTACAGTACTGTACTACTGTATCACTACTGTACTATACAGTACACAGTATCATACAATCTGTATGGTATTGTACTGTACACTCATGAACTACAGTACAAGCAAAGCAAAATGGATTTTGTGTAGCTCCACGTCGTGACGTAACTGCTTGAAGCTATTTTGGGAAGCCTGAGAATGAACAATGGAACAGTCAAAGATGGCTCGTATTGGCTAATGGGATCAATCACGTGGTAAACATGGTGACGTAGTGGGCAGCTGGCTGCTGTACAGTAAACAACTTCTCGGCCTAGTGGGGCTAGTGACGGACCACTGGAAGAAAATGGACTACTGTAGAAGAATGCTTCTTCTAGTGGTCCATGGAACATGAATTGACCACCATAGTACAGTAAATAGATAGAACAAATACTACCATTCTCTTGATTTAAAAGTCCGTGATGTAGGGATACGCAAAAAGTAGTTTATTGCATGCAGTAATCCGTCCGTGCCGGGCGTAAAGAACTTGCCTTAAAGTTTACCGTGAAACGCATCATTTGTGTCATTACGCGCTATAGTAACGACAGCAAGTCAAATCCTAGTCAACCGCGCTGGGATGCTTACTGTATACTGAACTAGGGACTACGACTAGATGTATTTTAGTAGTTCATGAATGTACTATAGACCTTGCCGATTTCAACTTGATGTTTGGCAATGATACAGTATGCTTGAAGATGTTTCACCATATCATTGTGAACATCAAGTTAAAATCGAAAAGGTTTATTACAGAGTACTGCTGTTCTGCAACTGTTATACTGTACTTGCGGGTTGCGTCTTGCCATGCAGTCATCTGCCCACTACAGTAACTGTAGTAACGTTGGGATTGAGTTAGAAAAGAGAAAGCTTGGAGCATGCGAAATTTCTCTTTTTTTAACCTCTATGAAGTACTCATAGAAGATAGGCCTTCTTCTACCAGTAGTTTATAGAGATACACTGAGTCATCAAAACGTAAAAGCATCTTGTCTTATGCCTCTCATCTCCGAAGCGTAATCCATCATAGACGTTAATCAGGCAGTCCCGTCCCGTAGTCCCGCTGTCCCGCAGTCAATCATGGCTACAACGCTTAGCTAGTTGATTTGCAAACACCGCACTGTTCGCAGTAGGATATCTTCTAGTGTGCTCCAGTACTGGATACTCGTGTTGTCAATTTCACACCTTTGCACTCCTACACTACCGAAGAGGCAGAACTAGCTCATCAGCTTATTGCGTTGGCGAAAGAAGAGCAGCAGTGGCAAGGTATCGAGCAAATGGATCACGCAAGATATGCAACACCTTTAAGTACTCGCTACAGCAGCGAGGAAATGTCGCAAAATTTTTCAGATCAAAATAAATTTTCACAATGGCGCAAGTTGTGGTGGTTTTTAGCTCGTGCACAACAGGTTCGTGTAGGACTCAGACTACCATTAGCAATACAGTAGTAGGAAATGGTGTACAGTATGATTGTCGAGGTCTAGTATACAGTACAGTCTATCTTGATTTCTTGATAGCAAGAGCTCTGTAAACGATGCCGAAATGAAGACCGATAGGCTATCATGCAAATCTGCGAGGTCTTGATGCTGGAAATGTTTTTTGGAGAAAGAGTCCATCGTTGTACATGATGTTCAACATTGAATTCCATCGATTACTAGACTATAGGTGGCATATTCTTCCTATTGGATGCACTCTTCTACTATTCTATTGACGGCATATCAACCAAAATAATAATCTTATAATATAGTTTCCACTCTACAGTACTGTACAATGTACATGAGCAAGCGAATAGTACTACGCTACTCTCCCGATGAACAAACAGCTTTGCTGTACACAATTATTATTATTAATCGATAGCAAAACGTTACCATCTTAACCTAGATTATAGACTATAAATCTATAAAAGCATCGTCATCAGCTATAGCTCGATACGATGATCATTTCAATGAGAAAAGTATTCATACGAGTATATTTCCTGTATTGCGTAGAATGATTCATCTAATTTAACAACATTATTCAAGTAGAAATTAAAGTTGCTCTATCTCCAACATACGATATCTACAGGATGAGTTTTCTTATTGATGATAAATAAAATTATTGTAATCGATGCGTATTTGTTATTATTTCTTATCTTAGCAATTGGGTTTAGATATCACTGATGAACAATTACAGCAGATGGAAGAAAATATCAATCATATTGATTTTGAATTAGCTCAGAAGGAAGAGAATAAATATAGGCATGATGTAATGGCTCATGTTCACACATTTGCTGCATGTTGCCCTAAAGCTGCTGGTATCATTCACCTTGGAGCAACATCATGTTATGTGACAGATAATGCGGTAGGTTAACAGAAGTAGCTCATCAGCTTTAGCGGATGGATGCATTTTCTAGCTAGTTAGACCAAGCTTCAGTCTTGTGCACTAGATTTTACATACACTTGTATTACATGTTGTTCAAAGTCTCTATAATCGATTGAATTGAAGGTATAACTGATCCTATTTTTTAAACGCGAATACTGTAGCTGAATGTAAATAGCTTGGAGTTTAATTCTAACAACGATGTACATTCCAAGCAATCTATTCTTATTATAAGCACATACATCGAATTGAATATCTCAAAGTAATCATTGAAAATTTTTTTCCGTAACTGTCACACAGCGAAGTAATTGTTAGTATTGCCACTTCTGTAGTATTATTGTATATTTTATTGGATATGCTCAGCAGTTTTTACAAACGATTCCGTGATTCAGTTATATAGGGAGTAAAGTATATAATATCGTACTATCTACCCTATTCGACCCAATGATTATAGCCAATTAATTATTAATCGTTTATAACTAAAACATCATTACTTGTATCTAGTTCTGAAATAATTTTGATAGACTTTGATGCACATAGAATGGATATATTATACAGTATAAATCTATATGTCGTGTATGCAATCAATGATAGTTTGTCTAAGTTTCAATTTATAAGCTTATAGAACAATTATTAATGTCTAGTCTACAAGTATGGATAACTCAGATTTTCATTTTGATGGTTTGCTATAATCAATTTTTTGTTCATTCTGATAGGACCTAATTATTGTACGTAATGCGCTGGATATTATCCTACCCAAGGTAATAATACGTAGATACCATAAATTTTTGCATACTCTAATTCATTTTAAAAGTTTGAATTCCAGTCGTTGCAGTAAAGATATTAATCTCAACGTTTTTCGGTAATATCAGCTTGCAAGATGTATCGACCGTCTAGCAAAGTTTGCAAAAGAATATAAAGATTTACCTGTGCTTGGATTTACCCACTTACAGTAAGAGTAATGATCACATACGATAAAGTAACCAATTAAAGATTGTGCATTTTTACGTATGCCTCTATTACTACATGTTGTGTGCATATTTAGCCATACACATATTGCTTGTATGGAGAGTTGATTGAAAATAATAATGATTGCTAAATATTTTGAAAGCTAATAGCTCAGTTCTTAACAAGTGATAAATTATTCTGCTTTAATAGACCGGCTCAACTGACCACACTTGGAAAACGTGCAACGTTATGGATTTTCGATCTCCTTATGGATTTACGCAATTTAACTCGAACAAGAAATGAATTAAGATTTCGTGGAGTGAAAGGTACGACTGGCACTCAAGCTAGCTTCTTAGCTTTATTCAACAACGATCATGAAAAGGTAAATTATGACAACATGAAGACTAATTGCCATTTCTTAGATTTGCGAGTACTTAAATAGTCTATATTACAGAAGTATTTTTATATAAATTTGATATGTGTAGGTTAAAAAATTAGACAGACTTGTAACTGAAATGGCAGGATTTCAATCGTGAGTAAGGATTATTAAATAAGCTATTGTAAGAAACTAGTATAGGGTAATCCGAAAGCAGATTCTTTCAAAATTGATATAGATGTTAACTTTATTGAATTATTCTACTCACTTTGGAGGGCTTATATCGTGACTGGACAGACTTATAGTCGGAAGGTAGACTTAGATATTTTAAATGCCGTCAGTGGTTTAGGAGCTTCCATGCATAAGGTATTCCATTTACCGTAGTAGCTTCATCATTTAATAATTAATTTATTTCCAAAATTAAATAAATAATGCATAAATTATAATTTGATGGCATAGATTGCGACCGATGTTCGATTACTGGCCAATATGAAGCAATTAGAAGAACCATTTGAAACAAGTCAAATTGGTAATGTTGTTTATTAATTTTTTCGTTTTAAATAGAATTCAATGCTTGTTAAACATTATTTGTATTTCGTTATAACATTTGGTATCAGGTTCAAGTGCTATGCCATATAAACGTAATCCGATGCGTTGTGAGCGTGCGTGTGCATTAGCTAGGCATTTAATGACCTTAGTATCAAATGCTCAACAAACTGCTGCTGTACAATGGCTCGAAAGAACTCTCGATGACAGTGCTAACAGACGTATAACTCTCACTGAAGCATTTCTTACAGCTGATGGTGTACTACGGACGATGCAAAATGTATTTGAAGGCTTAGTAGTTTATCCCAAGGTATTTTCATCTTAAGAATCGAATTAATTATTTTTTAGTTTTTACTGCTAATAAATATAAAATACTACAGGTTATCAATAAGCAGATTATACAAGAATTGCCTTTTATGGCTACGGAAAATATTATCATGGCGATGGTCAAAGCTGGAGCTAATCGACAGGTTTGTTGCGTTGTTAGAAATATAACAAATTACTTGATGATGTCATGTATATTTAGCTGCTACTTTGTAAAAATTAGTATTTATCTGGATTTGCAATAACCTACATTATTGTTAGGAATGTCACGAGAAATTACGAGTATTATCACACCAAGCTGGCCATGTTGTTAAAATGGAAGGGGGTAGCAATGATTTGGTAGAAAGAATTCAATCAAGTGATTATTTTATACCTATCCACTCTACACTTAATGATTTACTTAATCCAGAATTGTTCATTGGTAGAGCGCCTGAGCAGGTTAAAACTGAGGAATATCTTTTATCAGGCGATAAAAACATTTGAATAACAGTGTAATTAATTTGGTAATATTCTATCTTGTAGGTTGATGAATTTCTAAATGTCGAAGTATACCCCGCAATAAAGCGCTTTGAACTACAGCTTGCAGAAGCATCGGTCTTGATTGTCTAAATGGTCATATCTATTGTACCTTTAAAGAAAATAGCAATTTAATACTATATTTCTTTGCATTATACTTTGTATCTATAACTTTCTAATTTATTATACTACCATACTATTAGCAATAAAACGTTACCTCTTAATGCGACTTTGATAAAAATGTTCATGTGTTTATTTTAGTGAATGTCTTAATTGTATTATTACATTTTGAAGCTGCAACAAGTTTTTCAACACTGACATATAAATAAAATTTTATTAAAGAGATTTGGAAATGTTAAGTCCCTGCAATACATAGAAATTCGATGAAACTCTAGATTAATCGCGATGTTAGAAATGCTTCCTTTTCACTGTCACCAAACAAACGGAGAACGCTCACGAAGGATTTGAATTCTATACTTATTCCACTCTTCAGGAGAGATCCATAGTTCTTGAGCACTATCTAAACAACTAAGTACAGCAGCTCCTTTCCAGGCGACAACGCCAGGATCCATATCCTAAAATGATGACAATAAATCAAATTGTCACTAAGATCATGCGCGCTTTATAAGCAAAAAAGGCAATTACTGTATAAATAGGTTATCTTACTCGGACTTTTCCAGTTACGTCAATTTGTTCAGCGTATTTTTTTAGACCTGTAGGTAACTTAGATCGAATACGAGCTTGCAGAAAAAATGCTGCATTGTCAAACATAAACCCTTTACCAACTAGTAAAATGGATGACAGAGCTTTCTTCTTCAATTCATCGGTAGCTAATGAACATTGAAATTTCGAAAGTGTAAGTTATACAGATATATTACTAATCGAAAATATTATCGTATTGAGAATACAGCTTACGGCAGCTATCTATGCTATATACAATGGCTTGGTCAATTGAAACTATATTCTTATCACTCAAATTATTGGATAACGAGTTAGCAGTTTGAGGAGTTTCGGGAGTTGGAGTAGCTGAATTTGACTGATTCGCTGATGACGATTTTGGTCCTACTTTTCCGCTTTGGGACTGAGTACTCTATAAGTACCAGGAAATATAAAGCGTTGCTTACTTTAAGGCACGATCAATAAAACAGATTATGAATGTCGTGGTCAAAATAAATTTACGCGATAGATAATCTATGACATTATTGATAACCTCTAGTAAACTAGGATCATCCATGATATCTTCACTATCAAATGGTACTGATGGTTGGGTTGTTATAATATCCTCGTCAATTATTCCCATTAACGATGGATAAAATAAGGCCTATAGATAACAGAAAATGAAAGAGACTAAGAATAAAAGAACATTGTTTTCTTAGATTTGACTAGAAATTATTTTTTATTCTTTACGTCATACTTACTAATGGTGCCTGCAATAATTCATCGCCCAACCGGATAGAGTAATGTAACTCATCACAATCGGGTTTAGCAACAATAAAATCATGAATAGCTCCGCCTGGAATTGTCTAGAAAAACAGATCAGCAGGTTTCATACAGTTTATGGATCGTATACATTACATATATTATAGATCAACGGATTTCATACAGTTTATTATGCGTATTCATATATTATATTAGCAGTATATTTAAATGTATTTTCGGTTAGAAGTACACCAGCACAAATTTTAAATGATTGAAATAATGATTATTACCGGGTCTAAGTGACATAAATCTTCTTTTAGGTGCTTTATTAATATTAAATCTAAATGATTGTAAGGACTGAGGTCTCGGTAAGGGAAATAGATCTAGAAAAGGTTAAAATATATGTAAGACGAATCTCCTATTATAACTGTTCCCCGAGAAAATATCTATATGACGTAAAGATTTCTACCTTATCCAATAGATAGTAGAAACACCGGGTTATATCTTTACCACCGTAACTAATCCTTAACCTGTTAATGAAACGTTGCTAACATTAACAAATGTATTAATACCTAGCTATAACTTTTTAAATCTTTTCAACAATATTTAATCGCGAAACCTAGTTTCAGGAATAGATATTCCATCATCGATACAACAGATACTAGCTTTTTGATCTCCTATATCTACTACACAGGCACTCGGAAAACCAGCTCCAAAGGAGGCGGCAACAGATTCCTTTTAATACAGCAATATATATTACATTGAGCATATATTAGGATTGCCGGACATGCCAATAGTACGAATCTTACTTGATAAAGAAACATTCCAGAAAATCCCAGGGTATTTAGCAACAAATCAGCATAGTGTTTAAATAAGCTTCTGTCATAAATATCAGGTATTAAAACTAAAGCTTTGTAATTCTAGAAAGGAAAAACAGGCATTCCTTTTCTTAGTCATGAATATAGCAGTAAAGGTTTACTTAATTTATGAAGGTTATCGAGTTTAAAACAGCAGCAATATAATACAAAGTAATACGGAATAATTATTACCTCAAAATCCGTTGCTGGAATATCCAAATAACCTTCTATAGCCGCTTTCCAAATATCAGCCAAGTCAGAAAATATAGCGGTAACAGAACCACTAATTCCCTTATGTCTATTAATTTGTCCAAATTTTATTGGCCAAAACAGTTCATACGGCTCACTTTCTTCAATATATAGTGCCTAATCCGCATCATGTTCAAAATGCAAATTATCAATTTTGGCTTTACGATGGTCACTATAGCAGAATCTTATGAAGCAGTTGTCGTACGGTACAATAAGTATTTGATCTGTTTATTTTGCATGTATCACATTATATATATATATAGGAATTAATTAATCATCATCGAACCTTTTTCTGCATGGGTATAGTACTGACTAAAGTGGTAATTATTTTATCAAGTTTTCAGTAGGGCTCAGTAATTCTATTAACGTAATTTACTAACCGCAGGACCAACAACAAAATCTGGTTGATCGTTAACATCATTCCATGTTAATAACTTTTCAGGATCCTGAGCAACCATTTCACACTTGACATTTTTATTATGTGTAAGGATCTATATATTTAAAGGATGATTCGAATAACGTTATTGCATATAATTGCTATTGTAAGTCAATGAACGTTAACCTTATATATTCGTTTAATCGTCAAGTAAATCTGCATACAAGAGTTTTTAAATGAGAAATTTAATCTAGACTCCAGTAGTCTATCCTCTTTTAAAGCATTACCGAACTGACTGTATAGTGTTGCGATTTTATTCCATAATTTGATCTATGCGAGCGCAAGGCGTGATTTATGTTAGCTAATGCAGCCTCCATCAGATGGTTGCTTTCAGTATCCTAAAGTTGATAATAGATGACCTTGAGTTAATATGTATGAAGAATTTTTCAAATATAGTGGGTCACTAGTATAGTTCAATATATTAATTATTGAAGTAGAGAAGATCAATGGTTATTATTTAGATCTAAAAAATGCATCAATAGCGTTACTGTACATATCAATTTCAAATGGCTAGCATGAACAGCACCGAATAGTAAATATACATTTACGTGCTGATTCTGATCAAGCAGTATTGCCTCCTTCTAATTATCTCAGTACGAATTACTGCAGATATCAAATTTTTCTACATAGTATCCATCAAGTGTTAATAATTCTATTTATGTTGAGGAATATTTACTTCTTGACTAACAACAAGCTTATTTTGGATTACTTTCACGTGGGTTATAATACTACCTTTATCTAATTATTTATCCTTTAACATCACTATTTTACAAGCCAATTCTTATCCGTTGCTAACCTTATAGCCATCGCGTCGGAAGTGATTCTTTCTACTTCGTTTTAACTTCTTATTCTTACATCGACGTGCAATTACATGAGGAATAGTAATGGGTTGATGATGAGATGCTAAGCCAATTCTTAAATTTAAGGAGCCTGGATGGATTACGATAATGGTTTGAGCGGAGATAGTGGGCACCTGCGATAGTTTACATATATAAAAAAGCAATCATATGAAAAATCTGCAGCGATTTAAGTCAATTCGATCTGTTATAAAATAATATGGATTATCACGTCTAAAAATTGGATAGAATTAAATTTAATCCGATTCAAATGATGAAATTTTAGACCTCATTAACAGTCTCCTCTTCCTGCACTGCAGCCATTTTCCTAGTCTAGCTGAAGCGACGATAGACGATGAAAAGTGGTGTGCAAAACACTCTGTCACATCTTTATTTACGCGATTCTAGTTTTGACTGGATTAAATAGAAAGCAGACCAGGCTAAGAGGTGACAGCTCATTTTGCACACTGTTGCTTCGCATAACACTGTGGTTACGCTTGTGCACCGTACCGTTAGAAAATGCAATAATATACGGACGTCCGTACGTCTGTTCCTTATCCGGAATTTCAATGTTATAAGACTGGTCCAAGCCAGTATATGGTATACAGTATTACCAAGTTACTCAAGTTGCAACGAACGATATACGACTTAGTATGAAACATTCGGAACGGTCATGACGGTGACATTTAGCGAAAGCTCATTTTAATCTGTATATTCGAATAGATTAATAGCTAGTTCATTTAGATCAAATTAGAGTTACTAGAAGTATTATTCACTATCATTAGCTCTGGAAAACGAGCAAAAAGGCAAGTTTACTCTTTACAATACAGAAATTTTCGACTCAAAAGTATTACGATTGGCTGTGCAGTCTGCAGTCTATAAATATGGCGATTGGAACACAATCAATTATAGGACTTTGGTGCCGATATACTTCATACTACAAAGAGTAAAGTGCTTACCTTTATGTTTTACATGAATAGTAATATTAAATAATATATATAGTGTCTATAAGCTGGTCTAAAATAACTCACTGTTAATATATTCCGATATATATGAAAATTGCGACATTGAGCTAAAATAAAAAACTTTACAATGTCAGTATATTCATACGTTGCGTTATATCATTAGGTACTGTTTGGTACCGTATACTTATTTTGACACGAAACAGCGATGCAAAGGAACTTGTTACGTCATCCTGGGCGAAAGATGCTCTTACGGTCGAGTAAAATAGACTGTCACCCTGTGCCAATTTATTCGCAGTCTATTTCTATCGAAGGAGAACGTCGTAGGGTGACAATCTATTTTGCACAACCACTCTACTTTAAGAAATTGTATGGGATAGGTTGGTCACCGGGTTGCCCCAGTGTCACATGTCCGCGATTAAAATGGCTAAATGCAGCACCATCAAATCGAGTTGAGTTGAGTTGGATTTGCAGGCTAAATTGAGCTATCAGAGTCGATCTAAAGCTACCAAGATGCGAATATTAACGGCACTAGTACGAAATGCATTCAAGAAAGTATTTTTAGGTAATCTAGGGGATTGCAGTAGCCTGAATAATTATTATCAATTGAGTAAGTTAGTAGCTGGTAGGAATATGCATGTTGCTGCAGTCAATTGGGTAATTGCTGATGAATATGGCCGTCCTAAGAAATCACGCGTAGATCCAAAGGAAGAGGTATAGATTCGCTGTAATATCATTCGACTTGATCCCGATGATGTTATATGGTTTGCCTAAGTTTGAATTCAAATTCATAAATTTGCACAGTACAGTAAAAGCTAAATTCGCTACCACTCATTGTAATGCTGCAATAGAATAATACGAATGAAGCACCTGCTGTAAATGAATTTGCCTGTGCAATATTCTATATCTATCTTCAATAGTATTCTTGACTTACCTATACAGATGTTTATTGCATATTTCTTTCATTCATAATCTTATTGTACTCTCTTCTCTTTTGTAACATGATGATATACTCATAAAGAGAAAAATTTTGATGGAAGATTACGAATACGATTCGCTTCATAAAGTACCTAATAGTAATAAGTTATTACCAAGTTTAATCAGGAAAACTGCAAAACAAAAACTTCGAATGTATGTTGCACAATATATCGGATTTATGGTGGAATTGAACAGGAACCACAAGGTAATATACCAGTTTGCATGATTTGACTATGACAAGTATAATGATAGTAGGCGAAGCTGAAGGAATTTCCATACAACTTGTATGATACAAGACTCTTAATGTACAATACAACAAAACTGCTACTACATCGAGTAATTTAATGGATAACATATGTAGTAGCTAAGTGAGCTGATCACGATATTGCACGCTACCAATTGGGCTATCACTAATAATGAAATTAACTTGATGAGTAGAACTAAAATTGGATTCTATTTTCACCTTTGTAGTTAGATAAAGCCATGAATATATTGGACAAATTCAATCAAGGCAAAATGAAAACCAAATCGAATTCGGTCATGTATAACGTCATGATTTCGGCCTATGGTAAACATGGTGCACCAAATACAGCCTTTAAATTATATAATCAGGTAAATGATGACGAATGATTTGTTATGCTAAGTATTTCTATGAATGGCATGATGTTCTCAATGTATAAAAATCTGTAGATGAAAAAACGTGGATTACAACCGACTGATAGGACATTTACCAGCTTATTTAGTGCATGTGCATGTGCTTCTACACCTTCTGCACACTTAAAGCGTGTTTATAATCTAAAAAATGAAATGGAATCAACCGAAGATGTGTCTAATGCAATTACGTATAATGCACTGATACAAGCATTAGTTGAATGCGAAGCTGAACCTGAAGAACCATTTGAAGCTTATAATACTATGCTGGATAAAAACTTCGCTGCAGATACTTACACTTATTGTTATTTATTAAAAGCGTGTAGTAGAGATAAAGTCAAGGGAATAACTAGAGCATTACAATTGTGGGAAGAGATGTACCAGAAAAATGTTGATTATAATATTTATTCATACAACATGATGTTATTAGTGCTTCGAGATTGTGATTTACCACCCGAACAAGATGGCATAGAGAGTAAAATTGACATTTTAGGTGGTTTAGAGACATTTTTAGAAAAATTATCCGAACTGAAAATTAAGCCAAATATAACAACATTCGATCTATTATCATATATTGTCCCGTATCAGCAAATTGGTGATTTAATTAAATATACCAGGGCAAATAAAATTACTCTTGATGTAGCATTTATGAATTCATTGCTTAGACGACAAGTACTTGAAGGCAAGCTTTCACATGCAAAGGTAAGTCGCTAATATTATAATTCGAACCGTAGCACGATAGTATCATATTTCTAATAAGTTGTACTTTTTGTGTACTTATATGAAATAATGAGTTATTTAACTTCGACATGTTGTATAGACTCTTTTTAAAATCTTGCTAACAACCGGTGTTGAACCAGATCTGAAAACTTACCAGGTGCTTGCGTCATGTTGTCAAAGTAAAGATCAAGGTTTAAAGATGCTCAAGGACATGAAAGTAAGATTTTGCAGCGTCTTAGACAGCTTTTTGCTCTTAGATTATAGTAGTTGTTCAAGAGCGATGCAGCTACTGACTTCTTGTAATTATTAATAAGGTAATAGATATTTTTCGGTGTTTTTGCAATTTATCACATGCCTCTATCCAGGTTGCGGGACTTAACCCAAATAGTTTCATCTACGGTACGCTGTTAAAGACTGCCGTTAATAACTACGATTTCAAACTTGTTGTCGGAGTAATGGAGGTAATCACAAATAATCGCAACATAATTTTATTGCATTTTACTTTCCAATAAATAACTTCATATAAACTATTTTACTTGTATCTTTAATTACACGATACATATTTACTGTAGCCTTGTGTAGCTTGCTAAAACATAAATGGCATTATTTTTGTAGTACATGCTTGAAGACGGCGCATATCCTAATGAGATTATTATGGATATTCTCCAAACCGCTCTCAGAAAGGTGAAATTCAATGATATTCACGTTTGCTTTTAGTGTATGGCATATTTTCATGTACCTTTTCTTAAAAATTATCTTAGTCTGGAAAAGCTTCGTCTACTAAAGTGACCAAATGGTTTCCCAAGTTTTATGCATCATGGCAGAAAAGAATAAAAGCGAATAGAGTCGAAATCGACGACAAAGTAGAAAATGCTGTATAGGATTACTTAAGTGATTTCTTAATGCCTCTTCTGCAGATATGGTCAGAAGGCAGCCCAGTACCATGACGCGTATTGTAGTGGAGATATTTTACGCAAGTATTAGGTAATAGTTATTATAAAATGTGTCTGGTAATAGCAGTAATGCCAGTGTTGATTTAATCTTAAATTAGCTTATTGGGATATTCTCACGAGTGTACAGTAAATGACAGATCTACGTATACACAATATATATATATATATATATACAACATGACTTGGAAATTGCTGCGGTATTGTGAAATTGATATAAAGTAAAAAGTAAAAGCAATTAATTTTATGATGTTATTGATGTTAGTGGACATCACGTAATGATAATCTCGACTATCTGTTATAAATTCAACTTGTATTTCATGGATAGATCGTCATCGTTAGTAAGATGTCCTTTTACCGTACCCTATATACAAAAGAATAAATAAAGACTGCAAGATTTAAGTTTACAGAACTAATCAAATTTTTCGTAACATCGTATTTTATTATTGCAAAGGTTAAATTGCTTTTAAATTTTAAAAAGTCATTAAATTTGAAATAGATGTAATTTATGCAAAGTAATGATAAAATTTAAAGGTAATCAGGTATATTCTATATTTACCGCATTACCGTAGCTATGTATAACCTCAAAATTCAGCAATAAATGTTCGTATTTATAGTTTTTTATTGTATTTTATCGTTACGTCAGGATTAAGATTTCAAATAAAATTCATAGAATGTTTCATTTTTGATCTATGCTCTAGTAAATTATTACTGGTACAGTATAGCATTGTGACAATTATAATTTGGCAAGTTTTGAACGATGAATTATATCATTGGAAAGAATGCATTATTCATTCTAGCTATTTCCAACAATGTAATTATTTATGGTAGAGGAAAGGTTCATGGCTCTTTATCTCACATCAATCAAGTAAGAGTGATATTTGCTACGTATTTCCGGTAATTAAATGTCAGTGTATGGTAGTAATTCATCTATAATGTCATTTATCAGTTTGACTCGTTCTTGTAAAGTATTGGTATATTCAATCTTATTATTAATAATATGAATCTTGTGCTGTACAATTAAATCAAATAGTCATATTTTTTATTTTAGCAAAGGTATAAGTGCTTCAGCCGATATATAATGATTGTATAAATCTTGCGAGGTAATTGTACCATAATATCCAATTTAATGTTAGGGAGAAATATTTTCACCCTACAATAATTCTGCTTGTCGTATATCTCTGCCTATCTTATAATAACTCATTAGCCAATACAATATCATAGAATTTGAAATTTTTAACTGATTGCATTTGCAAATTGTTCTGAAGATTATTGAATGATATGCTTAAAATTATCTATCTATTCAAAGATAGAATAGTCCCAGTTGAAGTCATTAAGATAGTATGAAATATTTTCATAGTCAGTTAGGAAGAAGCAGAGCAAGTCATTAAGATAATGTTCGCATCAAATTGTTGATTAATTCGTAACATGGCAGCAATAAGTTGTCGAACAGTAGCTTGAGGACCTAGTTTATCTCGCCATGTTAATAAGACCGCATATTTTTGTTCATGTGTCGATCCTTGATGGTCATTTTCAATGCTAACTAAATCCGATTCGCTAAGACCAAGAGATCGTCCTAAATCCTTCCAATAATCACGGATAATTCTTGCAATTTCATTCAGTTGAAATTCGGTTAAACAGCGATCGGATATTCCTTGTTTTTGTTGCAATTGCTCTAATTGAGGTAACGGAGAATCTGTTGATATTAAGTAAAACATTGGAAAGTTAGAACTTAGTCAATAATGGTAACTATTGCAATGGAATATCATTTTAGGATGAGATAGAGGGGTATGATACTGTTATGGAATCCCAAGTAGCTATAATATAGATAAAAATTCACTCTTAATCTTATTATCTAGTGCCACACTGAATGTATAATTACGCTATTGGCAAGATAGAGTAATACTACCGGTAATTTATTAGAAAATTAACCGATATTATACTGTACATACTGGATGATGGAGGATTTTGATCGTTTTGATCTTTGGATTGATGACGAATTCTTTGCACTACTCTTTCTCTTGCTCTAGCAACATCCAGCTGACTCTGTAATGTATTACAACGTGTAAGACAATTATCTAAATCATCTTCAATACTACGACTTCGATTTTGGACCACTTCCAACTTATCAGATAATGTCGTTCTTAACGATGATAGTTGGCGTGGCTCCATGGCACCCGTTAATTCATGGAAATCTTCTAATCGTTGTAGTAATTGCAAGTTACCATGTAATGAATGTTGTTTATTGCGAGCACTATCTAATTCTAATTTTAACCCTTGCATCCTTTCATGCAAGTATTCTAAATCCTTTTCAAGCTGACCAGAACGCTGTCGTGTCCGCTCGAGTTCTTTACGCAACCATTTGACATGATTGGTTGCTCGCATTAATTGCTCGTCTGAGCTATGCATCCTTTGCATAGCTCGATTAATTTCATCTTCTAAGAAACGATTACGACAATCTGTTCGTTCTAATCGTGCTGTTGTATCTTGCAATTGCTGCTTACTTTGTTGTAATTGTTGGCGCAATTGTTGGCATTCAGTTTCAGCACGATCTCGTTCACTTTGTAAATTTTCACAAGCTTCCATAGCCGCTTTTAATTGTTTCTCTAAATGATTGCATTTCTTTTTACTGGCTTTTAATTCCTTTTCAATCTTTTTCAGTTGTTTCCTATGTTGATCATCTTGGTTAATCGATGTTACTTTAGACCGAGGTCGTAATTTTAGCCGAGATTTAGGTCGTCCACTATCGTCGGATGAATTTCGACTCTCTGCATTGACATAAGACTGTTGCAGTGGTGGTTGTTGCGATGGCAGTCGGTGTTGGTGGTTTTCTTTATCATGATGGCTAACATCGACTGGACTACCATTACTCGATGGGCTATTAACACAAGTACCTTCACTTGAATCGGAATAATCATGACAATCAGTACGTCTAGTAGTCCTATTTTGGCCAACAGGATTGTGATATTGGGATGATTTTAATAATTGTCGCCATTGCCTTGCTAATCGTAATGCTTCAAATGCTTTCTCGATTAAATCCGGTAGTAGCCTTAGGATATCATAATATTCTAGCGCTTCGTCTCTCTTAGGTAATCCTTTCCATGTCGCGCTGCAAGATGAGAAATACTTTGGTTGTATTTGGTCTGTATTGAGTAAACGATCCCAGTCTCGAACAATTTTCTCAAGTATATTTGCAATTTTAATTAATTTTCGGCCACCAACTTGGGCATCATAGAAGAAATCTAATAATGGCTGATAGATACTATGGGTAAAACGTTGTCGTAATTCTTCTATTTTACTACAAAAATCGCAAAACATTTGTAGATCTGTAGGCGATGGACAAGCTGGATTTCCTAGTACTAAACGATTGCATATGGCATTATTAGTAGATAAATGTCGGCGTTCCCATTTGGCTAATTTAATAACATCTTGAATTGAACGTATTCGGCCATAACTGCGTCGGTAGTGTGTTCTCCAACGTCTTGTTACTTTCTTCAATGATTGATGGAAACGATGAATGAATGTACATGGTATTAAATCTTGGATTTGATTATTAAAGGAAAGGCATTGTTCGGCTAGGAAAGTTTCACGAGCCATGCCAGAGACTAATTCTAATTCGTCATGCTAAATTCAATGCAAGAGAGAAAAGCGAAATATCATCAAAAAGTTTCTCCATATTCACTCTTACATTACCGCAATGAAATATTTATTTGCTAGTATATTCAATCTTTTCTAAAGTAGACTATGATAGAATAGCAAAGTCTTTCAAAATATTATCTATGGAAGTGTAAAAAGTCGACGAAAATTTTTATCTCCTATTCGTTAATGATTGATCGAGAGTCGTAAAGCTATCTCTTCTAGTATTAACGTAGTAGAATATTGAAATAACTGATCTATGCTGTCTTTTAGAATATTATTCATGAAATTGCAAAAATCGATGAAACTTTCTCATCTTCTCCTCATTTATAATTGATTAGGCAATGTATAGTTATCCCATATAGTATTAACCTAGAAGAATATTGAAATGACCGATCTATGCTGCTTCCAAAAGGAATATTGAACAGGGATCAATACTGACTACCGACAATTTTCTAGATTAAGGCATTTGTTTTCAAAAGAAATTGGTGTAAAAGAACGGAAAGATCGTCTGAGTTACTATCTAAACAATTTTTTTATCCACCTCAATGAAGAATCAATATTCGGTAATTGGACTCGGTTTTCATTATTACATTGGTTGTAAAGTAGTTCCTCTAATACTCTTTTATCCTTATAAAAGACAATTTCTTGTAATTCTAGTTTAATGTTTTAATAAGGAATGAAATAATTTCATGGTAAAATGGTTCAAAGTCATTATTTATTCTTCCTTATTGATGTCAATAAAGGATGATTTGACGTAATGAAAGATGATCAAGCAAAAATTTATGTCCATAGTATCATTCTCGTAAACTATGAATAACTTACACACATGGTATTATTAGAATCACATATCCTAAAATAAGATTCAAGAATAAAAGCGTAAAATAAATAAAAATTAGGCGGGTGCCATATTGATTTCTGGAAAATCGCTCTACTTTGCTTGGCTCAAGTGATTATTTGATTTGCTATAGATGGAAAACTTACTTATTTTTTATATTTTAGTCTGTAAGTAACAGTAGTAATGAGTTGGAAAATAAAGGCAGCATGACTTGGTTGTTTAAGGAAATGACGATCGAAATTTAGCTTAACAGAGATGAGAGAGTAAACAGAATTCTACTTGAATTAATTGGCTGCCAAGAATTTTAAGTTGATTTATGATTCCTGGCTCATTTTTAGTATTGTTATAGAATTAAAACCATAATGGCGGAAGTCTATCTCAGCAATAGATTGTTATCAATATACTACTAATTCCTCCTACTTACAGCCACTACTAAGGCTATGCGGTGAAATGACTAAGGAAAAATACTATTCTCTCCATCGTTTCGGTTGAGGGTATCTTTGCCTACTTTGGATTGCGATATTTTACTATAGCTACCCTAGCGCAATATCCAATTCATGTACGATTCCGTAGAAATCAATTAATAAATGATATGCTAATTTCTTGGCTAGAGATTAGATTGATTCATAGCAATTTGCTTACTTTATGGATTCTACTCTATTCGAGCGTTATACAGCGCGAATATGAAATTATTAAGCGCTATAAGATTGTTTAGACATGCATTAGATTCACTTTAGCATATCCGAAAACATTATAAAAAGATTACGTAAATTGATCTAACGAGGGTAATATTAGATTGATTATAGGCAATGTATGTACTGTTATGCGAATATGAAAATTTTTTAAGCGCTATAAAGTTATTTATACGGCAGATCGTGCTATACACTAATCTTGATCGGATTAGGCTTTCGTTAGCATTACTTTAGTATATTCTAGAATATTATACGTCTAAAATTACTAAATTCATTTAGTGATAATGATATACGATTGATTGTAAGCAATGGTTCTACTGTTACTCTGTCCTAGAGTTGGATAAAAATGGAAAAGTACAGGAATTGTGTATTAATTCGTTGATGAGATTTAGACTGATGGGTATTAACTTTACCTAACACTAGATAATTTGAATAATAATGTTGAATTATTCGAAACCAAACAAATTTATATACTAATTTCGTCAATCAAGATAAAGATTGATCAATTTAAGGGCAGGAAATTGTGTATCAACTTCTTTTAATTTGTCGATCGGGAATAAGATGGATCAATTTTAGGGTAAGAAATTACATATTGATTTCTTGATAAGGCTTAGACTGATAGACGATAAATGACCATTTTTTGATTGTATCCTAACACTAGGTGATATTAGTCATGTTCTGCATGATCAAAAGAAATTTATATGTTAGTTTCTAGATCCGATTGATGAAAAGTAACTTGATATTGGCTCTTATGCAGAGTAAGTAATAAGTATGATACGAGTATTTATATATTGATACCTTAATCAGGATTAAGTTAATAGATGAAAGCACTTACTTTAATTACGTAACAAGTAAAATACTGGTTTAACTAATAGAGTCGAAATAGTTTTAAAACATTGCTCTTCATGTTTAACCGGGAATGGAAGCTGATAGTGAGAAGATTCTGTTTATCAATATCATAGCATTTTGTTCAATAATCGAATGGTATCTCATTAAAATACTTGTCAAAGAAGGAGAGCCCATACATTCTAAATACTTAACGAAATAGTTGAGTACCAATTTCTTCCCTGGTGTTGGAAATAGGATGAAATTAGAGACTTTCGAAAGATCCTTACTCAATTCTTCGATAAGTTTAGCGTATGATAGAAATAAGGATCTATAATTTTGGATTGAACCCGTTCACGCTGATATAAAGTAGAATCTCTGGTCGTTATAGTATTAAGTAGCAGTCAGAAATGACTAAAATTATTTTATTTCCATCGACAGATTCGAATAAACGTCTATTCTTACATTAGCTAATGGGTTATCGTCATTTGTTTAGTTGTAACATTGATCTACAAATTAACTATCCCAACTGACAAAGTTGGGACACAAATTCCAAAAATGTTGCATGATATTTGAAGCCATTTGCATATCGAAAGGATTGAATGAATTGGTCAAAAATAACAATAAAGTAGGCGAATATCACTTAAAAAAACAATAGGTTGAAGAAGAAGTTAGTTCTATATTGGTGTTATAGAATTTCTTTGTTCAAGAAATTTTAAATGTTGTTTCGCTTCTACATGGATGGTTATCATGCCGCTGTCTAAGTTGATCTTTATAACTCTAACAGCGATTGCAATGTAACTATAAAGATTTACTATTAGCAATCAGTAGATATATACGAATATCAATCATCAAGCAGTTGGCTGGGAGATGAATAAAAGAAGGAGAGATTCTCGTGCAATTGTATTGGGGGAGTACCGATCCCAAAAAGTAAGAAATAAAAAAGATGGTTCCAATTTAGAGGAGTATCATACGATCTATAGTGTAGGCGGCAACAAAGTCTAATAGGAAGTCAGTATGAAGTAGGTGTGATGAAATAGGCGAAGGAGAGAAATAAAATCGATTAAAACTGCCGGAGAAATCAATACTTCGATTTATACTTACACAGCTATCTTGCGATAGGTTGTTGGACATGATCAAGATCAGCTAGTGGAATAAAGCTGTCGATAGAAAAGTTTGAGATAATGACCAACTACAAACAAGGAAATCAATTCTTTGATTTCTTCCGTTTTCGATAGGATTTTACCACTTATGATCAGTAAGGGAGAAAAAACATCGATTCTGGATCAATAATTATGAGTTGATGTCGTCTTACCAAATGAGGATACTCAAGAGGGAATCGTTGTGGCTGCGATGAGTCCAATCTTGTAGCGTAATTATGATTGCAGCAAAGTATTTCATATCGTGGAGCTATTGACTCAAGATTGATTCAATAATAATATAGTAATGGAGGAATGATCTCATCATAAACAAAGTCTAATTTAGTAAACTTCAAATCAACTCTATTATTTCCGTAAGAGAGTTACGCTAGCCTTTTGTCGATCCAATATTGCCTTCTTTATTTCAGGCCAGTATTATCAACCAGGTGGAAAGAATAATAACGAGTATAATACATCTTTTTTAAGTAATCTACAAGATGGGAGTATGAATAAAACTTATTTAAATAGCAAATAAAGGCATTATAATATGATGATCAAAGTCAATTAAATCGATATAGACAAAAATGGAATTTGCACTTTTGTTGCCATATTGCACACTTTTACGGAAGTTGCCTTGAAATCCCTTTCGTGACAATAGCATAGGAATGCTATCGTCTACTTATGGCTATATCGATTGTAGTTGTATCAAGCTTCTTACTAAAATGGATCGCCATCATATGAATTGGCTTGCTTTTTGAGTTAGATGCTGTATTTCTCCATGATACAGCAAGGGTAGAACAAAAGGAATTGGAAGAAAATCTTGTCATGGACAGATGTTTTTTGTCAAAAACTTATTTTGATGCTATAAATAACTCTTGTCAAAGTAGAATTGTTTTATTGATTTGAACAATGTAGCCTAAGAGTACCATCATTATAATAGAAGCATCAATGATTGATGGAGTCGGTTGAAGTATTGGTTTATCGAGGAGATTTAATTCAGTGCGATAGGGAAGAAATTGGCCGTTGGCCATGGTCAATATTGTCCTAGTGTAGATCAACATTGTAGTTTCGCTTATGTCAGTGCTTGTCTAGTAGAAATAATGGCGATACCTAACATTTCAAATGAGATAGCGTTGGATTCCGGATCGACTTATACGATTGATTATTGCAATAGTCTCTCTATTATCAAAAATATGGAATATTCTAAATATGTAGATATCCAATTGATTATTGCAATAGTTTCAATATTGCCAAGATAGGGGAAATGCTATATCGGCAAATATTAAGGGGACATGTGTATAGTTGCTAAATATAAGTAAGTTGTCAATATTGAATATTGCGCGTTGAATCATCATGGTATTACCGGCTGTATGCAAAACTATGCATGGATTCATTCTTGGAGGAGTTTTCTTCAGTTAACTGTAGTTGCTGTCTTAATGAAAATGAAAATAGCTCTATTGATTGATTTACGAAATGTCAATTATTACTGATTTTATCTTCGTCAGCAGTCTATTGAACTAAGAATTGACTAGTTCTACAACCCGTCGCGCTGCTGACGGATTATGGCTCAATACTGTATCTCGACTTTGAAAATGATTCTTCTATGACTGATTTATAGTCTATCAATCTTTAAGAGAATCTTAATTCAATGAGCAGTTATTTTGTCATAATGGATAGAAGAGCTCAATCTTGTTTCATTTATTCTTGCTTCATTATTGCTTATCATGTCGTCTTGGTGTTTACAGTATATTAAACTGAGGAATAGTGATATGCTGATTTCTTTAGCTTAATCGCGATTGTTATACAGGTATTACTGAATGCAGCGCTTGTATATTAAGTAAGTATTTTCTAAGAGATGGGGATGTATGACGATGGAGAAGACTTGAATTAATCTTACTTATTAACTGTTGTTTCATATTTTAATATCTTTTTCTTTTAATGTACAGTATACCGTAGTACTGTATAACAATTTTGCGGGAGATTGTTGTTTCTATGATAAATGTTGGGGTGATGGTGAAAAATAAGAGCTCCATTTTATTCCTTATAGCTTCATTTTAAATTTCGTATATTAGACTCGAGATTACTTCCATATTGTCTATTTAGCTGTTAAAGCGTTTATTATACTGTACGTATATGCTTAACGTATAATTATGCCCGGCGGTAGTACGCTGTGGAATATAGTTTATAGTATGTTCATAATTCATTGGGGGATTCTAAGTCCGTTTATTCCGTTATTAACAGTTATTACAGCGACGATGGAAGGACTTGAGCTCAGTTTCGTTTCTTACTGCTTCATTTTGAGTATCTTATTCGTTTCTATCGGAGTAGGGCTTACTCATAGGTTTAATTCTTTTGCTTGACACATGCTTATTCAATAATTTATTTTGAATGAGTTTATGGTTTATTTTCTCCGACTTGAGTAGGAATGAGACCGCCCAAGGCTACTTTTGGCATTCTCTTTTTGATTCAATGTTGAAATCTGTTATACGGATAAACAGTGGATGAACGCATCGTATCTACGGCCAAGTGTTTCTAAAAAGCAATGGAAGATATGACAAGCGAACAGACGAGCAGTTATCAGCCTCATGTCTTCAAAAAGGAGACTCTAGCCGACATCCCTTCACTTCTTGTCGGTCTACATAACTAAGCAAATTGTATATCCATTATGCAATATGATAAAGAGAAAGTATCGATTACACAGTCTATCTACATGTGCAAATTTTGTGCTATAAGCCGTTGATTTGTAGTAAAAACTTCTATAATACAGTAGCACCGTAGATTTTTTTCATTATTCTTAATTTACTTCTAATTTATTGAATATTTATTTCAATGCCGGCGACAAGGAAGCTTACTGTCTTTTACTGCCCTGTAGGATTATGTCTCATTCATGACTCAATAAGATGAGTGTATTCTACAGTAGTACGACAATGCTGATACTAAGAAAGAGAATACGCTTAATTGCTTGTCTTGCTAATCAATCCTTGTATGGATATCCAACAGCAGATTGGAGACAAAAGGAGAAGCAGAAGAACCATTTTCTGCTGCAACAAAATCGACATAAAAAGGGCTTTCAGCTTGGATGGGGTAGAAAATGAGGACCCTAGTATGGTAATGATACCTATATCGAGTTAGGGTTCTATTTGGCTTGAAGACCAAACAAAGTCTTGATGAAATTACTCCTGAACTGGATGTAGTAGCGAGATTGCAATATTATGTTATTTCCCGGAAAATTTCCCTTGGATATACCTCAGTACAGTAATGAACATTGCTTAAAATGGATACACTATGTTTGACTTGAATCCTAGGACTGTTTCATATCCCGTTGGTGATACTATGCTTTAGTGGAGTGTGCAGAGGGAATGCTATTTCCTGACCTTCTCTTTACCACTCTATTGCGAATTTCGATCCAGTCATTTCCCGAACATGTCTAGAAGTAGTGTTGAAACGGTTCCGTGGTACTTTACTTTTTCTTCGAGTAGTCCCTGGTGCTATGAGGTCTGCTGCAGTCATAAACTACTGGAAAATGACCTTTTTGATACAATAGTCCATGCTGCAATACAGTATATCATCCATGACTAGTATTGACTATATTTGCTGATTCAAGAAATAGAAATGTAGACTCTTAACTTAAGCTACTAGTAGCTACTGAAAGAAAAACCGTGTTCTTACCTAGTTCTTGTTCATTATAGACTCAATGTAGAGTCATGGACTTGTAGAAATATGTACTGAGGTATATTGTAGACTCTTAGCTTAAGCTACAAGTAGCAACTGGAAGAGAGCCATCTTCTAGTTCTTCAAATCTCTACAAGTCCATATTCATAACTAAAATGGACTATACTTTCTGATTTAAGAAATAGAAATGTAGATTGTAGACTCTTAACTTAAACTACTAGTAGCTGCCGGAAGGGAACCGTATTCTCGCCTACTGTAGTTCTTGCTCACTATAGACTCAGTGTGAAGTCATGAACTTCTAGAAATACTATATTTACTGGGGTATATTGTAGACTCTTCACTTAAGCTACAAGTAGCTACTGGAAGAGAACCATGTTCTTTTCTAGTTCTTCATATCTCTACAAGTCCATATTCATAACTAAAATGGACTATACTTTCTGATTCAAGAAATAGAAATGTAGATTGTAGACGCTTAACTTAAGCTACTAGTAGCTGCTGGAAGGGAACCGTATTCTCGCCTAGTTCTTGCTCTCTGTAGACTCAGTGTAAAGTCATGGACTTCTAGAAATATATACAGAACTATATTGTAGACTCTTCACTTAAGCTACAAGTAGCTACTGGAAGAGAACCATGTTCTTTTCTAGTTCTTCATATTTCTAAAAGTCCATGGTAGGGAGCACTATCTTATAGTCTTACACTTCAAGAAGACCAAGGACTTGTGAGACCTTTAATAAGTGTCTGTCTCAGAAGTCCCTAGTCTTACCGTAAAAGAAGTAATAGTTGATGAATGTGCGAACCAGTACATTATCCGAAGATTATAGGACTGTATCAGTAGTCCATGTCTGGTCCATAGTCGTTGTTGAAAGGAGAGACAGTCCAGTGGACAACCTTCGTTCTCACACTATGTTGGTTAAACCAGGGACTTTCAAGACAGGATGTGCAGACGTCGTTTACTACAAGAAATGGCTGATAAAAAGTGCTTACAGTATACTTTTTATTGTATTATAGTAATATTAGACTTCATCAGGGACTTCCTTAGTCTTAGAAGTCCTTATAAGTCAAGGTTAGTACTAGAAATCCTCTTCTACCCAAGACTTAATGCCCATTCAATAAATGCTCATTTCATCCTTTTTGACGCTAAGATCAGTGTTTCATAAAAAGTGTATGATTGGTCTTAGAAATCCCAGGTTATACCATGGTTTTACTGCACTGTATAAGTGAAAATGTTATGTCAATCAACAATGGGATTGTATAGAGCATTGCACTACATACGATGATGTAAAATACAGTAAATTGAATCCATTGGTAAGAGGATTAGTAAGATTTGTAGTCCATATCTGCTACGTAGTCCTTGCAAAAGGAGAGACTGTCCAGTGGACAACCCATTGTTCTGACGCCATGTTGATGATACCATGGTTTTACTTGACGTATATAAGTAATAATGTTATGTCGTTCAATTCACCTTCTTCCACTGCATACGACGATATAAAATAAATTGAATCCATTTATAAGATTTAAACATTATTTCGGCCATCATCCAATGGCAGATATGGATTAAAAGGCCATCATTAACTAGTAAATATCATATAATGAATGAACTAGAATTAATGCAATGGCAGGTTCCAACTTGCCTTCCCTCTTTTCAGCATCCGTCCGTCCCTCGGTAAACCAGCACCGCGCCAAAGATAAACAGGACTGGGGGACTACTGTAGTGCCATTTGCAACTAGCCATCAAGCATGGCGTCCAATCTGAGCCAGTTATTAATCGATTTACATGCACTTCTCAACTTGCAATCGTTGCATAGAGGTAGCAATGCTTGCGATATTGCATCTGATATTACTGTGCTATGCTTACAAACCGCTTCTGATGCTGAAAAAGGTAAGAGGACTAGCTAATAGACTAGCTGAAAAATTGTAAATATTATCAGCAATAGCTCGAGATCCATCACCATGTACATTGTACAGTATATAACATATATACAGACGTTCAATTCAAAATTGGCCTATAGCCAACGTAATAACATTGTGATAGTATCCACAACGCGTAGGGCTTGAATTTTAGCGTAGTTTACAGTTAGTAATGATGCTTATTCCATACCTTCAAAGTATCAAGTCGATTCTACTAGCTTGATGTAAGCCAATAAAGTTATTGACACCGTGCCAAAATGGTATGGTCATATTATCATTCAAAATTTTTTATCTTCTATTTTTTCGTCACCCAAAGCTTATTGCTCGTCAGCATTATTTGGACAAGATTATGGAGTTGTTACATTTTTACGCAAATCAATTGGTCTAGACGATGTAAGTGATATCGATGAACAGGATTGCGTGGATAAATGTAAATTCATTTTCAATGTTATTTGTCTTTTATAACTATCGTACGTGTGCTAGATAAAATTTATACCTCGCCTACAGTTGGATAAATGCAAGGAAGATTTGTTAAAATTAATTACTGCATATATGGAGAAAATTGGTGGAAAGATAAGTCCTTATGCCGTACAAATTAAGGTATCGTGACGCTACTTCTTATTAAAATGTTAAATTGCAAGATTAGATTTGCAGTCGTATACTTCTGACTAGTCTACAAAGTATTTTTGCAACAGTAATGTTGATTCCTCTGATCCAGCTGCAAGTCATGAATCGTTTTTCAGCTGAAATTCTAAATTATTACTGTACATTATTCAACGAGCTTTAGTACTTTCAAAAAAGTTCTTCTTTAAATCTGGCTTTGCTAGCATCCAACTAAATTTAAGTTATGAGTGAATTCAACAATGTTATTGGGCTAAATTATTTTCGATCTTTTGCATTTTCTTGCATTCCAACATTGAAGGACGTATGCATTTCGCTCTTTACGAGAGATAAAGCCGCTAGGGTGAAAAATGCCACATTTCCTCCGTTACTACAGGTGAGTTATTTATGGCTAAGGTAAACGAAGTAGCAAAATAAATATACACGCCTTGTCCTCACATTTAAGCCTGAAGTTAAGACAGAATTCTCACTTTTATTTCAAAATCTTGCTAATCGACTGCATTTCTTACCAAGTGAATATTATTCAATTCTTATCTTTAGCTTTTGAGCTCGAAATTGCATTCATCGGTAGTTGAAGAGTTGGCTATTTCAAAGCTGGTTGACAAGTAAGTATATCATTGAGGAAGGTAAAACATTATCATAACATTTTTTTACTACAGTTACATGAGTAAGCGATATAGTAAAGAAGAAAAATCCGCGATGATTTTGATTTAGTATTTGACTGAAAAATAGATAAAACAATACTGCATTAAATTACCTAATATTTATTGTACTACTTACTTAGGTATATGTCAGCTTGCAAACAACCAACAAAATATTCCTCAACAGGTTACTTTATTATAGTGATATTTCGGAGAAAATAAATCTTTCATGCCTATGTTGCATTACCTAGCTAGGATCGATTAAAACTTACTTGAATGATATTACCAGATTTAATTTATTTATTTCATCTTACGCGTATGTAGTCAAGAGTGGCATGTATTCCTTGCTTGGAACGATTGCTGAAAAATTTCCTGAATATATTATGCCTCATGCTCAACAGTTATTAACCATTTATCTGAATACATTAAAATCTCAGGTTAGTTACTTATACCTATGTTATACACACGTTTTTGGCTGTGCAAAATTTTCATGTGATGACAGTCGCAGTTCGATCGATAATTTCTTATGCTTCCTCAAATTTAATGCTGTGCCATAATTTTATTTTAATAATTTATGATGTTATACACAAATTTGGTAATGTCACCATTTGCAAAGATGACTGGCAAAAATACAAAATTAGATATGCCTGTGATTTATGGCTGTCTACGAGGCTTAACATCATATCTATACAATTTTACCCAATCTGTTGAGGAAGGTAAGTATTTCAGTTTATTACCAATAAAACACAACGTAGACTATATAATCGTTATTAGTCAATAGTATAATTATTCGGCAAATGGTATGCATTTACAACATACAGTATAAGATGGTAAAGAATATTTTTATTACCTTTACTTACCAGAATCGAAATACGCTGCTGATATTTACAAATATGCTCGTTTAGCTATTGATCCTAAGGTACGTTTGTAAACAGGATTGCAAGATGATTTTGCTAATAGAATTATTACTTTTTTGCGTTATAATCATGGTCTATTTTAAAATTAAAATGATTCCATTCATTGCTAGGTTGAATTGCCACGGTATGACTTACCTAAAGGTAAGCTGTTATCGTGTCTATTTAAAAAATATACTATCAATTCTTTGTAGTACTGATTCTTTTCTTTTAAAAAAAAATATAGCTGGACTAAATTTGATTGCAAAACATGCTGCTCAATTTTGTGATTACATCTCGAGAGAAGCTGAAGTAAATGAACTGATGTTATTAATAGCTGGGAATGTAGTACTGTTATATTAATTCCTTAACTCAAAATTATTGCTTTTTCTGGATATTAGGCTCTATACGAGGTTATCTATCGATGGTGTCGACATCGAAATAGAGATATACGAGCAGCGGCCTTTCATGCCCTTGAAGAGATCATGAAACAGGTTTGTTGATATCTGCTAGCTATTATAGCTATTTTTCTATCGTATGCTTTTGCATGCGATATTAAATACCAATTATATAATTGGAATTCAATTATTTTGTTAAAAAGATTGCTGAATACCTTGTCAATGAAAATGATGCTGCAAATATAAATATCTTTAAAGTAAGAAGAAAATGATTCAAATGCAACCTTATTCAGCTATCTCATATGTAGATAATCAAACGATTAATAATTTTACTAATCTTGTTAAATTTTTTGTAGTTCTTCCTTAAAAAATTTAGATCTATTATTGATAGTGGAAGTAGTGATGCTAAAGAGTTAGCTATTGCTATACGTGGATATGGTTACTTTGCTGCCGTAAATTCTTGCATATACTTTTTTTACAAGGTTGGCGTTGACATAATTATAAAATAAACTTTATATTACACTTTCTACTTATTTTAGCCTTGTAAAACATTACTGAAAAAGGACGATGTACGATTTATGACCATGGATCTCTTACAACGTAGTGAACAATTGTTTTTCATGTATGTTGAGTACTTTAAGGGTATTATCGGTATAGAGGTATAAATTCATCGTGATAATGATAATAAAATAGAATATTCTATTGATGTAACAATTTCATTTATTATTTCAGTGATGTCAACGTAGACAAAATTCAGTACTTACCTAGTTTTCTTGAAGCATTTGCCAGCATCTTGAATATACTTGATGAAGTAAAATTATTGCTTTTTCAATTTTTTTATCAATTTATCTACATTATATACTGGATAGCCTATAATACCAATAATTTTTCCAATTTTATCGATTGTTTAGGTTAACGATACATTTACAAGATCCCTCGAAAAGTTAACTATTGTACTCTTTGAAAATTTCCCCTACGTGATTAATGAACTCCATAGCTTATGCTATAAATCACTATTTGAATTATTACTCGCATTACATTCTAAAGGAGCTGCTCTGAAGAATTTTCTGTCTCGCGTTGGTATGTTATTGTGATATCGTATATGTTAATAAGTATGAATCATCATAAGAAGTTTTTTACAACGATAAAGTTTAATATCTATAATATTATTTCAGTATATCAAGGGTTGATAAGAACTTGTTCTCACCCTGTATACGTTGAAACGGTAATTATTCAATATAATTTTATATTAATTTTGGTGATTGAGTTTCTGGCAGCATTATACACCATTAATACCTGTGATTCAATAGGATTCAGATCTGAACATTAGTCAGGATTCTGTTATCTTAGAGACTGGTCCACGCATTTCTTATAAAGACTATATTTCACTATGGAAGAATTTAATTCAAGCTACCGAAATTAAGGTAGATTTAACTATAATATATCATAGCAGTTTTCGTATTAATACCATTATTACTGAATGTAAAAAGATGACACTTCGTATATACTAGGTAATTTATGTGCTTTACATATGTACATATAGTAGGAACTATCAGAAGGTCTTAATTATTTACCATTGTGATTATTTGCTTTTAGGGCTTAACTTTAATAACCACAGACCGTGAACATATCATCTATGTACAACGAAGTTTGTACAATGAGTTACTACATTCTTTACAGCGAATTTTATTAAAGCTTGACTTAACATCTTCACAGCAAACAACTATAGAAGAGGAGGTGATAAAATACTAATGCACTGTACTTAAATCTTTTGCGACTTTATGACTGTGATAGTAATAATAATATACAAATTATGCTATTATTATCGTTAGACTCAATCATCTGAAGGTACTTCCAATCCTGTGGCTGGATTGAAACCCAACGTTCCTAAGGATTTTCAAGTTTTTATTAACATAGTCGACTTTACCAAGTAATATTATGATATTACTATAGATAAAGGGATAATTGTTTGTTTACTGAAAGGTAATTTGTTAATAATTTTCGTCTAGAGCTTTACTGCCGACTACTCGAACCGAGTTCTTTCTTCCATGGATATTCCCTTTTGGCAAAAATTTAGTTTTACTGTCTACTAGGTTTGGCTAGGACATAATTAATTTAGTAGTGTAGATTATGGCTATGTGTAAATAACTACCGTAGATTAATGCAATCGGTCTGCTAGGCATGACAATAATCTTACAAAAAATATTACGATTATTTTTAATTTTTCTTCTTAGACTACCACTAGTGAGTGGCTTTTATAAACTTCTTGAAATCTGTATGACAATCAGTTCCTCACTTTCATACTTTGAGGTCATTATCACCTTCACAGATAAAGATAGTGCTGCAAATTTAAATCTTATTATCTAACATTGCCCTTGCTTTCTATTATTAGGATCTTAATATTGAAACTGTGACCAAATGCACAATTAATGCTGCAGCAGAGGCGGAATCCATCGATAAATACTTATGTTATTTGCTTTATTACAAGTTTTACAAGGAGGTCAGCTTAAACATATCCTTATCCTAAGTGTTACAGCAGTTATAATTTTTTTGCTCTATTTTATATCATAGGTTTTAGTTCGATTAAAACAGTACAAAGATGATCTACATGTGTCCTGCTTGTCCTTGATTCTGGCGTTGCCTTATCAATTAATTCAAGATGACATGGCATTGATTATTCCTGCTATTAAGGTTAAGACAGAGTCTTGAAAAAAAGATATTTCTTATTTCCGCTTAAGTAATACGCGTAGGTAAATACGTTCGTTGATTACCTTTTTTCTGTATATGAATGTTGCATACAGGTCTCGATGAATATAGGATTAAGTTATTTACCACTCGCTAACGCAGCCATTGATGCCCTTGAAAGATGGTCATCTGATCTTCCACAAAATATAATAGGACCTTATTTTTCAGATATTTTGCCATGCTTTGATGATTATTTAAAATCTTCAGCGGACGATAGTTAGTGTGTTTGAATCATTGAACAGCAATACTTACCATCTGTGCTATCAATCATGTAACTAAAATATTTTGATGATGTTTTTCTGCGCAGCTACTGAAACGTTAGTTGAAGATAGCTCGAAAGCATTAAAGGCTCGTACTGGTAAAGCTAAAAAACTCCCTGTTAAAGTTGTCAACCCAACTGGTGGATCAAAAGTAAAATTAACTTGGCTGTATATCTCCTACGAAATTTTATTTGAGCGTAATTTTAGTTCTTGATGAATTGTTAACATATATTTATTAGGATTCACCCCTAGCTCAAGTGCGCTTGAGAATAGTACAGTTACTTGGGCGTTTAGGTGGAAATACTAATTCGCTGGTCATAAGGAAAGGTAATGATGATGGATCATCTCAGGCTGTTGCGTGGGACAACCATAAACGTTTACCTTTCGCAATCCCATTTCAAGATATGAAACCAATTATTCATTTGGGTAACGTTGTAGTTTGTTTTTAGAACAAATTTTAGATCTATTTTCGCTAAGGCATATCTATACATTAAAATAGATCCATTCCTGCCACGTGTGGTCGAGTTAGCGACGTCTTCTAGTGACCGCCAAACAAAAGTAAGTAGAGTTATCTATGAAGCTACGCTATTTTGATTAAGTCAAATATTACGTTTAATGATCGATAAAATATAATTCTGGAATTAGATTGCTGCTTGTGAGTTATTGCATGCGTTAGTTTTGTATATGATTGGAAGAGGAGCGCAACAGCCTGGAGGGACAGGATCTGTGGTAACTGAGCAATAATATTTGACATATTTTAAGGATTGAAATCCAAACAATTTGATTAAAGTAAAATTTTACTCGTTACAGACTAATTATGGTAACTTATACAAGAAAATCTTTCCTGCAATCTTAACATTGGCGTCCGATGTAGAACAGGTTAGTAGTTTTGATACGTATTAATGCGCATGTATCTACATTAAGGCTTCATTAGCGAAATGTTTTTAATAGGTGTCACAACAATTATTTCAACCGCTGGTATATCAACTTATTCATTGGTTCACTGGTAATTCTAACTACGAAAGTGTGGAGACGATAGCTCTGTTGAATGCGTTATTAGTATGTTGAAAATCTCGCTTAAGAAGCATGTTCAAATTATCGCTAAAATGGATAAAATTTATGTATAATATCAGACATGCGTAAAATTTTAAAATTATTAACTTAAAGGATGGTGTCATTCATTCAACTGACTCCGCATTAAGAGATTTCTGTGCCAAATCTTTACGAGAATATTTACACTGGTCGATTAAACAGACTACCAAAAAGGTTGTAGTAGCTATTTTAGTGTTACGCTAACAGTCTATTTGATTTACATTGCATATGTAATTTTATATAAAATTTATATTACGAAAGGGTAATGTTATAGTCATTAGCAGTTACTTTCTAATCGATCTTAAAAATTGGAAAGAGCAATATCTTTCTCCTATAGTGAAAGTTAATATAAGAAATATTTATCTTAACAAAAAACATATCATTTTCTTCATAATGAGATGCGAATTCGTTCGTACGATATTATAAGTTCATAGTGTACAATTGGATTTACTGGCTTTGTTAGAGGGATAAACAAATTTGACCGATTCGTATGATGTACAAGAAACTGATTAATATCTAATGTATATTTAGCAACAAGAGAAAACCTCAAACAATGCAAAATCCTTATTGAAGCGTCTGTATAGCCTAGCTTCTCATCCAAGTGCCATTAAACGCCTTGGTGCAGCCTTGGCATTCAATAATATATACGTTGTCCTCAGGTAATAGTAAATATTTGCGAAAATGATGCTATTCGTAAAACCTACAATATATTACAAATTTAAACATTTATTGAAATAGGGAAGAGTCGACACTGGTGGATACATTTATATTTGAAATTTTAGTCAATTATGTTAATTCTCTGGCATTGTCTCATACAGACGAGAAATCGCTTGGTAAATTATAATGTGATGATTTTGTTATCATGTTGTGCTCTATTTATTATCATGGTTTCAAGTCTTTATCGGTTTACTCATGGTTCTTATAGGAACACAAGAACAGTTGTCTAAAGCTTTAGCTCATATTGAACGAATTATTAAAGCAAAAGCATCAACGCTTAACAAAGAGAGCAAAAATCGGCGAACTCCTACGTCAGTTTCCTTTATAATGATATACCGTTCACTTCTACATAAGTAATTGGAGCTAGCTTTACTATTAATGATTTATTTATTATAAATTTCTAGTGGGTTTATGACTAAGACAGTTACTCTTCATCACGTGGTTAACTGGTTGGTCCGGCAGTGTGGTAGACCACAAACAGCTTGCAGGCATCAATGTATGCAATTGGTTTATGGCCTCGCTCCTCAGTTATCAGGTATAATAAATTTCTGTTTGCTGGAATGCCACCCTTCTATTATTATTATATAATTATTATAACGATGCAATTGTCGTTGACGTTATTGACTTTATCAATTATCCAAAAATAAATTTTATTGTAACGCACATCGTATATTAGAAATGCATTTGTATGCCTATCATTAACTTTAGGTGGTATTAGGTCGACTATTGCCTTTTTCTTTAATTTTTAGTTTTCAGTGAAAAGCTTAAGTTTAGCTACTTGCCTGTGCTCGTATAATATCGGTGCGCTTGAAAGATGATTTACTACACTTATTATAACCTTGACGTCTTGAGAACCCTGTCAAACATGACAATACTGTGACAGGGTTTTGCTTCCTTTCGTTTTAATATCATTAAATGCAAAATAAGTCGTTGATATTTTGCATAACTAGCATATTTCTATTACTAAAGTACACTAATATCGATTAGTTTTACTAAAAGTGGGATAGCACCATTACTAATGTACACACGTATACGAGTGAAGTGCAGTAATGTGAACTCACTATTATATAATTATCACTTAATTGTACGACTGAATGTTATAGCAGGTGATGAAATTATTTTGGTGTTCATATCTAGGCGTATCTACGATTCAAGATTGGGTTAAAACAATTATTGGGAGTAGTAGTGTTACGTTCTTTATTACACGGTAAGCTTAGCATGAATTAACTAATTGTAAGTTCGTAATTATAATAAAATATATGTAGGCCTTATAGAATTATGTAACTCATGAATAATATGTTTCTTATATTTTTAAACAGATTTGAGGGAGGCGGTAGCAAATATGGAATTGGCAGATACCAAACTGCCTTGGATATAAGTGATACATTCAATTTGCGATCAATGAAGAATTGGTATGATTACTTTTTGGCCGCTTTAGACTGTTATTCTTGGGTATTTAGCGAGAAAATGATGTCTCCTGAACAAATTATAGGTTTTTACGCTAAAACTATTTCTGAGATTAAACTATGATACTATTATTTTGACTAGCCATTTGCGAATTAATGGTTATCTATATTCCAAATAGGAGATAAGGCACAGCTTGGTTCCTGTAAAATATTTGGCTCAATTGAATTCTTCTTGTCGAAATTATGCTTACATTCATTGGATGAAACCGTTAAATTATTATATTCAAAATCAACGTTGCAACTTTTTACACCGCGAGAGATTGAAGAATATAATATGTAAATTAAACCAACAATTATTGATTGTATAAATACTGTGTATTTTTATTGATTTACAGGCTTAAATGATAATATTGCACTCTTTAGGTGCAAGTGTACGACTATTGTTAGGTTGATCAATTTTTTGGCTGTCTTGCTACAAATGAGTCCGACTTCAATAATTGAGGTACTTCGCAATATTATACATCCGTTGTGTTAATTTTATTTAATTTCGTTACGCTAATATCTAATAAATAATGATATAGGGCATACCTCGCCAAATATGGAGCCAGAATTTATTCGAAATGATTTTTCTTTGCATTTTAACACCACATCAATTGGGATTTAATGTTGGGGATATAGAAGTATTGGAAAAGCTCCCGCAACAGGTTTAGTTAAACTCTAATGATTGAAGTTGGTATTAATTACTTTATAATAAAGATATGTTAATTGCATATCGACTGCTTCTTTAGATGAAGGATATATGCGGATTATTTCAAATGAAATTACCGAAAGATAAAAGGGAATTAATGATTATAACATTAAAGGAATTGTTATCTCGGAACAGGTTTGAGCATGTTAAGTGATTGTATATTGTTACAACAACTAAATTAAGATTTGTGATCGTTATTTATATTTTATTTTTATGTTTAAAGTTACTGTTTGATTTTATGACCTTGATTTGACTTCAGCTTATCCATCTGTTTTAGATCTTATAATTTACCAGACTTGTTACCCATACGGTTCGATCGAGACAACGAATTAAATATTGATTTCGAGCGGTTAACATTCTTAATTAAGGGCTATAAACAATTGCTGACAATGGGGATACTGAAGACTACGCCTGCGGACCATGTGGGTTTTCATTAATTTTCTGCAATGTCAATAGTTAGCACAGGTAGTCAGTATTGCGCTAATTCCAGGTTTTCGATATTTCGATATATGCAGAAGGATTTAATAGAAAAAATTATGAAATCTGTTGTTGACTGCTTTCGAGGGCGTGAAATGAACGGCGATCGAACAGCATTATCTCCAGCGCAGCAAAAGGTTGCTGCTGAGTTACTTGATTTAGCTTTCGAATTGAATGAAACAATCGATATATTCTTTAGATATTTGTTGGATGAAACAAAATTATATGGAGGTAATTTAAAAGGATTTCTATACATATACAATTAATTTGATCAGATTTGATACGATCGATGCATATGCTTACAATGATATTCTTTGGCTAATATCAGTCCGTAAGATTACAGTATTTTTACAGTTAGATAGTTAATGACAAGTATGTACTGTTACAGATTACAAGGGCAGTGAGACTATGGAGAGATATCAGGATGTAATATTAGTTACTTGATATCAGCACTTCTATTTATGATCTATGATCTCTAGATAGCAATAGCGCAACAGCAACTCTTGGAATGACGCTGTATTATACATTTAACAGTAATATTAATGCTTTCCTGGCGAAAGTATCTAACCAGTGTTTGCCTATGATACTCGATTTGGCTGCTAGTAAATCATTCATGGTAATATTTTGTACTTTATTTTGTTGTTTTATTATGCATATAAATTAAAAAGATTTCAAATGATTACTACTTCTGTTGGAATCTGTCAGATATCTGGGATATTATCTGGATTATTAGATTTCATACTGCGTGACAGAGGTTTACGCCAAAGGTTTGTGACAGGTTCATTTCGTTAGCATTGACAGTTCATCACGTCATCACGTAACTGAAGATTTTTGAACACTTCTGCATTAACGAATTTATACCTCTTTCAGCAAAGGGATCCATATCTCTAAAAAGATACTATCTTCGTGGAATTCGTTAAAGTGTTGGTGGTTGACACCTGATGCTCAGGACTTGCTGCAAATATCTGTTAATATACTCAACAAATGCTTAACTCTGGATCCTCAGGTACATTTTTAGGATATTTTTATAGATAGTTGGCAAATGGAATGCAAGGGATCGTCATCAGTACCGACATTATACTCATTAAGACTACTTCATTTATTTATATGCGCATTCTTTAGGCCAGTTAAAGTTAATTGCTCTACTAATGCCACAACATGCTACTCTTATTATTCATTTCTAGTTTACAACTCAAAGTAATGATTCATCATTTGAGACAGTTTTCAATTTCTTTTTATCGCTCCTGTCTGGTACATCAACCAGTTTGGCGTTTAAAGTTGGTTTAACCAGTATATAGCTTATAAATTAACATTTTCTGAGCGCCATCATGTGATTAATGCTACGTTTCTGTATATTTCTTGTCAAATTCGTAGAAATATGTGCTAGATCTGCTACATTTCTTTCTTGTATCTAGTGATAAAAGGATTCGCGAGTTACGGTCAGTTTAACTTTACGCAGATATAAGTTTCTGATATACAGAATATACTAGCTTTTATACATTAGGCTATTTTGCTCATTTATATCTGGGAATAATACTTTTAGTGAGCATTTGGATCGAATGATTGTTGATAAGTTCCCGTTAAAATCAGCTGAATTTGTAGTTGGTAGCCCCGATTATAACGACTATGTCGCTTGTATTGACAAGGTAACTACCTCTTAGCCAATATTATTTCGCTGAAATACGAGCGATGTTAGACGGTTAAAAATAGTTATTCTTCTGGTTGCTTCGTTATAACAGCTATTAGCAAATTTGATCAAATCTGGTAATTTAATGCTGCTGGAAGTTCTTATTAGCGTAATGTGTCGTGAAAAAAAGCACGCATATGAGGAACAAATTCAAAAATCGTTACTTCTTTTTATTAGTAGGTAAGTTCTCGTAGGTACTGAATGAGGACTTTTTTAAATGTTGTTTAATATAGCGAGCGACTAACCTGGTAATTGAATTCCCGATACAATAGTTTAATACCGAAAGATGCTTTGGGTGCACTCGATGTTCCTTTTAAGATGTTTGTCAATGATAAAAGTTATCGACCTGATATTAGAAGAGCTGCCATTGAGCGCGTTTGTTTGCCAATGCTGCAAAAAGCAAGCCTGAAGATTACTAAAGATTTCTATGTTAGTCACATCAAAGAAATAATGGATATTATTGAAGCAAAATTAGTTAAGGTGAGTTATATTTATTTTTAAGATACGTGTATCGTTGCGTACATTAGATATGGTAGATACTAGATTTGTTTTGCTAGAATATGTATTTTTTATCTCACATTCATTCACCATACAGACCGCAGACCTAGAAAATCAATTGATATCAAAGTTAGGCTCGTACAAGTTGATGAAACTCATGTACAGTAAATTATCCAAGCAAGACGTTAATACAGCAGAGTCATCGATTGTGAAAGCTTATACTGGACGTCCAACCGAAGATGGCAAAGAAATTACGAAATCGATTACAAAGTTAGTTGATTTAGCACTGAAAATCGCATATTCGTTTTGTTATATATCAAAAATTGTTACTAATATCATAAAGCATGCATAAATTATCATGCATCGCACTCAGTAAATCGCAAGCTTTGATTGTAACTCAGAGATCATTGTACTATCATTACTAGGGCAGCTCACGCTTGTAAGAGTGATGATTTACGTGGTGAAACTAGATCAGTTGAACTTCATCGGCAGTGTTGCTGTGCAGCTTATAATGCTCTGATTTCTGTGATATCGTCAACGCAAACGGAAATGAAATTTTATACCGTTTTCCTTTTTACCGAAAATGTGGCAAGGGTTAGTAAATTTCCTACTATAAAGTAATGAGTGTATTGTGTTCACTTAGAATAAGTTATTGTAGTTAAAAAAATATTGTACAATTTTGTTCTTATTAGAAACAACTTTTATGGGAGAATCTGATTGATATGGAAAGAGAATATGCCTTCGAAATTGAGTTATCGGTAAGACTTTGACATGCAATAATCAATATTGAATATACGAGATATTTAGTTCACATAATTGGAACCAAGCCAATTAGTTAAGAGTGTTCAATGTCATATATAGTATCAAGATAAGCAAAAGACAACTTTCAGGTCGCTACGAGAACAATCGCGCTCTTCAGTTTCTAGTGAATCGGCAGATGAAGCCGATTCAGGCATTGCAAGTAGGAGTTATTTTACCTATTTTTTGGCATATAAAAATAGAAATATTGTGGACTATGACTGATTAAATTTACGTTTGAATGTGTTGATAATCTATGACCTATAGTGGCTCCAAGTTATCATTTGCCGTCCCAATATCTGGCCGATAGTTCGCTGAATGAAGAAATTAGTCAATTTGATTTTAATAGTTCTACTGTTCAGGTAGGATTTTGAGATTGATATCATGTTAAGGAACTTTTTTAGGATTGCTAGTTTCGTCATGTAAAGATTTTAATGCTGCTTTTTCCATAATTTTAAGGGGTATTCGGAGAATAATTCAATCAAACAAATTCCTACTCGTGAAACCGGAGATAGTGAAAAGGTTTCACTTTTATTAATATACTGTAATTTCACTTTAAATTGTTACCGTTATAGCTTGATTCACGTTAAAAATTATCATCATTAATTCGTTTCAGGCTAAGACAATTATAAATAAGTTCGCTGATGAAGAGCTAGAACTAGATGATTTGAATAAGCATGAATGTATGGAGGCTTTATTAACCCTCCTTGATCATATGGCTGTCAACAAAATTAATCCTGCGATTGAAAAGGTAACATGTTATAATTTTCATTTACGGACAGTGAGCAGTATCTTTGGTAGCGATTACTTCTGGATTTTCTACATCAATATCCGAACTGGAACCGAATTAAACATTTAGTCGTTATCTAGTCTTGATGTGTAACATATGCGGACTTTATTTGCTTTATTCTGTTGTGAATTATATTGCAGTAGTAGTAATTAATGTAAATTATAATTCTGATACATTTAGACTAATCCTACTTCTTACATGCATCAATTTGTGTAATTTGAATCTAGGATACTACTCCTAGTGAAATGCCATCATGGATGGTTGCATTACGAAAAAAAGCTAGCGATCATACCACAAATCGCAACATTAAATTATTTATTGCCAAATTGATTATTAATCGACCAAAGGTTCGTTTTATTGACCGAATAACCGGTTATTCATCACAGCATTTTAAGTAAACTACTGTTGATGAAGTGAATTTTCAATTAGATTTTTAGACCATATGCAAAATTTTGGCTAGTACCACTGATACAATTGATTATCGAAGGAAAGGAATCGGATGGAATCCATTACTTTATTGTCGATCTGATGATTGTTTTGCTTTCATGGGCCGATGTTGCTATCCCTAAGGTATTATGTCTAAGTATTTTGTTGAAAGATTTGCATATAACCTGTTTGTTTTTGATTCTTAAGTTGCCATGACTGGCATAATTTAGTAAACTTGCTTGCTAAACACGAAATAATATATAATTGATAGGACGTTGACGAAATTTTACAAGCTAATCGACTGATGGAATTTCTGATGAGAAATGCATTCTATCCCAATCGGAGTGTACTACGAAACAATATTGAAATAATTAAAACCGCTGTTGAATTATGGAAGAATCACATTGAAATTCCTTATCGGTATTTTACCGCAGTCTATTTTTATTTTTAATATCTATATCGTTAAGAAATCGCTTTTATTTTGGAATAAGGATTATATATAAGAATTTTAGTAACCCCGATAAGGATAAGAAAGACAATTCAACGGGTATTCAGTGCCTTGGCCTTGTCGTCGCTAACGGATTATCACCATATCGTTACGATGTTGAAGTTGATGAAATGTTGTGAGTAAAAATTGTCAATATGAACTGTGTTCAATTTCGAACCATTGTGGAAGATGAATTAATCGAGTTAAGAAATAATTTATTAGATATTACAGAGCATTAGCAGAAAATTTACAGTTCAAATACAAAGAGGTTTATGAAGCTGTTGCTGAAGTATTAGGCATGATAATGAAGCATCTTGCTAGCGTTAAAAAGGTAAAATATATATCCCTATCGATGGCATTTCTAGTAATGCATATAAAATCGTCAAAATAAAAACGAAATTTATTGAAACTCTAATTCACCGTTGTTATTATTCTGACAACAATGGCTTTTGCTTTGCTATAAAAAGGAAACTGAAGGTCCTATATTTGATTATGTGACCCAACATCTATCGTCGATGGTATCGGCTGGTCGTATGGATGTGGCAAGATTTATATTATGTCTATATCGTGTGCAATTACATTATCCAATTATAGCCGATAGGTACACTATACACTTAAAGTTATTGATTCTTTAGTATGCGAAGTTTCTTTATGATGGTTATATTTCTCTTTTTTTACATAAGATATTTATCGTTTATTTCTAATTGCAAGATATACCATCTGTTATTTTCCTATCACAAATAGATTTGTCAATAAAGTATTATTCTTAATGCCGTCCTTGTATGGCGAATTTAAAACGAAATGCTTAGAAATTATACTAGCGCGTGCTGATCATATTAAAGAGTTATATACCGAATTGAGAAATAAGGGATTAAAAGATATGTTATTGCATAGGTAATTTAGACTTCATCCGTCTTTTGTTATGTAAGAGACAAATATTGCATTTACTGTTGAAGCTGTCAAATTTATCAGTTGAAAGCAGATTATTGCCTATGTGTCCTTTTCATGGCAACAAATTTATCTGTAGGGATGAATCAAAACAGCAAGTTTCCTTGGACTTAGTTCGAGCAATGTTGAAAAATTTGGATATATCTCAAATTTTATATTTGGCGGAATTGGTCGCAACTTTTAAAACAAATCCTAGTGCCGCGTGTCGGCAGAAGATGTATGGAATTTTTATGTGGATCTATGATACCTTTAGGTTTGTACTTTGAAATTGCAAAGTAACACTGGAATATAAATACGACTGTTATTTTAATTTCGTAACATTTTATATAAGAGAGCTTGTATATCTTCTAAATAAAATTTAGGCAGGAAATTGACAAGAATGATGAGACGAAACAACTAATCAATTTTTGCAAAGATCAGTTGCTTCAAGGATTAAACGATAGCTCGGAAGAGAATAGGTACCTGAGTAATGATTCCTTTTTTCGCGTAATTTGTCATTTTTATTCTATTCTAAACTGCTGGATTAATTATTACTGCTACTGAATTTCCTTTTACGAACAGGTTACAACTTATTAACTTTTGGAGTAATAATAATCGTCTACCTAGCGGAACTTTGGAAAGGTTAAGTTCCGTACTGTATGCACTGTACTCTCCTAATGCCGAATCAGAGGTCATTTTAAGCTCAATACATGGCTCATTAGTGAATAGCTAACGTAATTTTTCTCTCATAAACCTTAAAACTTCTCTTTGGATCATATAGTTTTTGTCTTATTCAACTAATTTAATACTGGAACTTACCTCGCGCAGTCCTGATTATAAATTATCAATTTTTGATCGTCCATTGTCTGAATGCAAATTTCATGTAAGCTATACAAATATGTAGATACATCCTGGTAATTCAATCTACAATGTACTAATCGGTTGGGTAACTAAATATCTTATATAATTTTTCCCTTGATAGGATTACAATGTCAACTACTCATGGCAATATCGTCATGCCATGATGACACCACTATTTGCTGCAACTCAGTTAGGATCGCAAGGATCCATGGCATCATTTTCACTTAGTGGTAGTAGTTCCACTGATGAACATCTGTTGCGTGCTACACAAAGTACGAATTTGCAGTTTACACCAACACAAGACACTGATGCACGTAATTGGCTTGACCCGTCAAGTGTTGATAAAAGTATCCAGTCTTACGCTGCGTTCCTGCAGCAGTCATTATCATCAACTAGTTCTGAAACTTCGAGTACACTACTATTTCTGAGTTCAAAAAGTCCTCGTCAAAGGCCTTTGCAAATGAAACCATTGAGTAAAGATTTCGGCCAGCAAAAACTATCAAGTGAAACTGCATCACAACCACAATCGCAATGTAAGTATTAATTGAATTAATCTACAAGTAAAAATACTTTTAAACAGCATCTCTCGTTTCACTGTTGATAATACGCAACGATACTTAAAGTTCTATTTTAATTTTCCGCGCATAACTTTAGCTGTTTCCCAGCCTTCATCCAGTTTAAATCATTTAAGGCGAAGATATATTAAAAGTGAGATGGCAAATAACGCCTTCTATGCTAAGCGGGAGCGAAGAAAAAAGCAACTTCGTGAGGTAAGAATGACTGTATGACAGATATATATTGTCCAATCCATTTATAAGTAAAAATTTAAAGCAACTAGATTAGATAGGATTTTATCCTTTTGACTGCGTAGGAAATTCTAAAGCAACAGAAGATTGCACGCGAAAATAAGGTTGTTATGTACCGAAAATATCGTGATGGAGAGTTGCCAGATATTCAAATAAAGCATTCTGAATTAATTGCGCCATTTCAAGCTCTTGCTCAGGTTTGTTATCTCGATCAAAAATTACCATTATGTTAATTTAAGTGTAAACGATCTAGTAGGTATATGCACGGGTTCTAACAGTCCTAATTTACGGTATGTACTTTAAAACTCGGGAATATAATCTAAGATTAGTTGAGTACATTATGTAGTGTTGTTTGATGAGAAGGAATGGTAGCCCTGTATGGCTACTAAGATTTCTATAGCTAGAGCTTGATCGCGATTTTATAGTAAATGTAACGTTAGCAATTGGAATTGACAGTTTTCTAATTTTATTATGACATTTTTATTGTGAGAAAGCTTGACAACACCATTGCGCGTATGCTGTTTGCTTCTCTATTCCATGGGATATTTTCTCAAATTGAAGAAAACTTTAACGATGAGGATGCTGCAGAGACAAAAGCGGAAATTAAAGCTTCTCTTAGTAATATTGTCAAAAAGTCGAAACATTACTTTCCTCCGTTGATAGCCTGTGTTCAGGTAAGTTACTTACGGTTTCTGATAATACTGTACTGCAATAAACTCACACAAGCTCACAAGGTGAACCGCCTTATTTATTTCTACTGTATGTATTTTATTGCTGTATTAGGATATTTGTTATCAGCAAAAAGAACTATCAATTCAAAGTAGTTTTGCTAGCGTAGCTAGCTTAGCTAGTTCACAGCAACCAATAGGTACTGTATAAAATTTTAGCTGAAAAGAGCCTTTTTATAAATAGGAGAGTTAAATTTTGAAATATTGAATGAAGTCTAACGCTGCAATATTTATTATTGGAAGGTATTTTACTTTTGGAGAAGCAAATTATGCATCTAGATACTGAGGAACCTCCGTCGAAGCGTATTAAAACGTCAAGCGCCTCAGAAGCCACGAGTAATTGGATTGAATTATCCAAATTATACAAATCTATTGGATATTATGATGTATTGCGTGGCATATTTAGCGGACATTTAGGCACTAAAGACATTACTCAACGAGCCTTAGAAGCGGAATCACGTCATGATTATGCAGCGGCTGTGAAATACTACAATCAGGTAACGTCTGTGCATAATAATTGAGGTGGTCATATTGGAGCTTTATGGGGCGACGTTTTGAAATGTAGCGCTCCAGTGAATTATTCCTAATACGGTAAACTGACTATACTGTTTTAACTAGTATCTTAATAAAACATTCTGATGGATAGGCTATGGATTGTTCAAGTTGGCCCGACGGTGAACCACAGGCGGAGGAAGAAGATCTATGGGAGATCTCTCGATTAGAAGTAGGTTAAATTTTTATCATTATCTCATATCCATAGATGTACATATAAATTCGACTAATTTCTTAATGGTCTTTGCTCTTATATTTCATCATGCAGTGCTTATATAACTTGACACAGTGGGATAAATTAGAATATCTGTCGCTAGTTAACGTTGATAACAATGATCCACCATCATTTGATAAAATATGGGAAGATAATTACTATCAGGTATTGATACTCGCTCTATATTTAAAGTTTTATTTAGGATGTTTGATTTTTTACCTATAAAAATATTAAGGTATTAAGATTCTTAATAACTAAAGACAATATTTTATCTGTATCAGGAGAATTACTTGCCCTTATTTTTGAAAAGTAAGGCCAAGGTCATGTGCGAAAATGACCTAGCTGGAAGTGATCATTTTATTCAGTATCTAAACAAATCACTTGCTAATGACGAACATCTCTCAGTTTTAGAGGTAATTAGAACGGATAATAAAATGGCTTTGGAGAGAGATTTTAATAATTGATTTGTGTTAAGTGTAAATCTTTTATTTGCTGGATACAATTGGCACAATGTTACTAGAAACTTATACCTTATGCTTTGCTTCCTATTTTTAGAATCGTCATTGCGATTGTCTTGCTCTAATCCATGTTCTATTGGAGAAGTACGATCGTGCTCGTTATTACCTAGATTTCTCAATACAGAAATTTTTGCAGGTCTGATTATAATCTAATTTCATTGCTGACTAGCATGGAACTAAGCCCAATTAATCGTTAAATCTGGCTTGTCTTATATTTGCACATTTCTTTGCTATCAGTATAGCTAGAATTATAATATTACTGTGATCGTGGGCTGTATTCTAAATTCTATGGCGATCATGACTGTGCAATTAATTTATTTAGTTATGCTTATGCAATATCTTTTAATTTATTATATTTGATTGGCTGTGTTACTGTTATTTGTTACCTTACTTTGTGTATACGGCATATGATGCCTTTACTAGTATTTTAGGTCATATATTTAACTGTAGACTTTTCATATCTTATATTAGGATTGGTCTGCGTTGGATAGTACTTTATCGTATAGTCGTGCATCCAAACTACAATCTCTGCAAACATTAACTGAAATGCAAGAATTTTTGCAATTCATGGACGATGGACGTGAGTTACTTATAATTATTCAGTCTTGACTCTCGTTCAGTATAAGAATATTGGATTTACTGTTTTTTGTTCAACTTTTGTGCAATTTGAATTATAGGTAATTTTGAATCTGTAACACCTGTGCTTTCTTTAATATCCAAGTGGTCTACACGTTTTCCTAATGAAGTCATTGATCCTATTAATGTCTGGGATGATGTTATCGTTAATAGGTTATCTTATATAAATGCTTATATAAGTTATTGTTATGGCTACTTAAATGTACAATTAGCTAACTGCTATTTTCTTAATAGGTGTATGTACTTGCGTAAGATTTTATTGCAGTACAGAGTCATTCAGACAGCTTTTACGAGGTAAATTTTTTTCATGTATTTACATTGTATTCCTTAAGTAATAAATAATACAATACTCCACCGATACTGGAAAGAGAACTTTTGATTAAATCATATCATAAAGTTTCTTTCGAGGTAATACTTTAATATTATTAATATTTATAGTACTGAGGATTCGATGGAGATCGATGGCGAAGACAGAGTGATTTATACTTTTCCTGTCCTAAAGAAACGAATAGCAGAAGAAGAAGTTTCACTCTATTTGAAACTTGCAGATACAGCTAGGTTACAGGTACACAGTATTTCTATAGCCAATTTTTGCTGATTAAATTATATGTATAACAGAATTTACTTCAGTTGATGTAATTTCTTACCTTTTGATGATAGTCAAATTATCCTGTCGCAATAAAACATCTGCGTCAAACGCTTTATCATATTAATCAGGTAAGTCACGTTTAGAATTATACTACAGTAAAGAATACGTTATCATATGCAGATTTGCAATAAGCTAATCTGTGTGCCTCACACCTTATTAATCAACTACTCTACAAATTAACCTTTCTAGGAGTTAGATAAAGACGAATTACTAACTGTCAAATGGACACATATTTATACCAAAGTCCATTGTGATAAATCGTTACTGACTCCACCTGATGAACGCTTAAAAACGTTACTAACTGCTAATTCGCAATTTGGTATTGCCTCACATTACCCAATGCTAGCTTATAAATATTACTATCTAACATTTCGTCGGTTATCAATTTTCAATTTTTAGAATTTACTAATTACTTTCTATGCTACTCTTTCATTTACACTTTGTTACTAGAAAAAGTTAAAGATTTGAGTGTGATATTAGAAAATACTACATTGATGAGGGAGCATTTATTACTTCGAAGTCGACTATTGGACATGACTAGCAAGATATTAGCAGAATCTGGTAACATACTATCGCGTATACATAAAATTCGAGTTAATATTGCTGATATCCTGTACCAATCGTTTGTTAACGTTGGATATTGTAACTGTTGATTTTTAAAGATGCGTCAATTTTGGACTTATTGAATGAGAAAAAGGAATCTCTTTATCAGCTTGCAAATGTGAATCAACATGATTCTAAAGAAAAAGTATGCCTTTTAGTTCCTGTAATTACTTTGATTAAGTGATGTTATGGTATTTGTAAATATTTCTTCCTTTGTTTTTGAAAGATTGCGGCGAAACTAACATCTCACGCTTGCCAAGCGTTACATCAAGCCGTGAAAGCATCAAAGGAAGAACGCGGTGGAAGGTAATTCAGCGCCTTGACTGGTTTGTGAAGTGAAATTGTTTAATGATTGATCTCAGCAACTCTGTTTTATTTATTCATTGAATAGTAGCTACATTGAAGCTATGATGATGATGGTAAATTTTTGTGACGATATACTACGCCATGAAGAAGATGGTCAAGCAAGTATGACACACTTTTATATTAATTATTGATATCAGCTATAATTAGTATGTACCTCTATCCTGATACTTTCATTAATGCTTCGAATCATATATCCCATAGATCAACCTAAAGGCCTTATTGATACTAAGGTAATGCTGGATATGCTTGATTTTCTGTGGGAGTTCTGGGAATTATATTATCTGATTACTTATTGTATCATAATATTCTGTTAGATTTTCCCGGAAGTAATAATACGTTATACGCTCGAAGCAATGGCTTACAACTCTATGGATGCACGTCAACGTTTTCCACGTTTGTTGCAAATTGTTGAGCGTAATCCTAATACTATTGATGGTTTCATGAGGAAGGTCTGTTTATGAGACACAATCATAGATGATACTAGGATGTCTTATTTGCCTACATAGTTCTAATTTTTTCGCGTTGATTTGGTAGCTTCGTGTTTTCTATAACTATACTGACAATCTTAATTGGTTTAACCAAAGACAGCTCTTTTACACCAGCCGGCAGTTTAATATTAATATTAGATATTTTTAACAACAATATTATTATGTTATTTGTATTTAAACCTGTTGGCTGATGAATTATTTCTTAACACAGATGTACTAGGCATTACGTTTTAAATGATCTTTTATGTCACAGTAGTTTATTGTAGTCTATAGACAGTGTTGATATTTTAACCAGTAGTACGTCATCGATATTTGAAATACAGTTATAGCACGAACATTGTTCAAATCTTTCCTATTGGGATAATACAGTGTATTTTTTGGCTTACGGAAGCAAAATAATATTTAGATAATTACTATAATGGATATAGTATAAGTTTCTATTGGATGCAACATTGATAACAAAATTTTTTCAAATATATACGTAATTGATAGAGTTCTGCAATTCCATCTTGGATGTTTATTGGTTGGATTAGTCAGATGATGGCAATATTAGACAAGCCAGAAGCGAGAGCGGTGCAGGAAATTTTATTCCGAATTGCTGATGAATATCCACAGGTAGAATTACATATGATGTAGCTGAGGCTTAATTAAATTGCGAATGATAATCTTATGATTCTTTATAACTTATGACTAATTTTAATTCTGTTGTCCTAAGGCTATCATTTACGCGTTTAAAGTTAGCAATGAGCAATATACATTTGAAGAAACATCTGTAGGCCGCCAAAATAAGACGGCAGTATCAAAGTAAGTCATCGTGCGCTGCATATAATAAATTTCTAATAAAGTATTCTATATCCTTCAAGTTAAAGATTGTTAAATCATCATGCGTTTGGTTTGGTTTATAGATTAAGTAGTAAATTACAACTGCCACTCATAGAGAGTTTTGTTCGAGCATTGGAGCAGCTGTCTCAGCCCGATTTAGTGTTCAAGGTAGATTGATTCATAATGCTTATAACGTAATTATTTTGATAGATAGAGCGATATCGATTTTTTAGTTATGACTGCGGTACCTTTGGATGATTACCATAATAGGATTGGGTAGACGAAGTTAAAGGTTTGAAGAAAAAGTCTGGTTCTATAGCTGAAAGCATAAGGATTTGCTACCAAAAGTTGCGAGATGGTTTACTCGTTGATGCTTCAAATGAATCAGAAGCTGCTTCATCTTTAACGTCTGGTGAATTGATTGAATTTGGGTCACACAAGCGTCGGTTCATACAGGTAAGATTGATTCATGATAGAAAGATTGAAATGTAGCTTGCTCATTTTAATACGTTTACAATTTTGAAGCACTTTGGAAAAGTTATTGAGCAATATTTTGGAAAAGATGGCAGCAAATTACAATCGATGAAAGCCTCTGTAAGTCTGTTGCTATTATTCTATGTTGAAATGATTATCAGATATTGAAGATTATTTTGATATCTGTTAGGATTTTGAGAAAATAGCTTCCAGATTGATACAAGAAATTTCAGGAAAGATTAAGAATAGGCCAGAAAATTTAAAAGAATATTGCCCTTGGTTAAGTAATTTCCAAGCAGCGAATTTTACTTATTCTATTGAAGTCCCAGGTAAACATTGTTAAAATATGCGGTAGGCCTATCGATAATTTTATATCTAGTTATTAAGATCTTTTACGACATTAATTTACCAAGTAAGATTTAACACGAAATATTTTACGCGTACAATTAGGACAATATACTGGAAGATCAAAGCCTTTACCTGAGTATCACCTTAAGATTGCTAGCTTTGGTGAAAGAGTAAGTCATCGTTTCCTTGCTAAACTTTGGGAATTGATGTAATTAAAAAATCTACGTTTTAATAGTTACTGGTGTTGAAATCAATACGTAAACCGTTAAGATTGACAATTCATGGAGACGACGAAAAGGAATACTTATTCTTAGTAAAATGTGGTGAAGATTTGCGTTTGGATCAACGTATCGAGCAGGTTTAACAACTCGATTATGCTGTTTTCATGTTGATAATATTAATCAAAGTTAAATTCTGTCACGCATATATTTGGTCTGTACTTTTAGCTTTTCTGTGTCATGAATGAAATATTGGCGCAAGATAGTATTTGTAGTCAACAAGATTTAAGACTTCGCACCTATCAAGTTATACCAATCACTCAAAGGTTGAACGAGTGATCCTTATGTACTTATAGTGGCGATGACAATTATAATTTGATGTTGCTATGATTTTACTCAAAGGCTTGGATTGATCGAGTGGATGAAGAATACGATAACGTTAAAAGAATTTGTTACTGACGCTATGGAAGATCATGAGAAGCAGCATTATCTAAGCAGTCAAAAGTAATTAATGCAAGATATCGATAAGCTATCTTAATAATGACCATGTGATTGTTTTTTAATAATGTCATGATTTTAAATTTACAGTTCACCTCATAAACTTTATTCTAAATGGTTGGGTAAATTTGGTAGCGCAGGCGACCCTTTTTATATGTACCAATCGATGTATAGGTAGGTTTATTAACCCTTTATTCCGTACAATTGCAAGTGTGGAATGGTGCAAATATAATTCTATGAACCAATCTTTTATTACTTTTAGAAAAGCTAAGCGTTCTGAAGTAGAAAATCACTTTAAATTCCGAGAGAATTCTGTGCCGTGGGATCTATTGCGGTAATTCGTAATATGCTAGAAAGATTAGGTGAGATATACTTTAATTTGGATCGGCAACTTTTTGATTATTTTGAATTTTTTCTGCTCACAGACGAGGTTTCGTAGCGTTATCTGCCTCTTCAGAGGCATACCTCATGCTTCGATCGCATTTTGCAAGAACTCATGCTACTGTATCTATATGCCATTATTTACTTGGTATTGGTGATCGTCATTTATCTAATTTCATGATTGATCGTTTGACTGGTGGTATGATTGGTATCGATTTTGGCCATGCATTTGGGTCAGCAACTCAGGTATAGTGAAATGATAAAAATGAAATAAAAATGTTAAAGAGATTTTTGCGATATACTTTTTATCTGGAGATTCTATTGCCGATAAATGTGACGAGGAGTTAGGTAATTTGGTAAACTTTAGAAAATATCGATGAACAGAATGAACATCATGACGCAATAAATTATTTAAAGGGCTGTAGTTTGCATAACGTTAAGTTATACAAGTTCCGTTGTTCTGTTGTGAGACTGAATTGATCTCTAAGTAGTTAATCAGCCTCTTTGTAAAATGTTGGTTGGAATTGTTCAGATGGATACCGTGGTATAATCTGTATTTTGTTTTCATTCTATTATAGCTTAGATCTTAATCTATATTATTTCTTACTGCTTGTCGGAACTGCCTAGCTTAAATCATGTTATCTATTAATTAAAGGCAGCTCAATGTTAAAATCGGTTTTTTTTTTATTAGTTCTTGCCACTACCAGAACTGATGCCGTTCCGTCTAACGAGGCAAATGCTGAATTTAATGCTTCCTTTACGAGAAAATGGTCAATTGAAATGTAGTATGGTTCACACATTGCGTGCCCTACGAAATAAACCAGATCTGCTTGTAAACACTATGGATGTCTTTATTAAGGAACCGTCATTAGATTGGCAGGTAAACCTGAGTGATTCGTAATACGCATATTTCAATTATTGACATAACGCCTTCTCCGGTATTCACTGTCTTATTTCTTCTATGTTTTAAATAGAATTTTGCTAACCGACAAAATGCTAAGCAGGGCTTAAAGACAGGTAACTAATAGTCTGTTTTGATTTACAATTAGTCTTGTAGTGTAATGATTATAGTGAACTTTAATTAGTTCAGTATTACAATAAATTAAAGTAAAATAATATATGTTGATTGATTAAAAGTAAGTTATGATTTCTTCCGATTTATAAATATAAATTAGTCTTGAAATGAACTGGTATAGTGAGATTATTCTATATATGCATATTTGTACTACTTTAAATGAAGGAATTCATACACATAATTCGATTAAAGATCGGGAGCTCATTATCTATCTTTGTTTGCAATTTTAGTCTGAAATGTGCTTTCCGTTTTAATGCAACATTACATTAAACTAAAAATTTGCACTGATTACTGCTTTAATAGAATCGGATGATTTTAGTTGGTATCCTCGTGAAAAGGTTACTTTTGCGAAACGCAAATTGAAAGGAGCAAATCCAGCTTTTGTAACAAGGTTTGCTAATTTAGTACGGAATAATTTCATAAGATAAGATCAATTATCTTGCTAATGCATCGCTAACTACCATTTTGTGTGTTTAATATAGGGATGAGCTTAGGCTATGCCATCATTTATCTATTTTGGAGAGTTTCGCGCTGGGGGATAAACAATATAATGAAAGAGCTCGAATGCCAGCTGACAATCTTTCAGTTGAAGATCAAGTCACTTGTCTTATTGATCAAGCTACCGATCCCAATATTTTAGGTCGTACATGGCAAGGATGGGAACCATGGATGTAGTATTATTGCCCGACATTCGCAGCATGATCACTAATAATAATTAATTTACAAGTAATTACTAGGCGTTCTGATCATTGTCGTTTACTTATTGTAATGCTATTAACTTGTAGTGTATTTGTTATACGTGACTTTATTCAAGAGATGCATAAGTTATATTCAATTAGGAGAGGGTTAAGATTGTATTTTTTATATTTGATTGTCAATTGGAGTGACTTATTTACTGGAAATAAGTCTAATGCTGATAACTTTCGTGTTCCATACTACTATATATTGATCGTTTAATCAAGAGTCAATAAATCAGCAGTGCAAGTAGGGAGCTTTCTTATCATGTTCATACTTATAATAACTGTATTAGTTTTAATTACCCACTTTAAAGATATCACTTTCATCAATAAAGATTATTAGATTTTCAGTCTTATGAAGTAAAATCCTATTTATTGTTGATTCGTTGCCATTGTTTAGCCTAACAATACAACTGTTTTACGTTATAAACCGGCTCTCGCATCCAGATGTTCACAGGTAATCAAAATTTACTATATCCGGATATGCAAAATGATTCCTTTCAACAATATTTATTTAGTCATCCGTAGTCCGAACGTTGCCAATATTTGAGTACGAAAGTGCTTCAATTTGTTAAACCAAGCATATACACTGATAAAATTTAAATGGTTACAGTAATCTAACTTCTGTTTATTACTATCACTATCATAGCTGCTAATTAATGAGATACTTTCACATGACATTTCATTCTGATTTTATCTCGATTGTATAGAAAAACGTACACTAAATCTATGAATTTATAAATATATTATTAAAATTCGGGTTCTAGTTTGCCATTGCCATTACTTCCCGCACTTTATTTTCTCGCTTGCGATCTCTATTGACAAACAATCTTGATAAAGCAAGCTTTACGGCTTTCCTGTCGCTTAATCATTAGTTCTGGAACATTAAATATAATTTTTGTTCGCTATCAGTAAAAGATGATTCTCAGATGCTCTTAAATTAGAGTAATTTCATCGTTTAACCCTAGTAATTAGCCATAACATGAAAGTCTTGTCTAATTTCATACATCGGATATCATATTCCCAAGAATATTACTTAAATAGTAAATTAACAATTAGGGCGGTATACTGCGAATGAGCTCAAAGTCCATGACGTTATTGAGAACTATTCTTGCTAAACCATTTAAGCTGTATACTGTAAGACTCGATCTCTACAGTTATTGTGATTTATTGCACCTTTGATTTCTCTTGTTTAATTTGGTCAAACGGAACGAGTTGATTCAATTTGGCGAAATCGACTGAAAATTTATAAGTGTTATCCTCACTTTCGATGTTAGTGAGCATGTCCACAAATTGATGATTTCTGTTCGGAAATAAAAAGGATTACGGATAGTACTTAGTCAAGGTAGCTCTTGGTTGAACTATCAACCGTTACCTAATAAAGTCAACTTACCTAATGATATCTTCGCGTCGATAATGTTTTATTTCATAGACGGTATTGAAAGAACAAGAATCTGTACCAGTAAAGTAGGCCAATAAGTTAAAATCTTCATCTGGATTCTCTAAAGCTTGTCGAAGTAGACTTTCCTCGTTTAATTTATGTGAAAATCTAAGCATGACACTCATCGTAGGAAAGAGACTACTAATTAAAGGGATTTCCCTAAAAGTTGAAAATATTGCAAGTGAAAATATCGAATTAAATGAAACATAAGTCGTTTCAAGCTAGATTGTGGTAAAGGAAATTCAATCTGCATAGACGAAGTTTAAGAGATCGCGATCATTACTTTATTGATTTTACAATCTTAATTACGGTAAATAAGAAAGCTTTCAAGAGAAAATGGTTCGTTTACGTCTTTAACATAATCTAATTATTAGAATTCTTACGTAGTTCGGACACCATTTTCGCCTTCTTTAGTCTGATAGGGTCGTATAATAAATAATTTTAACTGGCAATCAGTGACAGCAAGTCGTGGTCGAATTGTTGTTAACTTTCCTTGTATATTATCAATACCATCGACTGGGTTAATAGTTAACTTGTCAGAGAATTGGATTAGACGAGAAGGTCGTGAGAATCGAGCAAAAACGATACCAGTGATAAACGCCAATAATAACTGAGCTATAAAAGCTTGTAAATTAGCGATCAGGAGTATACCGATATGGACTCGACTAATATCTAAACTTTCCGAGCTTAAACATGTCGTTACAGATAAACTATAGACTAGCCAGTACCAAGGAGAATAAGCTAATTCAAGATCGATAATATCAGCTAGGACATAAGTTATAGCAAAGACAACGCAGACACCAAGATAAATCATACCAATTAAGGTAAAGATATACTTGAATGGCAGTCGAATAATATTACCATAAAAATCATCTCCCAAGCGAAGTTGATAATTTTTAAAAATAATTTGTTTCATTCTGCTCACTGACGTACTACTGATTTTAGACATATTACCGAAATCTGCTTGCTCGGCAATTTCAGCATAATTAAGGCAAATGATATTCCATATAAAGCGAGCTAATACAATTATCCACTCCTTGATGATTTGTACTAACGTTATGATGCCATTTAATATATCTCGAGAGAGACTACGAAATGAATGTTTATCTTTGGAGATGGTGGTTACAACTTGTGAAAGCCGTCTATAATCACGCAATAATTGTCGTTGTTGGTTAGATAATTGACATTGACCTTGACTACCTTGATGAATTTTACCATATTGACGTTTAGTAGACGGCCAGGTTTGGCGTCGTTGCCGTTGTTGTGGGTTAATTTGATTTGATGGATGATTTAGTGTAGCCATTAATGAAGATTGATTAGGATCGTTCAAGTTTAAAATGGTAAAGCGTAATCCATAAAACCTTCTAATGTTATTTACTTGTTGATAATGATAATTCAAAGACTAAGAACTATCCTTCGATCGCGTCTATTACCAAATTACTTTTAATCGATCGAATGATATTCCTAAAGTCTATTTCTTGGATAATTCGTTTAAATTTCAACATGAAGATGATAGTTTTATCACCTATACTTGATGAATATACCGCAAGGTAAAGTAGTAAACTGATCCAAAATCAACTTAAGATGAATATAGGACAGTCAACTAGGTTGATATAATGGGTGGAGGATGATGACTTACTAGTGAACAGATGCAAAATCAACTTAGGATGAAAATATATAACAGTATGCTTGGTTGGCATAAAGGGTGGATGATGATGACTAGTAGAGAACAGATTAAAGATCAAACTTAGGATGAATAGAGAACAGTATACTTAGTTGGCATAACGTGTGGATGATGATAATTAATATAGCAACTTGGAATATTCTAGCTATTATAAATATACTATAAGGTATCTTACCATACATTGAACTCAGTCATGATTATAATAACTCCTATTGCTTTTATAATTTTATTAATACTACTTTACAATGTTAATCAATTCATAGTAGCTAGTATTGACACAGAGGTAAATCCCGGCTAGGGTGTCTTAACAAGTTGCAGGAAGATCAAATAATCGTAATGCTGATTCATTGTGTTTCTAACTATTCTATATGTTGCGTAATATTGGTCAGGAGTTTCTATAATTTACTTTAGAACAAAGACTCACGTTTACAATTGTAACAGAAACAATATCCTCATCATTGGAAAGTATATCATTATTCTTGCATAGTGCTGGTATATATGCAAGAAACTGATAGTTTACGAATTTTAATTGGTTATCTACACCGGGCTTTACATCGTAACTTCTTAATCACCGTAGAGATCTCAAATGGTATACTAATGTAAATTGAAGGTAGAAACAATTTGATAAAGATCAAGACTAGATAAAAGACGAGAGAAATAGATAAAATAGATCATTCAATCATCAAAGAATGGTACCCAAAATAGATAGTTTATTCTATTGGTTTACCAGGGTTTTCTTTTGATAGATAGAGGCTTCTTTCTATCTTTCTTTAGGCTGCAGGTACTGGTGGACGTACGAATATTTATATCGAATGGTATACTAGCGTAAGCGGAAAGTATCAATAGTCTAGAATAGATCAAGCCAGGATAGAAGACTGCAAAAAAGGACTAAAGGGTGCTAGTATCTTTGATTTTGATCTTTTTGTCCTCTATATGCAAAGAATACTCGATAATAAGTTAATCACGGTTTTCACTATGACGATATAAATAAGATACGCTCATATTGCTCAAGGTGATTAAGATATTGAGAGATGCTGCTTGAATACCATTATATTGTATAAGATCATTTATTTAATAGTTGCAATATTAAGTCATGCAAGATGAACAGGAATAGTGGTATCGGAGAACGAAATCTATGTAGACAAGGCAAATTGGTCAATGCAAAATGATATCAACAGAAGATGATTAAGTCTTAAGATAACGGTACTAGAGAATAATATGTAGAGATACGATATATAAACGAAGGTACTAGAAGCCACTTAAATATATATCTAGACAAGGTATGCTCGTAGGTAAATGCGAAATAATACCGTAGATGATTAACGTAAAGGTATTAAAGAATGATTTGTAGACACGATATATAAACTTAAGTACTAGCAACTGCTTAATAAAATATACAGACAAGCCATATACTCGTAGGTAAAGGTACTTGTAATAACCGAGTAATAGTCTCTTACTATTACTGTTTGTTCACCTACGTAACCCCAAAATTTAGCCAGCCACTGCACTACTACAAGTAGCTGAAATCATCACAGTAATGGAGAATGATAAGTGAATGTTATGGTTAACATCGATTAATGGATAGCATCAGAACTATCCCGGGTAGTATCGATGTTATCAGCCACTTCTACTGAAAATATAGCGAAGATTAAGTTAGAAAGATCGTATGAGGATCGTTGAACTTGTATACTAGACCATTTAAGTATCTACGCTAGTGGATGATAAGAACATCGAAAACGATACATTATGTAAATGTAGCAAATAAACTATTGCACTAGAAGCTGCTTAAATGTTATTATGATTATACATATGTAATTAATTGTTAATTCAAGAAGTGTATTATGAATTCATGGAAGATGAAAATGATAAAGGCATCGAAGAACGATATCATATGTAGACGACAGCATATAGACGAAAGTGCTAGGAGTTGCTCCAATTGACATGAAATTTCGTTTTGAATTTATGATTTTATCTCGATTGTATAGAAAAACATACAGTATACTAAAACTATAAATATTCTGTGGAAAACTTTGGTTGTAGCTTGCCATCGCCAATACTTCCCTTAATTTACTTTCTCGCTTGCAATCTCTATTGGCAAATAATCTTAAGAAAGCAAGTTTTACAGCTTCACTATCGCAGAATCATTAGTTATGGTACGGATTAAATATAATCCTACTTCGCCATCAGTAAAACAATCTTCTAATATCATTCAATTAGAGTCATTTCTTCGTTTTGTCCTAGCAATCAGCCATAATGCAAAGCGTCTTGTCTAATTTTATACATCGGATATCATATTTTCAAGAATATTACTTAAATGATAAATTAGCTATTAGAAGCTCGTATACAATGAATAAGCTCGAATTCCTATAGATGTCTTGATTGATCGTAGTTTTGATTCCCTAAGTTAGACTAATTAATTTTTTTATTTAAACCAACAAGTTTTAATATTATTAGACCTTTTTATGCTATTTTTAGATCGCTAATGACGTTAATGAGAAACATTCTTGCTAAATCATTCGAACTGCATACTATAAAATTCGATTTCTATAGTTGCTGTGACTTATTGCAGTTTTGATAACTCTTGTTTAGTTTGATCAAGTGGAACGAGTTGATTTAATTTGAAGAAATCGACTGTCAATTTTTTAGTATCATCTTCAGCTTCGAGCTGAGAGACCATGTTCACAAATTGATGGTTTCTATCAAAAGTAAAATGATTACAGATAACTGTTTCAGTAAAGGTAGCTCTCCATCTGCATATTAGCTAACGCTAGTAAAGTAATAATTCATAGAATTTTACTTCTCGACTTACCTTTTGATATCTTCGCGTCGATAATGCCTTAATTCATACATGGTATTGTAAGAACAAGCATCCGTGCCAGTAAAGTAGGCCAATAGGAAAAAATCCTCATTTGGAGTCTCTAATCCTTGTCGAAGCAAACTTTCATCATTTAATTGATGTGAAAATTTGATCATGATATCCAATGTAGGTAATATACTATTTGTTAATGGGAGTTCTCTAAAAATTGAAAAGCGAAAATGTCGAATTAAATGAAACATAATCCATTTATAAAATGTAAGGAAAGCAATTTCGAGCTAGATCATTGTAGAGGAAAATTTTTTAATCTGTCTAGATGAGGTTATAAGCGCTTAATTTATTTTATAATCTTTATTATGGTGAACAAGAAAGCTTTCAAGAGAAAGGGATTCGTTTATGACATCAACATAACCTAAAACTAGAGTTCTTACGTAGTTCGGACACCATTTTCTCCTTCTCTAGTCTGATAGGGCCGTACGATAAACAATTTTATCTGGCAGTCGCTAACAATAAGTCGGGGTCGAATTGTTGTTAACCTTCCTTGAATATAATCAGTACCATCGATTGAATTAATAATTAACTTTTCAGAGAATTGAATTAGGCGAGAAGGTCGTGAGAATCGAGCAAAAACGATGCCGGTGACAAATGCCAATAACAACTGAGCTATAAAAGCTTGTAAATTAGCGATCAAGAGTATACCGATATGGACACGACTAATATCTAAACCTTCCGAGCTTAAACATGTCGTTACAGATAAACTATAAACTAGCCAGTACCAAGGAGAATAAGCTAATTCAAGATCGACAACATCAGCTAGGAAATAAGTTATAGCAAAGACAACGCTAACACCTAGATAGATCGTACTAATAACTATAAACATATAGCTGAATGGTAATCGAATAATATTACCATAGAGATCATCTCCTAAGTTAAGTCGATAATTTTTATAGGTAACTTGTTTCATTCTCCTAGATAAAATACTGCTTATATTGGTTTTATCGCCATAATCTGCTTGTTCGGCAATTTCAGCATAGTTAAGGCAAATTACATTCCACATAAAGCGAACCAATAAGATCAGCCACTCCTTGATGATATGCGCTAATGCTTTAATAGCATTTAATATAGATCGAGAGAAACTCTGGGGCGAATAATTATTTTTGCAGAGGGTGGTTACAACTTGCCGTCTAAAATTACGCAATAATTGTCGTCGTTGTTTGAATAGTTGGCATCGACCTTGATTGCCGTGAATATTTTTACGAGATTGAAGTTTGGTAGATGGCCAAGTTTGGCGTCGATGCCGTCGTTGCGGATAAACTTGATTGGATGGATGATTTAATATAGCCATTAAGATTGATTAGAATTGTTCAAGTTTAAAATATCAAAGCGTGACTTTATCGATTTTCCTTAACGCTATTTATTTACTAACAGGTATAAAATGATCTTTTAATTGCTTTTATTGCGAAATGGAAGTTGCGTATCTTTTCTATCGACGGAATGATATCATTAGAGTCTATTTCTTGAATAATTCGTTTAAATTCTAACCAAAAGAATATATAGTTTATTTTCTACATTTAATTTTATAGCAAGGTAAAGTAGTTTACAGATCAAAAATCAACTTAGGATGAATACTTATATAACAGAATACGTGTTTGGCATCAAGGATGGATATTAGTCCATGTAGCAACTTGGAACATTTTAGCTTTATGAGTCTATCTCCCAGGTATACTACCATACGCCGAATTCAGCAATGATAATGATTATTTTTATTACTCTTACAGCTCTATTAGTACTCTCCTGTAAGATTAATAATTAATAGTAACTTTTATTGATATAGAGTTAAATTCTAACTGGGGTATCTTGAGCTAGAAAACGGCCAAACAGTCAAAATGCTGATTCATTGTGTTTCAAAACTTTTGTACAGAGTTGTTTTTATTATGTTAGACAGTTTCCATGATTTTAATTGACAACAAAGACTGACATCTACAATTACGATGAAAATAATATGCCCGTAACATCATTGGAAAGTATATCCATATCCTTACTTTGATCATCCACTTTACCAGTATCGATCCAAAAAGAGATACATTATTCTAATAGTTTATCAGCATCATGCTTTACATCGCAACATTTTATTCACTGTATAGATCCTCAATGATATACCAATGTAAATTAAAAGTAAAAACGATTGGAAAAAGATCACGTCTAGATAAAAGACTATAGGTATAGATAAAATGGGTCATTATGAAGAAATGATGACGAAAATAGATATTTTATCATAATATCTTGTCAGGACTTTCTTAACGTGGCAGCTTTTGGTGGAAGCATTTATGTCTAACGATATAATAGTATCAATTGAAAGTATTGATAGTTTAAAATAGATTAAACCAGGGTATATGATAGCAGAAATGGACAAAAGCGTATCATTATTATTGACTTTGATACGTTTAATCTCTATACCGTGTGCAAAAGAATGAAATGAAACCAGATAATAAGGTAATAGCTGTAATGCGGCCCCAAATATAGCTTAGATTACGATCCAAGGTTGTATGAGAATAGTTTAAACTGTACGAATTATGAATAGATCGCGCGATGGTAAATTTAGATCTGATCTTGATTCTTAATTGGCAAGATATGATTATGTAGCTGAAACGTATTCTATGACTTAATGTATATGAGTATAAACCGTGAATTTTGTTGTAATAATTAAGATAGTCAGATAGTCCTTGGTAGAGGTTAGACTAACCAAACTTATGTAATTACATGTAGAGTGAAATTTACAAGAAACTGTAGTTCTTGATTTAGTGTTGAAGAAATCACAATGAAAGATAAATATGATAAGAATATCGGAGTATGATATATATGTAGACGAGTATTACGGTGTTAAAGACCACCGTAAAGTAAAACACATTAAAGAGCTTGTCGTTAGGATTATGGATTGTAAAATTAATTCATTTTTTCTAGCAAGATCGAGTGAATTAGTTAGTTACCTAATTTTTAAGAGAGCTCCAAGATCAGATCGTATTCTAATCATCACTGTCTCGTATTATATACGCGCTCTAACGTATTTTAAAGTAGAATATAAAGTGATACAAATTTAGGTCTAAGAATAGACGAAAGCCTATATCGTTTACTAGTATTAATTTTTAGCTATTCACGAATATAAATAGAATGTATAAAGCGAGTTACTTTTATAATAATAGAAAGTCTGTCATTTTATCGTTTATGCGTAAGGAGTCTATATCATTTCTGCCATGAAACTTAAGGGAGAAGTTTATAGTTGTCAGGAAGGACTAATTTTGATAATAGTTCGAGATAGAAGGAGAAGATCCAGAAATATGTCCGGTATATCTTTATCACAAGAATATCATATAATCATATTGGTAAAATTTATTATAAATGAAAACAGATGCTATGTTGAAAAAGCTTACTGTTCCGATTCGTTTAAAGACTAACTAATATTTATATATCGGAAGAAAATTGGAGGTTACTTTAATTCATCACTATAAATTGTTTTACGTTAAGATACTGTAGTATTAGAGCCAATTAAAGTTCATAATGCTAATATACTGCAAGACTAATTGTGAATTAAAGTATTATCTGTTACCCATCACTAAGTCCTGCGCAGTATTTGTCGGTTAACAAAATTCTATTTACCACATAGAAGAAAGAAAATATTGAATACCTAATGAGGCAGTATATCGATAATTATGGAAGGCAATTGTCTCTAAATACACATACCTCAGTAACCTAGAATGATCATACTTTTCCAAAACTGATCTCCTATGAGTAATAGTGTTTATATAGCTTCTATTGTACAATCTAATTCATGGTCTGATACTGTAGCGTAAAAGCAATCACTGTCTTTACTCATATCTTAATAATCTAAAACCCTTATTATATTATTATAACTGATCTGTTGATAAAAATTAAATTAAATTGGCTAGTATGAATGTATAATAACTGTATTAGTTTTGACTACCCACTTTAAAGATATCACTGCAATCAATAAAGATTATTAGTCTTCAGTCTTATGAAGTGAAAATCCTATTTATTGTTGAGTTTGCTGCCGTTATTTAGCCCTTATAAAGCAATTATTTTACGCAATAAACCGATTCTTCCGTCTAGATATACGCAGATAATCTAAATTGACCACTGTATGTGTATATCCAGATATATTAAATGATTCATTTTAACAACATTGGTTCAGTAGTCCGAATGTTGCCAATATTTATTCAGGTACGAAAAATACTTCAATTTGTTAAATCAAGTAAACATATGCTGTGATATAATTTAAATTGTTAATATAATTTCTGTTTAATGCTATCACCATCATAGCTGCTAATTAAATAAGATACTTTTACATGACATCTTATTTTAATTTTAATTTACGATTTTATCTCGATTGCGTAGATATTCGTATAATAAATCTATGAATTTATAAATATGTTCAAATTTGATTCTACTTTGCCATTGCCAATACTTCCTGAAATTTACTTTCTCGCTTACGATCTCTATTGGTAAATAATCTCGGTAAAGCAAGTTTTACGGCTTCGTTGTCCTTAATCATTTGCTATCTCGCGGCATGGATTAAATCAAATAGAATTCTAGTTTGCTATCAGTAAAGATGATTGTCAGATACTCTTGAATTAGAGTCGTTGCTTCACTCCGCCCTAACAATCAGCCATAGCGTAAAAGTCTTGTCTAATTTTATGCATCAGGTATCATATTCCCCAGAATATTACTTAAATAGCAAATTAATTACTGGGAGCTGCATACGGTTCTATGAATAAGCTCAAATTGCCATAGTTATTTTGATTTCTTAGGCAAGACTAATTGTTTCGTTCAAACGCAACAAACCTAAACATTGGTGGACATTTTCATGCAATTTGAACTATTCTTGCTAAACCACTTTGAACCACATACTGTGGGTAAGCTCAAATCTCTATAGTTTTTACGATTTATTCTAGTATTGATTTCTCTCATTTAGTTTGATCAAATGGAATAAGCTGATTTAATTTGGCGAAATCGACTATAAATTTTTCGACACCTTCTTCAGCTTTGTCTATAGAGATCATGTCCACAAATTGATGGTGTCTAGTCCAAGATAAAAACGATTGCAGATAGCACTTTTAGTTAAGGTAGCTCTTCGTTAAACTATCAGTCTGTGCTAATAAAGTAATCATTCATACACTTTTATTTTACGACTTACCTAAAGATATTTTCGCGAGAATAACGTTTTAATTCATACATAGTATTGTAAGAACAAGCATTCGTGCCAGTAAAGTAGGCCAATAGGATCAAATCTTCATCTGGAGTCTCTATTGCTTTTCGAAGTAAACTTTCATCGTTTAATTGATGTGAAAATTTGATCATGAAATCCATTGTAGGAAAAGCATTATTGACTAAAGCGAGTTCCCTAAAAGTTGAAAACATTACAAATGAAAGTATCGGATTAAATGGAGCACAAGTTATTTTATGAAATGAAAGAACATGGTTTTAAGCTAAATCATTATAGAAGAACATTCCAATCTACTTAGATGAGGTTATGAGCGCTTTATTTATTTTTGGGCCTTAACTATTATAAATGAGAAAGCTTTCGATGGAAAATGTTTCGTTCACGTCTTCAATATCATCTAATTGCTAGAATTCTTACGTAGTTCGGACACCATTTTCTCCTTCTTTAGTCTCATAGGGCCGTACGATAAACAATTTTATCTGGCAGTCGCTGACAATAAGTCGGGGTCGAATTGTTGTTAACCTTCCTTGAATATAATCAGTACCATCGATTGAATTAATAGTTAACTTATCAGAGAATTGAATTAGACGAGAAGGTCGTGAGAATCGAGCAAAAACGATGCCGGTGACAAATGCCAATAACAACTGAGCTATAAAAGCTTGTAAATTAGCGATCAAGAGTATACCGATATGGACACGACTAATATCTAAACCTTCCGAGCTTAAACATGTCGTTACAGATAAACTATAAACTAGCCAGTACCAAGGAGAATAAGCTAATTCAAGATCGACAACATCAGCTAGGATATAAGTTGTAGCAAAGGCAATGCTAATACTAAGATAGATCGTACCAATAAGTATAAACATATAGCTGAATGGTAATCGAATAATATTACCATAGAGATCATCTCCTAAGTTAAGTCGATAATTTTTATAGGTAACTTGTTTCATTCTCCTAGATAAAATACTGCTAAAATTAGTGTTATCGTCAAAATCTGCTTGTTCGGCAATTTCAGCATAGTTAAGGCAAATTACATTCCACATAAAGCGAACCAATAAGATCAGCCACTCCTTGATGATTTGTGTTAACGCTTTAATAGCATTTAATATAGATCGAGAGAAACTCTGAGACGAATAATTATCTATTGAGAGGGTGGATAGAGTTTGCCGGCTGAAGTCAAGCAATAATTGTCGTCGTTGTTTGAATAGTTGGCATCGACCTTGATTGCCGCGAATATTTTTACGAGATTGACGTTTGGTAGATGGCCAAGTTTGGCGTCGATGCCGTCGTTGCGGATAAACTTGATTGGATGGATGATTTAATATAGCCATTAAGATTGATTAGAATTGTTCAAGTTTAAAATATCAAAGCGTAGCTTTATCGATTTAGTCGGATGCTATTACTTATTGACAAATATTAAAACTATCACTCGATTACTTTTATTACAAATAAACGTATCATATCTATTTATCGATAGAATAATATCATTAGGGTCTATTTTTGGGGATAAATAATTCAAATTCTAACGAGAAGAATATGGTTTATCTTGTATACTCGATACAGCAAGGTAAAGTAGTTAGCAGATCAAAAATCAACTTAGGATGAATTTATAACTATATTTTGTTGAGCATCCAGGATGGATAACCATATTCTATGTAGCAACTTAGTATATTCAAGCTCTTATGAGTCCATCTCAAGGTACACTACTGTGCATCAAACTCAGCCATGATAATAATTATTATTATTACCTTTAAAACTCTATTAGTACTGCCTTATAAGATTAATAATTAATAGTAGCTTTCATTGATTAAATTCTAACTGGGGTGTCTGGAGCTAGAAAAGGATCAAACAGTTGAAATACTGATTCATTGTGTTTCCAAACTATAGTATAGAATTTACTTTATAATAGTAAACAGTTTCTATGATTTATTTGACAACAAAGACTGATATTTATAATTACGATGGAAACAATATGCCCGTTACATCTTTGGAAAGCATATCGCTATCGTCGACTTTGATCTTCCATGGTACTAGTATCGATCCGAAAAAAGAGATAGAATATTTTCATAGTTTGTCAGCATCGTGATGTACATCGCAACAGTTTATTCACTGTATAGATGTTTAGCTAATAGTAAACTAAAGTAAATTAAAAATAGAAACGATTAGAAAGGGATCAGGTCTAGATGAAAAGACTGCAGGCTTAGATAAAATAGATTCTAATGAAAGAATGAAGACAAGAATGGATAGTTTGTTCTAACATCTTGTCGGCGCTTTCTTAACGTCGCAGCTATTGGTGCACACATTTATGCTTAATAGCATGCTAGTGTCAATTGAGAATATGAATAGCTTAAAATAGATCGAGCCAGGTTATAAGGTGGCTGCGATAGACTGAAGTGTGTCATTACCTTTGATTCTGATGTTTTTGATCTGTATACGAAACGAATAAAATAAACTAGATAGTAAGTTAATAGCAATTTAATAAATATGATATTTAAAGACATTACTAAAGATGATTGAGATAATGAGAGAAGCTGCTTTAAGACACTCGTATAAAATGAAAGTATTGGTAGTTTAAAATAGATCAAGTCAAGATAGAAGGCAGCAGAGACGGATCAAAACGTCTTATTTTTGATTTTGATCTTTTTGATCTATTTGATCTCTATGCGAGTATATGAAGAATAAAATAAAGCTAGATAATAAGTTAGAAACAATTTAATAAATATGATATTATCAACAAGATATTGCTCAAGGTGATGATAAAGATAATGAGAGAGGCTGTTTCAATTCTGTTATAATATATGAGAGAATTCGTCACTTATTCAATATTTGCAATAAGAATCATGAAGATGAATCGGATAGGGGCATCGCAGAATGATGTTTATGCAGACGAGTCATGTAGACAAATTAAAAATGACTAAAGCTGCTTAAACGTTATTATGATACATTATTATAGCGGGTATAGGCTGTATAGTGTGATTAATTCAATCATTGTAAGAAAATACCACGTAAGATAGGTAAGAACATCAGAGAAAGATTTGTAGACTAGGCCACGGACTTATAGTAATCTATGACAAGGCATATCTACTAATGTGGCAGAAGCTGCTCAAATAATATTATGGTAACCTACTCTAGAGTATGGTTAATTGTAGAATAGTAAAATGATATCATAGAAGATGATTAGCGTAACGATACTGGAAAATACTATATAATTGGCACACTAGATTAATTAAGGATGATAGAAAAGGTTTACATGTTTTGCCATAGTGTCTATCAACCATAGTCATGACCAAGCTAGATTATTGAGATATGAGTATAAATTTACCCATTACCGAATAGTTTATTCCAATAATTAGCATACTAGATTAGTTAAGGATGATTTTGAAGATCTGCTTATTTTATTATGGAGTCTAACTATAGAGATATGAGGCTAAATTTACCCATTACCAACTAGGGTAGTTTATCGTAATAATTAGCATACTAAATTAATTGAGTATCATAGAGAAGATTTGCTGTCTAGGCTGCGTTAAAATAGATCAAGACAGATACAGTTTACATATATCTAACTGTAGGAGTCAATCTAGTTTAATTTTTTGCTGCAGATCAGTTACAGTAATGATTATTCTAAATTATTGAGATATGAATGGGGACAATGATCACTTTTACGATAGAAATTATATAAACACAGTTACTAATGGTAGATCGGTTTTATAATATAGTCTCATTCTATGCTATTGAGATATGAATATTGGAGATGATTGGCTTCTAAATTATTGTATCTAGTCTACCATTCTAGATTATTAAGATATAAATGAAGCTAATGATTTTATTAACAATATACTTTCTCGAACATGGATTAGATTGTATAATAGAAGATATATAAACATAATGTTTCATGGTAGATGTTTCATGGTAGATCAGTTTTTAAAAGCATCATTATTCTATGCCGTCTGATATATCAATACTTGCAGATGGATGTCTTTTAAAATGTAGTATCTAATTTACTCTAAGGTAGGTGTGATATATACCAATCACGAAATTCCAAATTTTAGAAAAATAAGGGCTTTATTCAATCTTATACAAAGATTAACTACACAGCTCTACTCTAGCCGAATACTACTACTAAAGACTTCTAGAACGAACTAACAGAATAATCTAAAGTTGCATGCTTTTATACTTTCCGTAGCATTCGCAGCTACAATCCGCATGGCAACCTTTTACCTTATTTTACACATAGTTAAATTATTCTTAGTAAGACTATTCTACTGCGGACCATTATTAATCCAATATGGATACGACTACAGTACTTACGTAGACATTATTCACACCAGCCAAAGTACAATGAATTAACCATATCCTAATATATGATTTACAGTTCTATTTTTATCTATAGCCATATTAGTAACTCAACAGCTTACTGTATATAGTCATCTGTACTCTAGCATAGAGTCTCTATCACTACAGTCTATAGTTACAGCTACCAAATATCTCTTAGGATAAATATCTACCGTACATTATACTACACATGGCTAACAGTCTACAATCATAATACTAAGTTACATTACAGTAGGTTAAGATAGAAATAAAGTAAATTTCAAAAGCTAAGTAAACATCATTATTCTGCAAATCGATTTTAATTATATTCTTCTAGATCATCAAGATATGAATATTGGAGATGATTAATTGTTATTAACAATATTGTTTACAAATTATAGTATTTAACATAGCCTTATCAAAAGTTTGCCATTCCTCACATGTAGGAGTAGCAAAAAAGACTAGAATTCAACCGCTTGTCAAACAGCTGTAATCTACTTTAGCTCAGTTGTGATCAATTTTAATGATATCAGGACATAAACACTGAGCGTTAGAATAAACTTATTCAGACTTATTGCTAGCATTATCCTAACTTGATGGGCTGTAAACTACTTAAAGAAATAGTCTACATAGTATTTTTAGGATCAAATATTGTCGAAAAAAATTATGTATATAAAATTATATCCACTAGAGAACAAAATGAATAAACTAAATAAATCATCGGAATAAGAATACCACGAATTCTCTAATGATACTCTTAAACCTTTGAAACTTTGTTGAGTGGAATAACTTGATTTAATCATATTGTTAATTTAAATTACATCGAGTAAATAAAGTAAGAGCAAATAAACTGGATAGATTAGAGTCGTCAATTTCAGTTATTCATATTTCTTTGCCTTCAGAACTCTCTTCCGTTTCATAATCTTTCAACAGTATGACTTGACTTAATTTATCACAAAAGATATAAACATCTTTTTTGTTGTCTTTGGAATAGATATTTTCTACCATATTGGCAAAGCGAGCATTTCTGCAAGCATAGACAACAGAATGAATAAACAGCAAGAAAATGAATGCACGAATTTATTTCAGAATCTAAGTATGTTAGAATGTATGTTAAAAACACAAAACTGCAAAGTAAAATTCAACTGAAATTGCTCTTGTCTTACTTGACGATATGTTCTCGACGATATCGAATAAGATCAAACACTGGATTCATATTACAAGCATCAGCACCCATGACACAAACGATTAGACCAAAATCTTTCGATGAATTCGTCAAGGTTTGCCTAAGAAGACTTGAATCATCTAATTGATGAGAAAATTTAACCGCCATAGCCACAATTGGGAATGTATCACAAGCAAGCGGTAATGCACTGTAATGATCGAGAATAGAGTTAAAACAATAATCGAATCCGTCAAGGTTATATTAATCGATAATGGGTATAAGGAAAACAACATCGAAAGGATAGGCCTTAATGAATTGTTCTAACTAATACCCGCATTCACTTACTGAACACTAAAGCCGTTCTCTCCTTCCTCAGTATGATAGGATCGAGTTAAGTACAACTGAATAATGCAATTAAATACGCCATATCTTGGTCGAATGGGTGTGAATCTTCCTTGCAAGTAGGAAACACCATTAATACGATTGATGATTAATTTATCGGCAAATTGAATTTGTCTTCGTCGTCGTGAGAAACGAGCAAAGACTATACCAGTCACCGATGCTAGTAATAACTGAGATATGAAAGCTTGTAAATTAGCTAACAAAACTAATAAAAGATGAGCTTGATCAGGATCCAGACTATCGGAACCTAAGCATGTAGTGGTCGATAGGCTAAAAACTAACCAATGCCAGCATGAATAACCAAGTTCAAAATCAATTAAATCGGCACAAACATAAGCAAAGGTAAAGATGATACTAGTAACTAAATAGATCATAGCAAAGAGGCTGAAAATATAACTCCATGGCATTCGTACAATATTGCCGTATAGATCATAATCTAAGCGGATTTGGTAATTTTGAAAATGGACATTTTTTAATCTATTCGCTAATGAATCATCCATCGCCGAAGTTCCATCTAAATCAGCACGTTCTGAAGCCCTGATATAGTTTAAGCATACACAATCCCATAGATATAAAGATAAGAAGATGATGCATTTCTTGATCCATCGATAGAGTGATTGTATCATCCACGGAATTGCATTGACGGTCATACAAAGAAGATTAGGTTGCATTAGAGTATCGGCAATAACTCGAGATATCCGGCGAAATAATCGTCGTAGATACGATAGTGAATTAAACCTTGAGCTATTTTTTGAGCTAAAGTTAGGATACATCATCCTTGGCTGATGTGGCCAGCTATGTCGACGTTCTTGTATTGCGGCATTCTTGATATCTTGAGCATTTTGAAAAGCCATGGAGACAGAATTTGAAAGAAAATGGATGTCCAGGTGTTCTATAGTTAGCAATGGTCAGTAAGGGATGTTTGGTTATTGTCTACGCTATTTTTATGATGGGCACATAGTAAGATACTAGATAAATCAACAACCCGTTTACTTACTAATAGCTCGATGTAACTGGTACCGTACTAAATGGTAATGTAGTTCAAAAGTACTTATCAGCAATACTTTTAGCTTGGACTCCTATATATTGAATCAAACTTAGTTATAGTCAAGAAAATAATTGATTGTCTGCATGGAATAATTGGGCTAATTAATCAGAACCTTTCATAAGAAATTAGATACAATAATAACTATGGACGTAATTAATGATCAAGGCTTCGTCTCGGGATATATTAATGAAAATATAATTGGACTCATATAAATAGTAGTCAGAATTATCTACCTTATTTGCATAATCAGATGAAATTATGAGATTTTTATATCCATTTCATATAGGACAATCAGGATTGATGATGTCGAAGGAAGAGGAAGTCTTTTACTTTTCCTTCCTACAGATTTGTAGAATTAAAATTTTGATATTAGTGTCTGATTTATAATCCTGTACTTATACTATCTTATCGTCTGGCTTTTACTATATTAGTTTCGATTTTCTCGTCTATCTATGGAGTTTAGTGATCGTGTAGTAACATTGGTAAATCTTTTTATTTTGAACTACATCTCCGTTTCATGATTCAAGCTCTCTACTACGGTATAAGTTATCATTAATCCACTTTTAAATTCAAATTTAATTTCTTATAAGCATGACATATTGAGTTTTTATGGCTAGCTTCGAAATTAACATTCTGTCATCACTAAATTATTGCATAATGAACGTTAAGTTATGAAATTAAATCAAACTTAGATGCGAAATGTCGTCCGATGCACATGTGTATTATTTTCTAAAGACATTAACTATAAATAGAATGATTATTTAAAGATTCAGTATTAATCAAGGCCCTAGTTTTTGATTATATACAATCACCTTATATTATAATAGAGGCTTATATTGATGATGGTTTATTGATAAACTGCTCCTGCTAAAAGAATTTCAAAAATTAACTGTAAAAGTGTGATATCCTATCGTTATAACCAATTTACTATTCAAATTTCTGACCGTTAAGATCATCGATATTGTCGGTATATCTTTTAGGGTAAAGTCTATAAATTCATATCGCAAAGTATTATATTACATTTTCATTTCCGTTGGTAGCTAGACCTCTATCACTCTTGCAAAGCCAACAATTGTGTAAGTTACAGATTAAATTCTATATATGTACAGATACTGTAACAAATGAAAGAATTGGAAATAATGTTAACATCAATTGTCACTTTAGGACAGCCTGCATATTATTAACACTATAAAGATACATTGGATTAAATTTATTTATATTAGGCAGTGAATCGATTAATTTGATTGATAGCATATAATATTGGGCTAATTGTTAAGTTAGTTTCCATGGCAAGGAAATTTGATTTAATTAGCTATAGAATCTTTTGCATTGAAATATGATCTAACTAGATATTATTATTGTTCAATCTAGTTAGAATTAAAACAATAGGATAGGAAAACAGTCAAATTGTAAATATAGCTACTATCAAAATTCTTTTATCAATAATTTATAAAACTTGCACGAATATCAGTCATCGGTAGAGAGATGAAATAGTGTTATAGCATAACAAGAATTTAGAACTAATCATGAACATTATCATTGTTGCTATAATTCCATACTATTGCCTATTAATAGTACAATTCATATTAATATTATTAGCATACAGTATAGAGCAATGGAATATGATCATTATCAGACAAGATTGCTATCGTTAGTACGTTACACCACGTATAATTGGTGAGTAAGATCAATCGGTAATCTACTTCTATGTTAGTACTACGAGGAACAACTCAATGGTAACACAGTATAAATCGATTAGTAATCAACTTGTTTGTTAATAACAGCCTATTCAGTACGAGAGAATCGGACAATCACCTAAAATTATCTTCCACTAGTCCTATCTAGATATCAATCCTTGATCTACGTTAATATTAGCGGTCTACAGAATGATGAGACAGGAATACTACAGTAACTAAAAGTATTTTATAGTGCGACAGCTAAAAGAACAATCTATACTTCTGACTATAGGTTAAATGCACGATTATTGAATAAAGTTTGGTGGATATTATTTGAACCTTGGTAATACCTTTGCATACCGTTAATATAAGCGTCTACTTGTAGGATATATTTATACTATTGCATTAAAACTGCATAGAGCGACGTAACAGCATATTTGGATTGTATAATGGTCCGAGTACCATATAATACCATAAGAACTAAATATTCTACTGCATTAAAAGTCATATACTTCTGTTTGTTAGATGTAACCAAACCGAAATTGATTGATAATATTGGTAGGGGATAAAATGATTGAATAGGCCATAGCTTTGTAATATTTCATCGTCTTAATTGCATACTGATTATCTCAATTTGCCTGGCTAATTTATGGTGGTCTGACTACCATACGACTAAACATTCTGTTGTATTAAAAGTCTTATATTTCTTTTTTAAGGACGTAACTAAACCGAATTTGATTAATAATGCTTGTAGGAGATGAAATGATTAAATAGGCCATAACTTTGTAATATTCCATCGTCTTAATTATCTACTGATTAGCTCAATTTACTAATCTTGCTAATTTAATTACTCAAATCGCTATAAATATTGTTACTACTATCTATACTCTAATCAAAGATAGGTTTAATCTATAAGTATTACACGCGATGATTGTGTAAGATGAGCATGTAGCATTGTATCTCCGTAGCAGCAATTTTCATCAAGATTAAGTGAATTTTGTCTTTTATGCCATGTTTAATATATGGTTAGTCTCCATTGCCACTAGTTTCGATGATTTCGCATGTTGGTTATACGAGCATATAAGAGCATTGAGAGCAATAACATCATTAATGTTAAGAATTTCATAGAGTAATGATTTACTAAAAATTATTCATCTAGGATAAAACAAAGAGTATTAAAGTAACTAAGAGCAGAAAAGTTTTTCTGTCCGTTGTTTGAATTATTAGATTAAGCTATGATTTTAAGCTACATGTCGATGTGATTAAGTTATTTTAGCATTTCATAAAGACAAAACTGGAATAATTAACTTGTGAATGATAAAAAGTGTGATTCTATTTAATCAGTAGCTAATTCTTCCTCCGCCTTATCTAGCGAAATAACTTGGTTTAATTTATTAAAATCCACGTAAAGTTCATGATCATTGCTGTCGGCTTCAATGCGTATTCTTTCTATCATATCAATAAAATGATAATTCCTAGACATGGATAATTATATAACGAACTATTTAGAGTAATGCAACCGTATATAATTCACCTAGTTTAGGTAATACTATCATCATGCTTCAAATTGACGAAGTAAATAGTAAAAAAGATTGCACCTTATGATATCTTCATGACGATATCGGCCAACGTCCAAAACTGGATTTAAGGTGCAAGCATCAGCACCGGTGATAGTGTCCATTAACCCAAAATCTTCATTAGGATCCATCATTGCTTTCTTAAGCTCGCTCATTTCATCTAGTCGATGGGTAAACTTGACCATCAATGCAAGAATAGGGAAGTTATCACTAACTAAAGGTAGCTGCCTAGGTTGATATCAATTAAAATAATATTTCATTACTTTATGTTTTCATATTCCCCGTCGATTAGTTATAAATATAAGCTAGATAAATTGTTTCATAAATTAATTCAGTCTAGATCTCAGTTTGATATAAGCAATTGCAATGACTGAAGGTAACTATTTATCATCGCTCAAATTTATCAGTGGCATTGGAACTAGCAGCCTATAATCTTTGATACTTTAATAGAAATTGATAATCCATTCTAGCTATACCTGAATTAACTTACAATCGGCATTGCAACTGAGTTGAAAAATTAGTTAGTCTAACAATATTAAATCAAGAAGCTTAAAAGAGAAAATAAATATATAACGATGGAATAGTCCGATTGGTTAAGTTCCGTTACTCTATTAGAATATTAGTAGTTTAATCTATACCAGTAATAAACAGTAGAATGACTAAATGAAGGAACGAAATCGACTAGGGATGATAGAATATTGTAGTCAGTTTTAGCTTTCACTTCCTGTAAGTATACTGATAGTTTATTCCAGTTATACTGTTACTGTACTATACATGCAAGTAATATTCTTACTAACTTAAGATACCCGAAATAAAACAAGAATAACTATGGAAAGAGATGTGGATATACATCATGATCAATCTTCATTGTCCCTAATCATTTTCGTAGTGATTCAGTGAAGTAATAGTGTACAAGTAAGGCTACTATTACAATTACTGTCTATTCATGGAAAAGAATTCACGCCATTTAAGCCTTGAGGTGACAAAACGATGAATTCTATCCCACTAGGTGTCACATGGTACGTGACCTAAAATCTCCTTTCCTTCTACTACGTGACTCCATTTGCAACTAACAATTTTGAATGTAAAACGATTTAGAAGGCTTTCATAAAGATAATTAAAGAAGAATTTATACTCCAAGGGGCTATCGATCATTAGGGATACCATGTAAAGAGCAAAAAGTAATTGTATTGAGTGAATTGAATAGATCTTTGTACGATTGGATCCGTGGAATGTTTTTATTAATTAATACTATTTTAAATTGCGGCATAAAACTTGTCCATCCAATCAACTAGTGATTTTAAAATGGAGTAGAGTGAGCTCTGATTATTTGAGATCCTCAAAATTTAAGAGTATTTCTTTTTGATGAAGCAAATTAAGGGAAGATAAATTACATCTACCTGAAAAAGAGTTCACGCATTCAATAGGGTTCAAAAAGCAACGCAGAAGCTTGTCATACCATATAACATTAGTAGATTGATTACTTTAGTTTAGAATAGGCGATTTTGAGACGAAATACTACTATAAAGGGTTCAAATATACTAATAAACTATATTAAATACCTAATTTCATCGATTTTATACCTTGCATATTTATATCCACAATATAGTTGAACCGTAATTAATTTATATTAACAACACGCTATTGTCAGAAATAGACATGATATTGGGAATTTTATGATATTTTAAATATGCTCCTGTTATTCTCCTTTCAATTTCATATTGTATTGTTCTTGTTTGCAAATGTTAGTATTTCTGAAACTGACATAAACCAGCCACTAAATTGGGTTACATGATATCAAGTTATTTTGCAAGTAATTTGGATAGCCCTCCTTAATATTACAGTCATGCCAAATAATATAGAATGATTCTTTTGGAATCGCCTATCATTATGTAGAGACAATATGGCGAAATGGCTTTATAAGTTAACAGTCATGTAGTCTGCCAAATTGATATAAATTGACCATGGACCCACATACAGGATAGGTGGAGCACTTAGAGTGCTTAATGATATCCATTTTATACAGGAATGTTTCATCTCTATATCGTAATCAAGCATTATTTATTAATGGCATTGATTTTCTTTTGTTCGCAGTAGATATATATTGAAATAACATTCAAAGCGATACCTGCCAGCAAATGTTATAATGAAATATATAGATCATTTTTATTTTGAACAGGTAGTGGATTGGTATATTTCTTTCGTTTTCATATTGAATTTTCATCATTGACCAAATAGGCAGGTTATAGCTGTTAAATGCTATTTCATCAGATGTCATTATTTTAAAGTCATTAGATCATTTTAGAGAGCGAAATGCTTGTGCACTCTTTTGTGGCAATTTTTCCTAAAACTCGTATAACATAATCTATTCATGATTCCCACTAATTCCCTCTATGTATTAAAGTTCAGACATTATACCAAAATTAATTCGCTAGTCACGTACTACTCGAATTAATATTAATAGAATAGACTTTGGACTCGTTTCTGGAAATAATTTAAGATATCCAATTGTGGTAATTTGATATGCAATAGCTATATCGATACTCTAATCTGGTTAGGATAATCTAATGATAGCATCAACGTATACTACCTTTCTTAATGCAAGATTTTTAAAACTAAGAATACAACTTAGAGAAACAACGGAAAGAGTTCGAAGAATGTGATTACGATTTTAAGATTTAATTGAAAGTAAAGTTTTGCCTTTCCTTCTCATGTATGATTTCCGTAATTTTTTGTTCACTACTATCACCGAAGCTGAAATAAAAGTTACTGTAAGTTTTTCGCTGAGCATAATTGAATTCATTTAGAGCTAAGCTTTCAAGCCGCACTAAAGTAATTAATTATACACTGTTTAATCTTATTGTATCTTTCTTTCTCGCATATGGTAATCGTGATTGCAGATTCACTGGTACCCCTGGAACTAATATGAATAGTTACTACTAATTTTCCATTTAGCATAATTGAATTCATTTAAGGTTAAACTCCAAGCTGCACTAGAGTAATTAATTATACAGTAACTAATCTTATTCTACTTTCACACGTTGACATTTTCTATCCTCAAAGCGATCAAACAGGAAGCGGTCAAAATGATTTTATTGGTCACGTATTTGGTAAATTAATAATAATATGATGACCTATAAACCCTGCTTCTAGGAAAAAGGAGTAATCAAGATTTCCTATCACGTCGAAGGGATCCCCTTCTGGGCACCATCTAGTCTGCCTATGACCTTCAATAGTGGAAATATACTCGTTCTACATAGTAGTGAATGCATAGCTTACGAGGGTTTAGATTGTATTGAAAAGGAGTAGAAAGAAATCATTATCAGACTGAGATTACTTTAAGGATATGAACTTTTGCTGCAATCTAAAAATCTTATTACTAGTATTTAACTACATTATCGCAGTTAGTATAAAAATAACCATATGGCTTCATTTGTGATAATTCAAGTGCATTTATTAACAGATCAATTTCGAACATGACAACCTGTCTAGGATCATTCTAGCTGGCAATTCCAAATTGATTTCCTCATCTTTACGGTTAAATGACAGAGCAATGTAAAATTGATTTTAATGGTCACGTATCACCTTGGAAAAGTTGTTATAGGTCACGTAGACTAATTTTTAATTGGAAATTTTGCATAGAAGACTTCATTGTAACTATCAAGTAGAGCAATCTAAAGTATTCTAATATTCTTATTGTTCAAAAAGTTAGCATCTTCGTGCTAATATCAATCTTTTTAGCCCATAGAGGCTATAGTTTATGCAATACAGTGACGGCCCAATTTTTGTAATTTCATAAGATGGTGAGATTGTAGTACTTGGAGTATTTAGATAAATTTTAGATGACTAATTAGATATTGCTTTGACTATTATTCATCTGATAGACAATAGTATGGGTGTACAAAGAATTGCATTTCAATAAATAATTACTGTAATCTCTCATCGAAAATATGGGGCACGATTTCATATCAAACCATGACAGGATAGGATCAGTGTTATTTTCTTGAGATTCTACTGGAATGGCTCACTATTAATCAACTAATTTTGGTACTGAAAATACTCTACTATAATATGACAGAAGATTGAAAAGAATGCTGTAGAAGTTTAAACAAACACAATCTTATACGGTAAGATATTGCAATTTTACTTTAATATTGAACGAATTAAAATTAGAATTAGATATTGGTATTTTTATAAATGTATAGTAAAATTCAGTAGCTTTTTAGATAATGTGTTTTTGATATACGTATTCTATCACTTAAACTAAGAATTAGATATCCTCTAGTGATTAATCGATGTTTACTAACCTATTTTTTCAATTAAATAACGTAAAATGATGGATATTTAATTAAAGACTTGTAGTTTATACAACAAGTGTACGGATTTTGCTCTTTAATTAACCAAGTACTACATGAATTACTTCATCTATCCTAGCCTTCAACGAATCAATATACAATATAAAAGTAAAGCCTTTTCGTTAATTGTTAGTTTATCTTTCTTGGACATTGGACTCCTAAAATATTGCTATAACTAGTTGTTCCTATCCACTGGCATTTTCTTGATTTCAGTTTTACTACAGATGGATATTAGTAAAATAGCTGGTTAATTTTACTCCTTTTAGTCTCCTCAAACTAAATGGGAATTTAGCCATTCTATATTTATATATCTAATATAAGGGATCCGCGACCCTATATTTAATAGTATTAATTTTATATTCAACTGCAATATATAAATTAGTGGTACAGACGAGAACGCTAGTCAAGATATCAACGTTTATAGGCTAGAACTCAAGCGTATCGGTGGTTATAAAAATTTTCCAGTATAGTAAGTCCTCCTGCACTAAATTAGTGCTTCATTTACGCTTATGCACTCTTTACTTTCATGAATTATAATTTTGTAGTTAGTACGGTACTATTTTCTATCTCTATCATAGAGAAGTTTCTCAATAAATTATCTTCCATTATTAGCAGATAGAAGCAGTTTATTACTTAATTATTGTTGAGTATTATAGCATTAAAACCTAGACATGTAATCGGCACACAGCTAGATCTCAGGTTGAATGTACTCCTAAAGGATCAGTCTTTTATATCCTCCATTATAACTGCTGAGATATGTTGATACCGCCTATAGTGCACTGTAGTTGATTATATGCTAGTTGCTCCATTTCTCATAATACATGACACCGCCTACCCAGGCGCCATACATTATCGCCTACAGCAGCTATCGTCCCTAAATTACTCACTAATAGCACTCGACTATTCTACGCCTAAATGTAGTATCTTTGACACTACTAGTCCCCTAAGGACGGATGCTACCATCTTACTTTTTATTATCGGCCTCTTACTAAAGAACTGATTTTCTTACAAACTTGCGATAGACGTTGATTAGCATAAAGATGTGAAAAGTAGTCTCTATTTATATCTACCTAGCAGAAAAGTGCTAACGGATCAATATGGATCAATATAGGCTAAAGTCTGTAATATTAGTTAAAATTTTCCTTTGATCGCTGTTTATTAATGTATCTTTTACATAGAAGGCAGATACTACATTTACTCCAAACTAGAGAACTATAATGATAGTGTTTTGAATACAACACCTTGACTATAACAGCAGTAGGCAAGCAATAACCGTCATTGATTTACTGTACTCAATTTTAAGTCGTAGAACTGTATTATTAAGATTATCTATAGTCTATTAAGATTCTCTTGTAAAGAACTAGGGTCCATTTATACTTAAGAACGCTCGAATACCCACACCCTTCTATGACAGTATCAGTTGATTAGAATAAAAATTAAAAGTGCGCCAATGGATATCTGAAGAATACGCCATTCAATAATAGAAGTGATGATGGAGTCGTAGAGAGGAATTTTCAATTTTTACTGGTCTAGGGATCCACTGGTATATAGGAACCCTCAACTATCTGTATCTCTCTATGGAAGAGTCAGTTGATTATTATAAAGATAAAAGCGTGGCCAATTCATATCAGGATGCATTCAGTTATTTAATAAAAGTGATGATAGAATGATAGAGAAGAATGTTCAATTTTTACTCGTCCAGAGATACATTTATACCTAAGAACTCTCAGCTACCGGCATCTATCTATGACAGTATCGATTGATTAGCATAAAGATAAAAGTATGCCAATTCATATCTGGATACATCATAATTATTCAATAAAAGAGATGATAAAGTGTAAAGAAGAATTTTTAATTTTTACTCGATATTAATTACTGTATACAGTCGATTACTTCATATTAAAAACTACTGATATCTAGATAAGATAGATAAAATTACCCAGAACAATACGTTCAGATCTTTGATTACATATTCTTGCTTTGTTATCTAATTTAGGGGCGATATTTTGTTCGTTTATATTGCCAAAATACTGTTTTCTAACATTATTATCATTTATTATAACTATTCAACTAATCCCATTGATAAGGCTTTGCCCTTTACTGTAGCTCCGTAAATCACTTTAACTATTTTCTGTGTAGCTTTATTTCTAATCAGCTCTTGCAAAGAAATTTTTACTGTCACACGATAAGTCATAACCTACTTTAAAAATGATGCCCATCAAATATTTATGTTAGTTATGAATTTTATTAGTTGATATTGAAAATAATGAAAGATTGACGTAATATTGCCGTTGCCATCATGGTCAACTATTAATTTGTTTTTATCTACCTAGTTTATTCCTTAAGAATCCTCTATGGATTGCTGAACTCGTTCTGACTTGTACGATAGTGCACTACAAATCGTCGTAATGTTAATTAAGCAAGAGATTATTTTCATGACGTTAGTCGATGAAGAGTAGAGCAAATTGATCGCATGTATAGAAGATCTTTCCTCCAAGTAGTAGCTTTCATATTAGCGTACTAGAATTTATTACAATTAATCTTGTCATTCAGGACCAGATAGATATAAAAGATTAATTACATTTCATAATATGTCAAAGATTAGTTCTACTGGGATGGAAATGGACGAAAAATTGTAATAAATAGTAGAATTATCCTTCTAGCTAAGACTTACGTAATTCGAATACCATGTTCTCCTTCTTTCGTACGATATCCTCTGGTTAGGTATAGCTTTATATGGCAATCAAAGATACCATATCGTGCTCGAATGGGTGTTAGTCTTCCTTGGAGACAGTCAACTCCGTCAACCGAATTAATAATTAATTTATCAGCAAATTGAATCTGACATCGTCGTCGAGAGAAACGAGCAAAAACAATTCCAGTAACAAAAGCCAGCAATATTTGCGAGATAAATGCTTGCAAATTAGAAATCAAGATTAATAATAGATGAGCACGATTAGGATCTAAGTTTTCCGAGCCTAAGCATGTTGTGATTGATAAACTAAAGACTAGCCAATACCAAAATGTATAAGAAAGATCAAAATCGATGATGTCCGCTACTGTATATGTAATGGTAAATACGATACTGATGGTCAAGTAGGCCACAGCAAACAGGCCAAAGATATAACTCCATGGCATTCGTACAAGATTGCCAAATAAATCGTTGTCTAATCGAATCTGATAATTTCGAAAATGTACATTTTTAAGTTGTTCGGCAAATTTATCATCAATGGCTGAACTTCCTTCAAGATCAGCTCTTTCCGAGACTGCGGCGTAGTTTAAACAAATTTGTTTCCAAGCGTACTGAATAATGATGATGGACCACTTTTTGATGAATTGGCTCGTGGCAAGCATAGCTAATAAAAAGGATTGTAATGTTGCTCGAAGCAAAGGCGAGTGTGAAATACTGGTATTCGATACAATATGAGATAGATGACGAATTAATCGCCGTGGATGCATCGAAATGGAATGATGATGGCCTTGACAAGCTAAATTGCAACAACGATGGGAAATAGCTGGCCAACTGTGACGTCTCTTAGGCGTTCTAGGGGTATCGTTAATTTGAAAATCGGGTACTTCCATAGGTGATCTTGGCATAGAATGATGCTAATTAAAAGAGTCTTTAAAAGGTAGATAGAACGTGGGAAATGGTTATACTTTTAATCGATATCAAACTAATGAAATATCCAATAAAATGACGTTGAAATCGAATAATTACCGATTGAAATATTTGTCTAAAAAGTAATATGAATATAAGATGAAAAGGGCTACAGTTTTAGTTAGTTTAAAATAGTTTCAGACTGTTGATAGAACCATATGAAATAATTGAAAAATCAATTAATTTTCAAAAAGTATTTAAAAGTTAAATCCAAAGTAAAAGGAATCTTAATTCTGGCAGTTAAACTGATTCTTAATTGATACACCAGCAAACTTAAATTGAAATAATTTAAAAATCACTTCACTTTTAATAAGTATTTAGAAGTTAAATCAAAAGTAAAAAGAATATTTAATTCTGAAAATTGAGGTGATTCCTGATTGATTCGCCAATAAACTTAAATTAAAATGATTCAAGAAATGATTACGCTTCCATAATTAACCTTCGACTATCGCTCTAGTTTCGAATTAATTTTTAATTAATCGCGGCATAAGTCTGAAAATGGACGTTCTTCAATAAGTATTCATAAAGTATATATTAAAAGTATTAATGGTGCTGAAGTTAACCTTGAATTAACTTTCAATCAATAGTAGCCTTAACAGTGACTAAGCATAAGTATCAGTTACTAATATCCCCTAAAATATTTTATTATGGTGTTTTTCTTTTTCATGCAAACAACATCTTCAATTACTCTATATAATATTTTGCCTTTGGGCTCTTATAAATGATTGAATAATACCGGCGGGTCTTAATTATTTGATAGAATTAAAATCTAAACAAAGAAATCACGATTGTTGCATTCTAGAATTAATTATAAGCTCCACCATTACCGTTAGGAAGTAGTTTATTCTATTTTAAGCGATTAAATTAAGATTATTTTCGCTTTGTATCATATGCAGATACTATTTGTTACAAAACAGCTTTGCAAAAGGATAACGTAATGTACAATCAATAAGTCGATTCCCTGAACCACGTATCAGGGAGTAATATCTACTCTATCAGAACACTTTTCCTATACTAATAGACTTCATAAAGACTTAGACGCTTCATATTTTACGCTAAACACGAATCTTAAGAACTAACTTTGTTATAAGATATACCGTATTTATATACTCTTTTACAACAGTTTAGACATCCTGGTTAGTAATATTAACGTTGAAACCTTCTAATGAATCAAAAGCTAATTTTACCTACTGCTACCTAATGAAGACAACAATATTTATGAGCATAGGCATCTAATGACTAATACAAAATAATCAGATTACAATATATCCTATCACGGAATATTTCCACGATAGCCTACAGTACACTCTACCATAAGTAGGTTACAATCATAGTGATTTGAATTGTATGAAGATTATTTTCAATTCCCTAATTTAATTGCTAATTTCAGTATGCCGTATGTACATATATCACTGCAATACAAGCTAGTGCTATATTTAAGCACTACATATCTAAATTAGAAACTCACTGAATAAGAGTAAACCAACAAAATTATCCTAGCATAGATACTTCTACGCTAACCTCGATGTTACAGTGTGTAACACTGTAACAGTATTTGATCAATGTATCATGAAAATATTTAAATTAGGTTCCGTTGGATTCCTATGCATTGAAAGTAAAATATATAAAGGGTATGGATCCATAAAATGACATAGTACTCTTAAAGTTAATTGCTAAATAAATTGATACGAAAAAATCGAATAAAGCATGCATTGATGATAAGATAGAATATTATGAAATGTAGCAGATTTACAATAGCTTTCTAGCGTATTAACATAAATAAATATGCTAAAAGGTCGTTAATAGTCAGTGAGGTCCTGTAGTGCAGCCCCAAATATAGCTTAGATTACTATTATAAGACTGTACGAGAATAACTTAACTTGTAAGCTAGAGTGTAAGATTGTGTAAGAGTCTATTTGTAGAAGATGTTTACAGTACGTATTGTAGCGAATCTATTAAGATGTTTATATAAAGATCTGAGATATAAATAGATTTGCGCTAAGTATGTTAGTACCGTAAGTATTGTATTGTAATGCTTTAAATAGACGCGCGAATTATGAATAGATTGCGCGATAGTAAATTTAGATCTGATCTTGCGACTTAATGGGCAAGATAAGATTTGTTACAGTAAAAGCATTCTGTAACTAATCGTAAATAAATCCTGAATTTTGCTGTAATAAGTAGATTATCAGATAGTCAGATAGTCCTTGGTAGTTAGACGAACCTAACTTCTGTAATAAAGTGAAATTTGCAAGAAACTGTAGTTCTTGATTTATTGTTTTGAAGATCACTTTATCACAGGTCCGAAAATTTTTTACTTTATTGTAATGTACAATATAAAAGTTAGGAGATAGAACTATGATATAGATTGCGATGTTAACCGTAATTTTCTATGCGGTATAGATGTTATCATTAGCCGATTCTGTTCGACAGTTTATCACATATTTGAATAAAAAGAAGACATGCTTTACTTAACTATTAGTCAAATTAACTGAATAATATTAATTGTAGAATTTTACACGGTATGAATGTCATCGCTGACGAATTCTATTTGATGCTTTATCACATATTTAAATAAAAGGATATATACTTGAAAGTAAGATAGTTAATGTGAATAAATACCATTATTTGTATAGATGAGTTATTTAATACCGTAAAATCGGTATTAAAAAGATGGAATAACTATATTATCGAATATATTGGTGTTACAGTGTTAAATACTGTATTACAGTAGAAATAACTATGTTAGGATAATTCTGTTAGACTATCCTTATTTAGTTAACTTCTAATTTGGATATACTGTATTTTAATATAGCACTGACTTTTTATGACAGTGACACTTATACACATACTGAAATTAATAGTTCTAATAGGGAATGCAAATCATCTGCTTACAGTTCGAATCATTGTGATTGTAATTTACTTATAGTAGACTGTAAATTATCATGGAAATGTTCCGTGATAGGACATATCGTAATCTGACTATTCTGTATTAGTCATTATATGTCTATGTTCGTAAATACTGTTGTCTGCATTAAGGGAGCAGTAGCTAAAATTAATATCTAATTCAGTAAGTGATTCTAATGTTAATTGTATTAACTATGACTCATGAACTATTGAGGAATAGTATATAAATGCAGTATATCGTGAAATAAAGAAGAATTGTCCAACTTAGTGTTTAACGTAAAATACGAGGCGTTTAAGTCTTTGTGTAGTCTGCTAGTAGAGCAAAAGTGTTTGTGATAGTGCAGATATCGTTCCTTGATACGTGGTTCAAGGAATTGAATTATTGATCGTATATTGCGTTATCTTGTTGCAAAGCTGTTTTGTGACAATTGGTTAATAGTATAGCATGAAATAGAAGTAAATGGCTCTTAATAATATTTGCTGTATACTAATATGCTGTACTATAAGTTATGGGTAATACAAAATAATCTCATACTTGAATTTTTAAGTGAACTATGAGAACGATATGCTCAAGATAAGTAGACCATGAAATCGTGGTAAAGTTGATTTAGAAATACCAATTTTGTGAAGCTTTACTGTATTGAGGCAAATGATATCGGTATAGGATATCGTATTTGGGCTTTTACCTTATTGAGTTCAGGCTCATATTTGATAATTAAATTTACTGTCACCATAGGTTAGCTCCATTGAAGTATGATGATACAGTTACAAATTTTGTAAGATCTTCGTTGCTGGTTACAGTCAATGGTATGTTAGTTTATTGTCTATTCAATTGATAGGTATTTTTCCATTATTAAGGCTAAAATAGGATAATAAAGAAAAAAATGGCAAGGAGAGATATGTTTGTTAGAAAGAATATTACTGATTGCTCATTCGACTATTGGCGAAAACTAGAAATCAAGCTGTATAAGTTTGTTGTGATATAAAAGGATAGATATGCCTTTTTACTACTGTACTTAATGATCCATTTGCTCAATAACCATGTCTCCCTTTGGATGCTTGATTATCTATGATTATCAATTGTACCATTTTTTTTAGGACTACATATTAAGTTGTATAACGATATTTTGATAGATCCTTACCATTTATTTTAGCAGATTTACACAAATCTATGATCTAGTTAATAAACTAGTTCTGTCTTCGTTGGAATGAATATTTAAAGGTAATCAAATTCAATTTCTGAGGGATAAATATTAAGTTCCGCAAATTCGCCTTGAAAAATAGTGCTTACCAGCGCATTTATTAAAAATATTATTAGTTACAGCCCATCCTAGTATTTGTAAGCATTAAAAATTGAATTTCTGGAATTCTTCGGGATAGATGGCGATTGGCTACCTTCAGGTAACCAAGTTCAAAACTAGTTACAGATATGAGTTACTACATGATTTTCACTCCACTACTTGCAATTATGAATATTAGTTACTTAAATTCATGTAAAAACATACTGTTTACTTCTCAAAGGGCAACCTTAAGACTTCTTACTGATGTGTTTAATAATAAATTGTAATCGACACATTTACTACATTATCATCTTCTGAAAGATTAAGGAATCTTGTATATGTCTTCAGATCGAAATATTTTACTGGCTTTGATTGACAAAAATTTTTGGCTAAAATAGTCTTATTGCTATGGATACGCTTAAGTTTAAAATTTTATTGTAATTAAATTTAACGCAGCATTAAATTCTGTCAGATTTGAATTTACTATATGATTTATGAATCGATTTTATTAAAACACAGGAAAGTTTTTCTTAATTTTAACAACTTTGTAGCTATTGAATAATCTATTCAAATGCCATAATTATCGATGGCTACACTAACACGTTCATTAATAACTTCTTTTAATATATGCAAGCTTTAAGAATTCAATTTAATAAACTTTTAGCGATAATTCTGAATAATTATTTTCTATTTTAACAGATCTGTAACCGGCTACTGATAAATTCGATCAATTGCTATGTCTGAAGCGATAGAATTATTTGCAGTTACTATTCTTATATTTCCAGCGATTGAAATTAACATTGTATAGATGTATTTGGATAAAGACCACATTATATTTATTATAATAATTTTAAAATTAAGCTATTGATATAGTCTATAGATTTTTTATAGTCCTATAGGTAACAATAGCTTAGGCAATTAGCCGTCTAGTGTTCGTACCAATCAGAAATAACTTGCAAACAATCAAATGAAATTATGTTCCATAGAATCATCAAGATACAGATTCTGCGCCATTTGCTATACGAAACAGTTTCATAAATAAGCAGTTACTGACATATTCTATTCATGATTAATTACAATACTTATATCTGGACTGATACCAGACCATTAACATACGCAATTTTAATGATCAATTTACAGGGAAAAGTTGGGAATTTCGAGCTCGTCAATTTTATACCGAGTGGCTAATTGTATTTTTTGTCAGCTTTCATTTCCATGTCGTTAAATAGACTGGTTATGGTATTGCAAAATGCTCTTAGTTATTCCTGGAAGAAATCAGGATAGTATTGATAATTTTAATTTTTCCTATAGTAATTAATTGTTTGATACCAGATGGTTGTTCATAATATTGTCGCTATTGTTGTTATATCATTGCTTTTATCGTCAATTTTTTAAAAGGATTGATGATTACCTTGTATATTAGCTTTACACGTTACTTTATATTTATAAAGTATTAAATAAAGAAATTGGATTGAATTTAGCGAATCTTTAACTTTGCCAATGATGACGGATATAAAGCTGTAGACAAGATAAATAGGTGTGATATGCTACCCTAATTCGATAATTACAGAATGATAACGTCTTCAGCGAAATCTTTTAGCCTTGCCGGTATCTGTCATATAGTAATAGGCAAGATAAATGTAATATGCTTTCCCTAATTTGGCACTTACAAAAATGATAGCGATCACAGTATAATCTTTTGGTATTGTAGATGATACAGAATAGCAGGCCACATCACTCGATGCCACGGGCCTTCTTTGACGGTAATAGACTAATAGAGCTCTTTAAAGTATAGGCAGAAAATTTTTGAATGCCATCAGTATAACTAGAAAATTGAAAAAATTGGTATAGATTAGGATACATATGAGATTCATGCTGTGTTAAATAGTAATAAATATTTCAAGGGATAGCAGCGACATCAGTCAAGATTGCTACTCAACCATGGTATAGCTTTTCCATCCATTAGCTTACTTTAGCCTTGGCTTTTCCTAATTCCAATAGTTGCTCTAGTTTTTCAATGGATTGTAACTAATAGAAACATAGTTTTCAGTTTTATGGTTGCAAGCTCTAGATATAAAGTGAGGCATTCAACTTGGTAATTACAAAATGAAAGAGCTCTTCAAAGTGTTTAAAAGATGGAGAAATTCTTTTAAAAGATTTCAGAAATAATATGTTTAGAAATAAGTCTTCAATACCATTGAGAGAACTATTAGATATTTTAAATTCATATTTCTTTTAATATTAGAAATTTCTTCAGTTTTTGTTTGCTATCGGTGAAATTTTACTTTCAATTTCGATGGCATAAGCTCTAGATATAAAGCACCTTATTCTACTGGGCTATTACCAAACGGTAGCATTGCACAAAGTATTTAAAATATAGGAAAATCTTGAACTATTGGTTGATATTGGAAATGGTTCTTCATGCCAATTAAAAATGACAATTGAATTACTTCATTATCTCATTTCTGGCGTGATTTAAATGTTACATAATTTATTAATAATAGTATTTATTTGGTTTTTAGTTTCAAAGAAATGAACTCTAAACCAAACTGCGTATCTAAAGTTGCATATTACAAAATGATGGAATTTTTCGAATTATTTATTTAAACCATAGGAATTTCTTCAATGTCTTCAATAATAAGCAGTTGAAATAAATTTTCAATATTATTGGACGTAATTACTAGATTGTAGTTTTTGTGTAATATAGGATAAAAATTAAGATTATGCAGTAAGAGTGTAGTAATAATTATAATTAGCAGAAGAGATTATTACGATAGTATGCTTATCCAAGGTAGAAATTCAGGTCGATTATTATTTTATGCTTTAGTTTGTTTATCCTTCGCTTTTTCAATTCCATTTTGATCTGGTATGATTTGATCTAATTTATTGAGATCGATGTGAACTTCACTTTCGGTTTCACTCGTATAAATTCTTTCCAACATGTCAACAAACCTGTGATCTCTAATACAAATGATCCCGTAAAAATAACGTTATTATATAATTATAATATTAAAAGAATGCCAATTTATCTAATTTCAAATTCAATTTATATCTAAATATTAATAATTTAAAGTTTAAAAAGAATAATAAAGTATAGCTCACCTTTTGATATCAGTTCGATGGTATCTTTTAACGTCAAAAATTGGATTTAGAGTACAAGCATCAACACCTGAGAGAGTTGTCATTAAACTAAAATCACTGTTAGGGTCTATCATCATTTTTCTGATTGCACTAGATTCATCTAATCGATGGGTAAACTTCATCATGATAGCCATGGTTGGGACATTATTTATCAATAATGGAACCTCTCTAGAATAGTAAGATTAGACATTATTTTTAGTCATTGCCTTTCATAAGTCCAATCAAACAACTATTGTGATCAACGATATCATTTCGTTCATAACGAAGTAAATTTTAGCTAATGATAGTAGAAAAATGAATGTAAAATATTTAATACTTTGTATAATTAATGAAAAGAAATTACTATTATTACTGTAGAGTTGCCTATCATCAACAAATCAAGTAAAATCGTAAACGCTCCCTTTGAAACTTTTAAACATGGCTTCCATTAACATATAGCGAAAATTAATTCTTACATTGTCCTAAGTCCACATTCTCCTTCTTTAGTAACGTAGGGCTGATTTAAATACAATCGAATGTTACAATCAAAAATACCAAATCGAGGCCGATGTGGAGTTAATCGTCCTTGAATGCAATCAATACCATCCATCTGATTTATAATCAACTTTTCAGCAAATCGAATTTGACTTCGTCTTCGTGAGAAACGAGCAAATACGATACCAGTTATGAAGGCTAGTAATAGTTGAGATATAAATGCTTGGAAGTTAGCAATTAACAAGATGCCGATATGAACTTGATCAGCATCGAGATTACTTAAGCCAAGGCATGTTGTAGTTGATAAACTAAAGACAAACCAGTGCCAAAATGAATAACCCAAATGAAGATCAAGACTATCAACGGCTACATAAGTAAATGTAAATAGAACGCTAATAAATAAATACATCATAGCGATTAATCCAAAGATGTAACTCCAAGGCATGCGAATAATATTACCATATAAATCATCAGCTAACCGAATTTGATAATTTTGATAGCGGACATTTTTTAGAATTTTAATTAAAAAGGAGTCCATAGCCGATCGTCCCTCAAGATCAGCACGTTCAGACATAGTCGCATAGTTCAAACAAATGATATCCCAAGCGTGCTGAATAATCACCATGACCCATTTCTTGATAAATTGGTATATGGCAGAAATCATGTTTCTGATTGCTCGTAAACTGTTCTGAATTGAATCTCTTTCCGATATTCTACTCATAGCCACGGATACACGTCGATAATGACGCCCAAATCGGTGTTGATTTTGACTTGAAATTAGATCGGAAGGATGAATAGAATCACCGATGGGATCTTGTTGAAAATTAGGCAAACTAAGTCGACGCCTTATTCGTTCATATTGAGTAAGATGGTGATCAGAACTAGATAAATTGACGGCCATTTGTAATGTATTCGGCTAGTATTGTGATTTTTGTAAGTGAGTGAAGAAACGATTCGTTTTCTTTCCACCGATTTGACAACAAATGATATGAATTACATATGCTAAGACCTATTAAACAGGAAATGATACTTTTATCAAGATGGAATTATCTCAGTCGATGTCAATATTAGGCAGACAAATTATAGAAAGAATAACATGAACTTAATTTACAATGGATTGTTACAGATAAAGTAGTCAAATAGTAGCATCGATACGTGGCTATGAAAACAGGAAATCAAATAATCGTTTACCGAAATGTTATTGAACTAACGCGATTGAGGGTCATGTAATAGCAAGTCCTATCATTACGAGAAGATGTTACCAAGAAATTATTATTATGGGAGACCATTTAACTATTATTTTTAGATAATTATCTATTTCTTAACAATAAATTTATTCATTGTCGTAAATTATATTGGCGGTCATTCATCTAGTACACTAGTAAATTCGAACTATATCATGGTTTCTTTATTACAGTCCGATAGCGGTAGAATGTCTCGCTATGTGGTATTTATAGCATGGGAATTGTATTATTAAAATAGATGACAGCTACAGGCACCAGTTGTAATTTATTTTATAGAAATTAGTTGATAACTATTAACTAATTCCAGTTTGATAGGGTACACGTAATTGGAGATCTTGATAACTGCACAATTGGGATTATACCAATAACCGATTCAATGTACGGTAGTTTAATTTAATTAGCGTGATATGAGATAAGAAACTATTTGCTTTTCTATGTATTTTATTGGTTTCTCTCGGTAATTAGACCCATGACATTTGACTGTTAAAGTAGCTAAACAGCTACAATTTGACCGTTCTATCAGCAAGTTATCATCTATGGCATTAGATTGCAATTAATTACTATTACAATTGATATTCATATTCATTCATGATAGCTTGATTCCGACTTTTATCGTGCTTAATTAATACCTTAAGCAATAGTAACGTTGCTAATTAAGCTAGTTATCATCATTTCTTGAGCGAATAATAAGTTCTTTTATAACCATGGTAAAGCTCTTTCTCTGTATAGAAATGATTAATTCTACTCAATAGCTGCTGTAACGATTTATCTATTTTATAGATGTATAACATAGGTATATATATACAATCTTTGTAGTCTGCTGTAGCTACTAATATTGTCATATAATACCGTGTAAGAGTTAAATTTTTATATCTCTCGTCTAGAAATAATTAGTTATGCATCACATTGTTAGAAGATTCATCTATTCATATTAATTCCGACCTAGATTTCATAGCTAGCTTTTGGAAGTTTAATTTTTAAAAATACTTTTTTTGCATAGTTATCTCTTTGTTTATCATCGTTGCCAAGAACGCGAATAAATAATTTAATACCTGAATACAGTAGATTGATAAATATGATTTATATTATCCTTATTAATAAAATTGACGTATTTTTAGCTGATACTGAATAACCAATGCCACTAAGTTAACATTTGTCCTGGCTACTAGTCATAAGCATTTCTGTTGTAAATCATCATTACTAATGACACAAATAAATAGATTCTAATCAAATATGCTACAACGATGAATGTGATTTAATGCTACCCGTATTCATGATTAACGTAAACTTTAATGTCTTATTGCTAATAGCGGGCCTAAAAATGCCAAATTCAGTTAACGTTTTACATTGATCAGAATTCGAAAGAGAATATATGCAACATTCTTAATTATCTTCGTGCAGTAAATTACTCACTGATGTGGCAAATTTTTTTCGATACGGTATGATAAATACATATAAGAAATAAAATTATTAGAGCAGCAATCAAATACTGTTCTGATTTTCTATACAATTGATTTGGTAGAAAATTCAATTTTATTTTATCTTTCGTATTCGATGTGGCCACTCTCGAAGTATAAATCAGGCTTTGTGTGTAGATACAAAGCAAAAGACGATTGAAGATATTCATTTATTGCATAGACATCACTTTTTATCCGGGTCTTCATCAGATCCTTCCCTTTGATTAAAACCAAGCAATTGATTTAATATCTAATACTATTTTGTCCAAGCAGATTGGTATAATTTTTCATTTCGTTAAATTTTGTTCGCATGTTCAATAATGATTATTGTTAGTCCATTTTATCTTTATCGTCACTTTCGCTGGGCTCTTTTATAGGAGTTACTTTATTTAATTTATTGAAATCGATTACGGTTTTAGAATGGCATAGAGATAATCCAGGCTCCGGTTTCACCTTTTCAATCATATCGATAAATCTATAATTTCTATCGAAGAAACAGTAGGAAATAAGTCGGACATACATAATAGCTAAATTGCTAAATACTTAAGGTAATTTACTTATGAATCTAATATTACCTACTATTAGTATATGAATCTCAACAAGGTCAGAAATAATATAAAAGACGCATTAACTCGAAAAATTTTTTCTTTCGTCGTGGAATGCATTATTTAACGATTTAGAAAAGATTATATTGTGTTCTCTATACTTATATATACACACATTTGTTTTCGTATATTTAGGTTAATAGTAGTAGTAAAACTAACTTTATGATATCATTGGCTTTGTATCTTCTCACATCAAAGATAGGATTTAAAGTACAAGCATCCACCCCAGTAATAGTAATAGACAAATAATAATCTTCACCCAATTCCATTGCTTGGCGAATTTCACTAGATTCGTCTAATCGATGAGTAAACTTTAACATTATTGACATGGCTGGTAGAGTTTCAGTTAAAAGAGGAACTTGCCTTCATAATAAGCAATTAAGAAAGGATTAGTTTCCTATGCTTTAAATTTATTTTGTTAATTGTGGTTATAATTGCTAGAGGCTTTAATAATTATGTTTTCTAGCATGAAATTGCTAAGAATTGGCCATTTTTGTCTACAATTTGGAATTGTACATATTAAATGAACTCTTCTATTCCATTTATTTAAAGAACAAAGTGCAATTTTCTTGATCCTATGCCAACTAGATAACATTAATAAAGCCATGCTATTTTATTAATTAAATTGTGGGATTCCTGATAACGATCGGTGTCAAATATGCGATAGCTTAGGGGAAAAATGATACTAATCTTTGTAACACTAAGACCATCATCGAGTATAGACATACTTACTTAGTCCTTACACCGTGCTCTCCTTCTTTACTCTGATATGGTCTGGAAACGAATAACCTTAAATTACAATCAATAACACCAAATCGTGGCCGACATGGAGTTAATCTGCCTTGCAAACAGTCGATACCATTGACTGGGTTTATTGTTAACTTATCAGCAAAGCGAATTTGACTACGTCCTCGAGAAAAACGAGCAAAAACGATTCCAGTGACAAATGCTAATAATAATTGGGATACAAATGCTTGCGAGTTAGCAATCAATAAGATGAAAAGATGGACACGATCGGAATCAAGACTGTCTGAACCTAAACACGTTGTTGTCGATAAGCTATAAACAAACCATTGCCAAATTGAAGAAGACAGATCCAGATCGAGAATATCGGCTACGAAATAAGCAAAGGTGAAGATTATACTAACAGCTAAATAAGCCGCCGCAATCAGGCTAAAGATATAACTCCACGGCATACGAACAATGTTTCCATACAAATCATCGCCTAATCGTAATTGATAATTTTCATAGCGAACATTTTTCAACAGATTGGCTAAAGAAGAATCCATAGCAGAACTCCCTTCTAAATCGGCACGTTCTGAAATATAAGCATAATCTGCCGAAACAATATCCCATACATATTGAAATAAAAACCCTATACATTTTTTAGCTATTCCTCCTACTCTAGCGGCAACATAATGAATTGATTGATAGGATTTTTTAAGAGAATCCTTCTTGGGGATACTAACGACTGCTTGTGATAGTCGTCGGAAATCACGTAAGATACGCCGTTGATTTGTTGTTAGCTGACATAGATTACCTTCTTGATTGTAATTATCTTGTTGCTGTTCTTCAATAAGTGGCCAACTATTACGACGTTGAAATGTTGATTCAGTTTGATTTTCACTTATAGCATCTAAGACCATGATGATAGATAGGAAAATATCAGTCAGCTAAAATGAACAAAGTAGTGATAGTTAATCTAAGATCGAGTTATTCTGTCCGGTAGGCAGGTTCAATAATCGTTGTAATATAACTCCTTCTTTTCAATAAGATACGATCTGATACATCAATGAGGAAAATAATGGTAGGAAATGCCAGCAATCGTCTAGCTAAGTAAGATCAACTTCTAACCTACTACAGCTATGATAGTAATTTTTGGAAAAGCGCACGCTCTTTACTATGGCTAATCTAGTTAGAAAAGCAAGTAGGTTAGGATAAATTAGACACCCTTTTTATTATAGAAATTAATTAGGCCTGAATCAATCTCAACTGACGTAGATGTTTCCTGTTGCTGATGTCAACTTGAACAATAGTCTATATCAAACATTCTGAATGAGAGCAAACATTTTATTATCACTTGATGACAATAACAACTTAATCATGGGTTCTAATTAGAATCATCATAACAATAGCTTATTTCTATCTGATAGTAAAATATATGCTTATGTAATCACACACCATTGCTTCTTTAGGATGGCAAGATTTGAATAGTGAAAATCAAAATTTAATAGCTACTGGTAGTATGATCGAATTAACCAGTAAAGTAAAATATTGTAGATGATGTACTACTAAGCATACTGAAGTGTTACAGCTCAATATGTTAAGATCAATTATATCGCATAAATCATAAGATGATACAAAGTAGTACAGTTATTGTACACTAATTTACTCAATGGTAACATTATGCTGAATCATTCCGGAGTAATCTTTTATTATAGTACATTTTCTATATAACATATATTCATTGCAACAGTTTTGTAAGGATAGTATCAGTATATTATGATCAGAAGCAATAGTTTACGAGTTAAATCCTGAATAATATAGTAAAATAATTAAAGCATAAAATCCGTTTAGAATGATCTATTTATATCTTGAACTATTTATATACTACATTTTGCTAGAGTATACTCTAAAATGTAATAATATAATTATTAGCGAAGCGGTAAGCTCTACAGATAGGAATCAGTCTAACAAATCGAAAATTTAACAGGATAAGACATTTACAATAGCGCAAGATTTCATATAGAATGCCCCTGTATATGTCTCTGTTCTAGAATAGATATTAGCAACAGTTAGTTAGCTTTAAAAATTTTAACCTATTCATAAAATTTATTTATGGCAAGCTACGTTTTTTTTGTTACAGTAGCGAAATATGCAATTTTACTTACTATTTCATGAGGGTACTATTGCTTAATATATGATCGCGTATTCTCTTTATGTTGATATTTCTGCAATTCCGCAGTAACAGATTATAATTATTATTTTTTAAACTGATAACAACTATATAGGAAATCTTGCGAACGGAGGAGCTTTGCTATAGAAATTTCTCATTTACTTAATCTATATTTTAAATATGGAATTTAAAAATATGTATTTCTGATTCGTTCTAGTTAAGTGTCTTTGGTGTTGACCTACTTTTTGAGATCATTAGTTAGTCAAGTAGCTGCCCAGTAATTGTACAGTAAGCGGACAATATCGAATGAAATTATAACTTTTGTTCATGTAATAACGTCTACTATACGGTTATAAGCTACAGTAGGGCTGAGAAGTCATATGGTGAATATCGAAGATAGTTACAACTTCTATTCATATAATTCTGGCTAGTACATGATTATAAGCCATAGCAACGCTAAGAAGTCATATGGTGCAATCTGTCTAATCACGAATGAAATGCAAGTAATGGAAATTGATGAATAAGGACGCTGTCCATTAGATTATAATTATTAGTAGTATACATGACCAATTGGCCATATTCATTTTAAGCTATTAATCATGACGCTTTACTTTGTGATGGATTAAGCTATTTTTTGCTTGAGTAACGCGTTCGTTAAGCTAAAATCTCAATATTTAGTGCAGCATTCTGAATCACTGGCTTACTTGCATTATTTTAAAGATTGATCTATTGATAGGCTTTGATGGAAAATATCACCTAGTGTCACGGTAGTCTCTTGCTATCTCTACTTATTGTCACAGTGTTAACAAATGAGAAGTTGCAGTGTTTATTTCAGCTCAGAGTTTTTAGAATCATTTACAGGACTAAAAATAGCTCATGTCATCATTTAGTTTTACCATGACCGTAGCAATATGATTATTCATGACAACACGTCATGGTGAACATATGGTCCAGTCTCTTAATTAAGGCAAATCACAAAGTGTAGAAATCAATAGAATGGTGTTTCATTGAATCATTACAGGGCTGATGGATTGAACAGCCTACGATTCCGTCACACCTTTCTACCAGCTAGTTCCTGTGCTCTTAGCCATCATTCTCTAAGTGAGTAGGGAGAGTATGCAATGACTCACAGCTACCTATTTAGGTAGGAATGATCAACGCCCAAGACAAGCATCTGCTTTGTCATGATAGCATCCTATGCAGGAGAGGGGTTGGACTAACTATTGCCATTTGAAAATAGAATCATCGATCGATTGCTAATTCCTACTGTCAATCGATTGCATACTTTTGTAGGTAGTGTTGATCTAATTTTATAGCAGGCGTATCTGACAGTGGGTTTTTGCAATCTCAGCTTTAGTAGTTGTTGGCTACTTTTTTTGTCAATATTATAAGCATTCAATTACCGCCAGGCGATAAAGCTATTGATCGATTCCTATTTCATGCTGCTAATAAATTGCACATTTTGCAAGAGATTGCATCTCTAATTTCATATCAAGCCATGCCTACGGCCCTAATAGATAGGGGACCTTTTAACGATCTCATCCGTAGCTGTTCTTGTTGTTCGCTTCTATTCATTAATTATTATTTGGCCATTTGCAGGAGGAATTCAATACAATCCCCCATCATGCCCACGGCCCTAATAGATAGGGGACCTTTTAACGATCTCATCCTTAGCTGTTCTTGTAGTTCACTTCTATTAATTAATTATTATTCGGCCATTTGCATGAGGAATTGAATACAATCCCTCATTATGCCTACGGCCCTAATAGGTAGGGACCTTTTAACGATCTCATCCTTAGCTGTTCTTGTAGTTCACTTCTATTAATTAATTATTATTCGGCCATTTGCAGGAGGAATTGAATACAATCCCCCATCATGCCCACGGCCCTAATAGATATGGACCTTTTAACGATCTCATCCTTAGCCGTTCTTGTTATTCACTTCTACTAATTAATAATTATTATTCGGCCATTTGCAGGAGGAATCAAATACCATCTCCCCACCCATCATTCGATAGTCAAATGATGAATTAATTTCCATTTCATACTGCATACAGATTGCATCCTCTCGATCGTTTATCCATAGAGCTATCGTGAACTGATGAGGACTTTACTGATCTCATGGATAGCAATTCTCGTTGACGATCTTCGATGATGGTAGAGGAATTGAGCTAGCAAATTGGCGTCCCTCTCCATCTAGATATGGTGCTCATCTTGTTCATGATGGACTGTATGGGTGATTGAGCGATGTATGAGTCATGCATCGACAGTCTGCTGCAGTCAATCTTGCAAGATGCATTATTGGGTTGATACTCAGATAGTACCCTTGTAATATATGTACCGTATTAATTTTTGTCCAGTGGAGTAGAATCATACTGCAAGTTGGGCTTGACGATGATGATTGTAACCAGCCGAAATAGCACTCAACGACGACCATACTGTATACTATATAGTGTAGCAAACAAGAGTAGCAAATACAATATACAGACAGGTATTAAGAAAATCCAATAATAGTAATAATGTACAGTGTACAGTACATTGTCGTCAGGATCTTTCCTGTCTTGTACTGTACTATATATACTGTAGACGATGCCTAGTTGGGATCGTTTCAGTTTCTATCTTGGCCAAATCGATCTTGCATCGCTTAGGAACCATACGGTTGCAATCTTGCTCGTCTTTTTTCCATCTATTTCATATCATTATTGCGGTTAAAATGTGGTATACTGGAACAATTTCTCAAGCAGTCGCTTATGCTAAAATGAAGCGATATATCTTTATGATCTACATGCATGGTAAGATGATTTTAGTGCGATAGTAGGGGAAAAATTTCCCTTGCCATCGATCGATGTTGAATTAAAATTTGACAAATGCTCTTCGTCTTGCTAACTCAATTTCGACTATGTTAGACACTAATGACGCTCATGATTCATACTTTACTGGAAATTAATTGCAAATTGTATCACAGAAATAGACTATACTGTAAACAGAGGCATAAAAAAATGGAACCATGTAGATACAGATGCAAATGATGGAGAAAAATTGTTCATGCATCGTTTAATGTGATAATAATAATTTTTTAATGCTTATGCTTGCCTGCCGCTAATGGCTACTATTGTAGACGCCAATTGCCGCGCCTGATTTACACTTTACTATAAATCAGTTGCTAATCGTATCAAACAAGTTGAGTAGAGGAAGGCGTAGAGCTTGAATGTGACGGATATACATACAAATGATGGAGGAAAATTATTCATGCATAGATCAATATTGCAGTAAAACTTCTACCCTAGTGGCTTGTAACTTTATGCTGTTAATTTTTGCTATTTTAGACGCTATTAAAAAGCGGATAATATCGTATGCTTTGCTGTGAACCAGTATCAGAGGAGTAGACTACACAGTAAATATACCGTAAATTGAACAATGTTGATATAGATACAATTTTTGCGTCTACTTAAAAGTAAATGATGATGAATCATACTCTTGACTACGCATAGTAAATGATCGTACTTTTTGTACTGTACGTACTTTTGCCATCAAAGCCGGCAGTGTATTCCATTATGGTTACAATAATTAGCCATAAGCAAGATGAAGTTGAATCTCAAATTCTACCTACAGAGAATATCGTTAAGAAGCTTATTTATACAGCTATACATTTTCATTCCTCATCATTATAATACTTTAGAATGAGTAGAAATAGGCGTTTGCATGAAAGATTGAAACTTTGCATAGTACATAAATGGACCTACATCGATAGATCATCATTACTTTTATTGATTCATTTAGGGTCAAACCAAGCTTCAAAGGAAATGGAGAAAACATGGGAAGAAGAAGATGTAAATACAATACTATCATAATACTTTTATTCTACTGTACTAAGATAATGACCATACTCTTATACAGTATATAAGAAATTGTATAGTATAGTATGTTATGATGTAGTACGAGTTTATGCAATACTCAACATAAAGATTTAGCTCTGATACTGACTTTTCTAACCTATTAGGTACAAATGTTGTCGAAAGAGCACTTCGTTTCATGCCGATTTGATGTCAACAGGTAATGAATATTGCTGATCAGCTTGATTGAAATGTAATCAATTCATTCTTGAGTATAAAACTCGCGGTTAATTACTCTACTGTATATCAAAACGTTTGAAATATGAGTATTGCCAGGATTTGCCACCCTTTAAATCGTATAATTCGTGTTAAATTCGTTCTTTTTATAACTTTCAGCAAAGAAGGAAAGCAATTCAGCCAAATATGTATCCTTTTCTTTCTTGTCTTCAAGATTAAAACGATAATCCTACAGTAAGTACAGTAGGATTTTTGATACTATTCGGTTTATTAAAAATCACGAGACTTTCAACTTCGAAGTGTCTGTTTCGTGGCATGACCCTGAGATTTAAAAATGTATTTTTTATAACTAGTCAGGATTTTATATCTTGTAAGCAAATCAATACTTTTATCAAACTGACTAATTAAACAATATCGCGACTGAATCCGCGTTCGTATTTAAAGTGATTACTGTACCGTGTATAGTAACACACCAAAATCATTCTAAAATTAACAGTAATTGTAACTTGAGAAGGATATTTTACGAAAGGGTAAAAATATTTTAATTTTCTATAACTTTATTAAAGCTCCTATTATTTTGATTAAACCTTCAGATTTTGGTAAAAGAAATTTTTATTTGTATATTTTACGCTTTAAAGCTTCCCTTTAGAAATACCCTGGCATATCACATAATTAAATTAACTATCTAGGCGGCTGACTGATTTCATTCTTATCATCCATCTTAATATTAGATTAAACGTTAGTGCAAACCCTTTTATACGACAATAAAAATTGTTTAGTCCTTGTATTAAATCCATTAATTGTACATATAAGCGATTATCTGAGCTATTTATCCTTAATTTAAGTTGTTTGCATATATCAGATCCCGTTTTGCACGTACCATCTACATACTTCGTAGGTCAAAATGGAATGCCAATTGAAATTTTAGCTGGAAATATCCAGCCAAGCCAATTTTTAGTTAGAGCTAATGAAGCCATCCAAGTAAGTATCATTGCTATTGATTATGGAATTAATATAATTGTAAGCAACACTTTTAAGCCAACTGATGATAAGGCTTTTTTGAAAATTGAAAGCTTCATGCAAAAGTGCCACTTTAATATCGTTAGGTTCATCAACAACACTTAGCATCAATTGAGGCTGCTGGTGGATCAGTAAATCAGCCTGCAGGATATAATCAGACTAAATACGAAGAACCTCCGCCAGCTGCACAAGCCGGCTTCTTCGGTTTAGGGTAAGATGGTTACTGTAACTTTTTTCTTTGTCGTAGGATCATTAATGTTTCTTTTGTGCATAATTAGAGTGTATTTTAATACATATTATTCCTTTAACGTACATTTGAGTGGAAATCACAATATACGTAGTAAACTTACCTTTGACCTAGTATGGCCTCAATACATTTAAAGTTCGCATATACAGAAAAAAGCTAAAGTATAATAATATCCATCTTTAAATCTTTGCTGGAACAGATTATGTGTGAGTTAGGATGTAGTTGCAATAATTATGCCTATAGAAAATATACATTTACAATATGTAGCTATACAAAATGAAGGCAATATTATAAATGTTTTAATGAAATTTTATAATACCATACGCTTACTCAGTTTTCGAAATATAGTCCAAGTGTATTATACTCGCGTATCCATTCTTTTAATAAAAAATACTTGGGAGTTGCATCTTTAATTGCTTTTTTAAATTGTAAGTAATTTATATAACTTGATCAACTTTTTATTTTAGACGCAAGCCGGCCAGTAAACCAGAGGTATTGCAATATTTTAAATAACAACGACTTATATTGAAATGCAATTAATAGTGCTTATAGTTAAAATTCACAATATGGCAAAGATATAACTAAATTTACTTTTACATTGCATATGGAAATAAAGCAACCGGTTGACCAAAAAATAAAGCGAGAAAGAGAAGCTGCTGAAGAAAAGCGTAGAATGTTGATGGAAAGACAAAAAGCTGAAGAAGAAGCGGCTAATATGCCAATGGTAGATACCGGTGGCTTTACGACTGAAGATCACACCAATGAGACCTGTAAAATACAGTTTAGATTTCCGGATGGATCTTCAATGAATCGAGAATTTCACTCCCACGAGTTGCTTGAGGATGTCGTTGCACATGTTGCACAGGTACAATGTAACTACAATAAGAGAAAGGAATAATAGAGTGTGTGTGTTAATTGTTTCAAAGTATTGTGTTAAATTATAGTGGTATTTGTTTCACTCACTTAGTATGTTGGACCAGACTTTGGACCCTTTACTTTGGCTACTCTACATCCTCGAAAACAACTCACTGACGATTATTATTTGGAATCATTAGAATCGTTGCATCTAGTTCCTAGCGCTGTCTTGATGGTGTTACCGGTAATGATCATCTAGTGAGATTAAAGCGTCTTAAGCAACCTTGAACAAACTGTTATGTGATTACCATTTATTCATTCAATATATGCAATGATTTGGGTTGTAGGGAAGTTCGGAAGAGTATGAGCAAGCGTCATGGAAGGATGATTTAAGAGATTTTTTGTGGTGGCTGTTAACTCCATTTATCGTGTTATATCGACTAATATTAAGTTTAATTCAAAATTCCAACAAAAAATCGAAGCAACCACGACGTACTCTTCCAGCTGCTCACGATGCCGGTCCAATATCGAATCAACCAGGGTTAGTAATGATACATATGTTCCAGATAGGCAATATTGCCTGTAGCCGTCTTTTGATTAGACGTGTGATAAAGAATTATAGCTATGCGTAGCATACTATGTTTTGATGACATAGTATAACAATGGACTTTAACTTTTTTATATAGAAATGTTAGGTACCGCGGTGGTGGCATGCTCAAAGGTTTGATCAAGATTACCCCCATCGTGACGAATACAATTCGAATTTTCACCAACAGTGATTATGACCATGATACACTTATAGAAGGCACGGAAGACTGACCTATTGGATATTTCTTGCAAATTATGGAACGACTATTTTATAGCACGAAATTATGAATAGAACTATATTATGTAATTGTTATTGACAATTTATATATTAGCTACGATGGCAATTTTATCTGCAAATATTCACGGCAGAGTGTCGCACACACTAAATTTAAATTTGCTTCTTTAACGTCACAAGTGAGCTACATAATATAATTAAGTTTATATGCTCGTAGTAGCAACCGTGTATGACAACTTGACATCCTCCGGTGATGTCTAAAACTGTATGGTATTATTTTTAGTTCTTAAATATAGGTAACTTGCTTGAATGATTTATCAACATATGCACGTTGTTATGGCATCTTTTGTGTGTTATAGCATCTTCATTTCTATACCTGATCAGGTGATCTTTCTATTTTAAGCTTGATAAGAATATTTCTATGTATATCTCACTGATAAATAAGAATAGCAATACAACTGCCTCCGTTTTCTTTCGGATTATCATATTTTAACTTATTCGAAATCAATGCAAATTTATTTATTAAATTTAATTTAAATTTACAACGATTTTAAATAAATACTATGCATATTTCACAGATATAGACCTGATGTAATTAGCATATGCATGACTCTAGTTCACAGAGCTAATTATGTTAGCCTGAATTCATACACGCAAAGTCTGTTCGGTTTTACGATAACAGTCAGAAAATTGTCAACAGCAACAAGATATTAACTACAAATTTCAAGAATTAAAAATAAACCTACACTTTCCTCAATGATTTGCTATACGAGTTCGTACATACGTATATATTAAAGGGTATCCTGATATGTTAGGTAGTATACCTTATCCAATAGCTAACAGAATATTTGATGGTGATTTACATTTCATTTGAAATGGGCATCGTACACTATTTTAAATCATTACAGAAACGAAAAAATTTCAAATATTCAAAATTTCAGAGAACTATTTTCTCTTTTTACCCTTTTTGGAGCTGTTAGCATATTTTGCTTCTAACGATGCAAGAAAGTTCTCAGATTGTCGCATCCTATTTTCCTGTCTTTTTAGAATCATTGAGGTTAAATCGTTACTTTCATTAATGCCTAATTCCTGCTTTAATTTTGTCGCTTCTCTTGCTTCTTTCTCAGCCTGTGTAATTGATAATACAAACATATTAAGTTCTGACTATGTTATAAACAATAATTAATTTAGTGCACCATGTCTCCAGTCTATGTTATAATCCGTTAAGGTACAATGAAGAATAGGAGGGAATTACATTTTTCTTCCTTTTCTTTCGTTTTTTTGAATCACGTTGAAAGGATTTAAACTCTGGAAGTTCACCACTTTCAATAAGTGGATTGAGAATTTTGTAGTAGCGATTCTCATCTTCGATTCGAGAACACATCATATTTTCCATGATCGTCTCCATATCTCCTTCGAGCTGTACATAGTATCCAATCAAATCATTCTTTTCTTCAGCAGAATCTGGAAACATATCAACGAAGATGTATTTTATTATTAAGCTGAACCTCCAGTAATAAATAATAGGTGTAAAATTTTGAGATTATTCTTGCGTGCACAGTATATTCGTATACGTACGTTCTACGCTGAAAACGATTTAACTTTGCGTCATTTATGGACGCTAAAATATAAGTTAGGTTTGTGTAAGATCTTCAATTCGTTAATAGACATCAGTAGCTGATTCTTAAGTACAGCATTGCAATTTACAGTGTTGTAGTTTAAGTTATTCAGAATAATTATGTATCATTTAGTTTAAGTTTAACAAATTACTGACAATCGATGCAGAGCTCCTTGCACGTGTACACGAAGATGAGCATTAGAGGTGAAATTTCTACAAAATTATAACAAGCAAGCATACTTCTATACTTCGTTTCGAATTCTTGAATATCTTTTAAAGTAATTTTTGGAAATAGTAATCGCCAGTACTGGCTCCAGTCACGATCTTGCTGCGCTTCAGGTAGATCTTCATCGAGAATTTCACCGGATTCATCATAAAGAGCTCTAGCGTCAGAGTTTGATAATACACTGTGTATCCGACCTAATACTTGAAATTTCTTGGTGCTACTTTCTCGCTCTCCCTACATTCAATTGTAAATGTACCCTATTCAAACCCCTTTTTATATCTTCTTGTGTACAATAAATTGAAAGAGTATTTCCCTGCGTCTACTGCAGCTACTATAATAAAATACGACCGCGTGTTATGCCACTAGTACGCGATGAGTGTGCTTCTAAGGAAATTTGGCTTAAGCTTGATATAGCATAAGAATCTCGTAATTCTAATCTTAAATAATGGCTACTCCAGCACTAGTCTACTTTTTGTCAGGAAATCTAAAAATGATTATATTAATGTATTCAGAAGTCAAGTATTGAGCTATTTCCGGTCTTGTTGATGGTATACTGTACTGTAAGTAAAAGTAGTATAAATAGTTTGATTTAGTGGATATAGCATCTTGGAATAGTAGAAGATAAAAACATCCTAATTCTTGCTGTTTATCACTTTCCAGTTCAATGTCTTTATTTATTTTGATGACTGCGAATTCCGTTAAAATATGTACACTACCTATACTGCAATATCAAGAATATGCAAAGCAATGCATCGACATTCAAGGCTAACCAACCTGCAGTACGGCAAAAACTGTATGTGAATTTGTTACTATGAGTACGCTAGGTTGAATTATAGCTACCGCTAGGCTACCTTTAACAATATACCTAATAGTGACTGAATTAACGTATTTATAAGTCACGTAATAACGTACTATAAGAGGCAATTTTATTTCTTGCCCCTGCTTTCTAATTTACTTCAGGGGAAAGTAGTACATATCATCAAGACACTAACATTATCATATTTATTGTTATTTAACAAAACGCTTTCCGGTTAGACTGATTTAAATAACTGGTCTGTAAAAATGCACTGAGTGGACCAGTGAATAAGGCTGCTAAATGAGTCCTCTAGGTTGCAGCATTGCACGCGAACTTTATCTAAATCTTATTTTAGATTAATTATACTGTATATTATTATTATTTATATACTCGTACGCGTACTGTAGATCATGTTGATTGACCAATGTCCTATCGAGAAGTATTCATACAGCATAGAGCGACAAATACCGCAATACTACTCATTTTATACTGCAGATAACCCTGTTTGTAGAACTGTAGAATGATGGCATAGCTAATTAACGATAGTTACGTAATTATTATCGACATGAAGGACGGCGAATTCTTACCGTACCTCATCAACACGATCTGGATGGACTTTCAATGATAACTTGTAGTAAGCTCGTTTAACTTCCGATGAACTTGCCGATTTATCCACACCAATTATTTGATAAAGATCGCGAGAAGCAAAGTGCTCTTGGCAATCATCTAGCAAAGTCATCTTGTTCGATTTCTACCAGGGTTAGTCGCAGCTAATTTCAGCAGTTCTTTTTGAATGTTTTGGATGGATTAACTCTGAGGCAAAATGTTGTCGAGGATCCTGTTTTTTGACTTGAAATCTGGCGGGAGTGCTTAAGGAGGATGCGCACACCAAGCACATCAAGTCGGTAAAATGAATGGGGGGTAACCGGATAGCCGGACAGAGAGGATCGGCCGGTTCAAAATTTTTGGCACTGTATACTGTATCATGTAGTAGTTGGATGTCAGTCGTTTGCATAGAAAAAGAATCGTCACCTGTGTTCTTGCATGGGTAGCACGCGTTGATCCATGACAGGCTAATGTAGTATACTTCAGTGCACAGCCGTAGTATAGCTTATATAACATTAGAATTAGACGACTCTCCAGCACAGAAACGATTTCAATGGTTGCCGGGTTGAATTCCATGCATAAATCTTAAATTGCTTTAACATTTCAAATCAAGACCCTTTTATTAAGCGTCGTATAGAGGATATGCTTGAGGTATCACCATGTCCAATTTTAGTTGTGCTGATACTATTTATGTTTTATACGGCTCTCAAACTGGCCAAGCTCAAACGATAGCCGAAGATATCTATCAGCAATGCCTTGATCGTCATTTCGACTCCAAGTTGCTTTGCTTAGATCAACATGATAAAAAGGTCAGTGCTAGATGAAATAGTACTATTTGGATTGAATTTATCTGTGCAGCTAGTTCCTAATGGAACTAGTAGTACCTAGTAGTACCTGACTAGTCATGTTTAATCATAGAGTGGTAATGTAGTTAGCCGACTCACAACAACGACATGTTGCATTCGCAATTGAATACAGTAAGTTCTATACTCGTTCATATACTCGTACAATGCCTTCCAAAACACGAGTACATAGTACAGTATAATGTAGTCATATTGCTAAAAGGGATCCATAATATGCACAGTATATTAATGAATGAGGCATAATTTACTTCAAATTTATACGTGGTCTATCCTATAGAATTAAGAAATCCTAATTGAGGTCAAATCATTGTTCTGTAGGATTCCAATGAGTTGTACTTTGACTTACTGTACTGCATATCTAATAGATGTTGCTATTATCTAATAGAGATTACGTTACTCTTTCTAGAGAATTTTCATGAGATATAAATTATTTTTCCAGCTTTAGTTTTACTGTATCGAGCTAGCAATCAATGGTACAGTATAATTCATATCTATTTCGATAATCACGTTAATAATCGGCTTAATTTTATCACTAATGCCTAATTGCGAAAATCTACCCGTTATTTAAACCATACCTATTGTTAGATAAATAATTCGACAATATATATATATATATATATACATGCAAATATGTACAGTACATGATATCTAATTATAATTCAGCGCAAAGAAATTCTCGTAAATTAGTTCTCTACGAGCTACATGGGATTATCTCACTCTTGTGCAATTTAATACCAGTTAAGTCAAGAAAGTAGTATTGTATAGTGTATGTCGTATCGACTACTGGTGTTAAAAGATCCTCCTGATAGCTTATAATGTCACCATCGATTGATATTTGAACCATGCCTGTTATTAGATGCATAATTTCGTTAAGTTATACGTAGGTATATGATATCTAATTGAACACAAGAGGACATACTAATAGATTAAATGTCTAACGTGGACTTATGTTGCTCTGGGGTAGTTTAATATCACTCAAGTCAAGAAAGCAGTATTCGTCATATCGACAACCGGTGATGGAGATCCTCCGGATAATGCTGGCAAATTTATCCGTAAACTTAAGCGTAAAAGTGTACCTAAGGATCATTTATCCAACCTATCTTATGCACTATTGGGTATGTGTTATAGCAATCTTTCATAAAAATGGCTCACTTCTGCTTTCGTTTATTGTTCCTAAAACACGTGAAAATATTTTTAATGGTTGAATTATTCTTTTCATCTTTATGGTACATGATTTGCAAATTGTTAGGCCTTGGAGATACTAATTACAACAATTTTTGTAACTGCGGTAAAACGCTGAATGGCCTGCTGGAAACGTTAGGAGCAAGCAGTTTTTATCCAATCGGATGCGCCGATGATGCAGTTGGGTAGGTATTATATTATTACAGTACTAGTAGGATTACATTGTGTATACCGGGTTATTTACAAGTTGATAATGATAATATTTGCCCCTACTTATAGGTTGGAGATTGTTGTAGAGCCGTGGAAAGACGGATTATGGGATGCTTTACAGAAAGTATTGCAATTACGTACCAATAATACGGAAATTAAGTTTCTCATCTTATGTATAGAAAGTAATAAAAGGAATGAGCTGCAATGGGTGTAAATCATATAATGGTATGTTCTTTAATTGAAGGATAATGTAAATATATCGACGACTGGTTCTAATGATGCCATATCACCAATAAGTATGGATAATCAAGTTAAAGCAAGTGAAATCCTATCGGGCAGTAGTAATATTTCTAATACTGAAGAGACATATGCCACAGGTAGTCCTAAGGACTCCTTAAATAACACGATTGACCGACTTTCCGAAAATACGGAATCAATGAAAATTGCACCAGAACAGCTTCTGGAACAAAACGCTAAAGAGCTTTTAGCTGGTATGCATGAAGTTATCCAGCTAGAATCAAAACTGAAAGAGTATGATGCGACATTTCCTGAAGGTTTGCAATTTTTTAAATTATATATTTATTACAACGGCATGCTAAATATTAAGTGATATTCATTTATTTTTTCGCATTTATTACTAAGATTTAAAGCTACCTTCATTACCAATGCCATATTTAAATATTGAAATATCGGAAACGGATCAAGCCGATACTGATATGGTATTACTGACACATATATAGATGATATCTTGTCAAATCATCATAGTTTTGTTGTAATATTTGTCGTTACCTTCTTTAATTTCGGATAGCTCGACAATACCGCAAGTTGCGATTATGTAAATAGATGTATAGGAGCTCGTACAGATATAATATTAGCCAACGTTCAGGAAGCGAAATATTTGACTGCTGAAAATGCCATAAAGAAAGTTTTAGAATTAGTTCTCTGTCAAAACGTAATTGTAATTTTTTATTTATAGCATATTCTTAATGTGCTGTAGATGATATTAGTTATCCTAAATATACGTATATCAAACAATTAGGATGAAAGCATAGATTTTTTACCGGGAGATTCCATTAATGTATTCTGCCCTAATAATGAAGAAGAAGTAAACTGGATTATTTCAAGGTATCTTCCTGGAAGTATCTGAAATTGAATAATACCAGCTATATTCTCAATTCTTATGATGGATTCATTAATTCGTCATGGTATAATTTAAATATTTAACAATATAGGTTGGGTCTTATCGACATACGTAATAGGACATTTACTTTACGGGTTATGTCGGAAACTAAGAAACGACGTAAGCATCTATAGCATAATAGCTCTATTAATATGTAACGATCAGATCTACGAGAAATAAAGAATTTTCATTCTATTTGCTTTTATATACTTAGTTCCAAAGATTCCTGATCATATTCCCAAAGATTGTACTATAAAAGAAGCTTTAATGTTTCACTGCGATATACGAAGCATACCTAAAAAGGTCTTAGTTCATTTCACAGATATCCAGATGAAGGAGCATCGCAACATCTATAACATATCAATATTTTGTATTTGTCTAGGCTACTTTACGTATGTTAGCAGAGTATACGGAAAATCAAAACGAGAGGAAAAGATTACTCCAATTATCTAGTCGCGAAGGTTAAGCATGAATTTGTTGCATGGAAAGTTAATATTGCATATGATAGCACGTACACATATACGGTTGTAGTATCGAGTAAAGTAAGCTAATAAATAAATGGTCTTTATGCATTAGGAGGAAACGATTACACCAATTTAATATGCAATTCTTCTATCTCTTTTCTGGATATTTTGGCCACGTTTCCGTCTTGTAGGCCACCATTTATTAAAGTAATAGGTACGGTATTGCTTTACTATGCGACAATTATATTCTCGAAATATTATCTTCTGTAATCGAACTTTGTCTACGATCTGCATGAGTAGAACTGCTACCACGGCTGCAGCCCCGCCCATACTCTATCGTCAAGTAGGTCAAATCACTATTAATGGCATTAAACACTATTAAGCTAATTGTAATGATATCATCATAATAGCTCCCCAATCGAGGGTAAGAAAATCATGAAAGTTGCGTTTACTATTGTACAGTTACCTCCTTCTATCGCTACAAGGGGGCTAAGGTAATATTTCGGCTAAGCAATAGTTAAGCATCATGCTGGTTGTAAATTTACTAACCTAATCTTGATCCAATTGATTGGTAGGGAAGGTTTGTGTTCTGGATGGCTTCAGTCTATAACGAAACATCTGCATTCACCACAGCTATCGCATGGCAATAATGTTGGAACAGTAAAGGTTATTACTGTAACAAATTTCTTCGTATCAAAAATTAACTTAGTAACAAGAAGTCATGTTGAAAGAATAAACTAGCTTAAAAATATATAATTTCGTTAGATTGGAATCAGTAGCCGAAGGAATCAAAATTTTAACTTGCCCAATGATAAGAGCATTCCTTTAATTATGATTGGTGCTGGTACTGGGATATCGCCATATGTCGGATTTTTGGAGCACAGGTATACGCATTACTTACCTAGGATTACTGATTAAATGTGTTGCCAACGAACATCGTTTAATCCGAATTGTATCATTTGCTAAATTTAAATGTGGATATCCATCGTATGCCTTTCTACTTGCAGGTGGTTAATAGAGAATGACATGGCACAAACAGCTCATTATGGCTCTTGGTTATTATTTTACGGTTGCAGACATAAAGATCGAGATTATTTATACAAGTAAATCGTCAATATAATCATTTTGGATTTATTAAATTAGAGATAATTTCAAGCCTTGTCTCATTACTTTTAATTTCGTTATACAGAAATGACATAAATACATATCTTCATAGAAAGATACTAACACATCACTATGTAGCATTTTCGCGAGAAGTGCAAGAAAATTTAAGCGAGAAGTTTCCAAGATATGTTCAAGAATGCCTTTGGCAACAATCTGATAAAGTCGTGAAGCTTCTATTGGAAGAATCGGCATTAGTATATGTCTGCGGGTATGACACATTCATTTAAAAATAATCTATGATTTTGCTATGGGCTACTGCTATAATTATCTACGCATGTGTTCACACCAATAAATTTTTATTCTACGAACAAATTGAAGTGATGCCCAAGGAATGGCCAAGGATGTTATGAATACGATTATCGATTTAATCGAACGTAATAAAGGTAGAGTGTGATCAATTTACGATGACAAAAATTCTAATTTGGAATAACAATTTTCGATTAGCATCCTTATACAAGGACTTCTCAATTTTTTTTTACCCCAAAGTAAAAAATAAATCGAGAAGCCCCTGCCTTATACAACAATGATAACAAATATTTTTTTATGTACCAACTTAATTGGGTAATAAAGGTATATCTAAGGAGGAGGCTTCAAAGATAGTATTAACGATGATGAAAGAAAAGCGCTATCGTCAAGATATTTGGGCGTAGCAAGTATTTGATCGCTAGAAAGATTACTATATCATTGTTGGACCGCACAGTAAAACATTTACTAGATTGATACAATTATGCTACCAAATTCATCGTGGTTTTTAACTTGTTCATTGGGAGTTATTTTACGATGCCGCTTATAATACATCATACTGAAACTGTTTACAGTTCATCACATGGCAGTCAATTAAAAGAATTTTTAAGACACTTAAGTAGCACATGATGAAAACTTGAAGGTTAAATAGCTTGAATTTCTACGATCGCATATATATATACTCATTAGGTTAACATTAAACAAGCTTGCCAATCGGCAATACCTAAAATTTCACTTTTCAGTAATTTAAAGATGCCCGTCATGTTAAGATCATTATTGTATACAAATCAAATTAGATTAAAAACTGAATAAAATAAATGGCTACAAATACTATTTTAATCAGTGAAAAGTATTGATAGCAGGGGGCTAAGCTATGAATTTGAGTGATCATTTTAGTCGTCTTGATGAACAGACTTTACAAGCTCATCATAAGAAAGTTCTGCCTGCCTTTCAGTGTGTAGGATGTATGGACTGATATTGGGATGGTAAGTTGTATAGCTGGTGAAGAGTTCGTTATTGATAAGATCTTTTCGATAGTTCTTGACAATGTAGGCCTGACACTGGATTTTATCATTAAGGCTGTATGGCAATTCTGTATCGCAGTAAGCTAATTCCGTTAATGTAATATCAATCATGGTTCGCGTATAAAATTCAGGATGACCTTCCAATTGATCCAGAACTCGTAACATATCATTATCGATTCTGTATACCTCGCCTTCTATCATCTATAAGTAAATTGAAAAATTAGAATATCAATGATATTTGTAAAAGTCTTTACGTATATTAATACGGGATTATAGTATACTTAAGTACAGTTCGTGAAAAATTAAAATATCAAGCATTTTAGTATAAAGTCTAAGTGACAAATCGTAGCATATAAAAGTCTATACGTATGTTAATACGGTATTATAGTTACACTTTAATACAGTATGATCCTTGATTGAAATTAGGTATAATTTTCAAACTGTATAAACTAATGCATCGCTGTGTTAGAACTGTAAACATTGATGAGTTTGTTCATATGTCCATGCACAAGTTTAAATCAATAACATTAGTGGACTGTGTATTAAGCAAGATATACGAGTATGTTGGCTTAGTAGGTGGATAACAGAATGGTAATCGACGTTGTTATTTACACTTTCACTGCCATGCACAAACGACTCGTTCAGTGCTATTTCCTAGGGATGTAGAGTGTAAAACTGGATATTTTAAATTAGCATACTGATATCCGTAGTTATAGTTAGTTGAATGAATTTAATATAATTCGAGTAGCAAGCAAAGGACTTGGAATACAAATCAATAAGTAGCACTACACCTAATTACGCATTTTACTGTGATACTGCTACTTGGATAGTAAATTAGTCATGCATACAATGGTACGAATAGCAACGACTGCTTAAACTGGAGTCCCTCAATTCGAGCATAATTTGGCCTGGAATTTCTAGAGAATAAGCTAGACTGTAGGCTCTGTTGTATATTAAGCTATACGCGTATATTAATGAGCGAACTATATATGAGTCTACAACTTTGATAGCAGCATTCTAGTTCTTAATCATTTCATCGAGTTTTGATATCGCCTGCAGAGACAGAACTGTTCAGTGTCCAGTGTATTGTATGTACAGTATACTGTATACCATGTAAAGTACAGTACTTATTGTAGTTCAACCAGTATTAAAGACGAAATTGATTGCATCGAGTAGACATTGAACAGTATGTTAATGATTTCATGCATAGATGCTCGTATGCATCAGTATACTACTACATCAAGATGCATTATTGTACATGAAAAGAGAGCATTTGCATCAATATCCAGTACAAATAGTGTACGGCTTGCTTGACTTACGTGGCCGCGACCAGGCTCATCCAACATAACGGGAATACTGTAGCAAGAGTGTACAATTAATGGATAAGGAGCAGCAGTCAGACCTTTAGCGATCAACTTTGCTTTACCAGTCTTTGGATCTTCTAGTAAATAATGATTAGGTTCATCTGTTTTTAGAGTTCCATAGACAAATACTAGTAGTGGGTCCATTCTTGTAAACTTTCTCCAATTTGTTAATTTGAACAAAACTAGCAATAATCTCGTCTCGAGCACATTGGGTATGCGCAGATGACAGCTGTACCGCCGGTTTACCAGGCATGGGCAATTAGGCATGGATACCCTTACCGCCATGGGATAGAATACCTGGTCGTACCCGACTGCCCCTATCGCAAACAGTACTGTCAGTTAGTAGAAGTTTATTAGTGTAGCTTTAGGTAGCACTTCTACTATGAAGACATCGTAAGCATTGTTTAATTACTAGTAATTATATCATCGCTAGTTGTTTAGATTCTATACTTTTGCTAACGCTTTCATGCTATTGGTAGTCCATTTATTGAATACAGACTGTCAAGACTACAAATTGTTTGGTTGTATGAAACTTTGGCGTTGAGTAGAGACAACAGCATGCTTCACTGAGCCTGACGGTGGTGTATACTGTAGTCCATTCATGGTCGGTCTACTAGAAAGTCTTCTTCTAGTAGTCCATGAGTCTACTGTATGATACTGAACGAATTTGCCCGGCACGTTCGTCAGTGATTAGTTAATTATTGATGATATTCCTTAGCAGAAATCTGTCAATACATAGATTGCTATGATAGTCATGCAATCACTGCTGTACTCTTGCATTCCGAGCAATGGACTACTAGATGCACCTGTAACGAATTGTCTATGCCCGGAGCTGCTCCTCCATCTTGGTTAATGAACGTAACTGCGCAAGCTCATTCAATACAGCATAACATGCACAATAGCTGGACTCATGTATCGAACAGTACACTGGGATAATACTAAGAGGAAGATTTAAACCTCTACAGTCTACAGTACGTACCGAACCAATACCAACTTGTAGGGTATAGTATATTGTACTGTAGAAGGCCACGACTCAACTCGCTTTCCGTCTCAGCAGTTTTGTAGTCTAGGCAACCAACCACTGGAGCTGGGCAGGTGTGGACCTGCCCAGCCGACGATTTGACTTTCTACTCTCTGCAACGTAGAATTAGCTGATGGGGTGATTTATGACTGCAGATTAACGAATTCACCCATCGTATCTTGAATCAGAAGTAATATTTATTCCCTCTCCAGCTAATACATTACTGTAAACGTACGCGTAGAATAATAATTAAAGGAGATACCGACGGTGTACAGTGTACACTGTACAGTAGTACAAATTGGACCCAGTTTACATTACTTTCTTGCATGCCACAATCTTGATCAAATTCTTGTTCCACATTGATCACTAACGTTACGACACTTTCTCGAATTCAATTTTGACTTTAGCCCAAATCATTTGCTATCTATCAAGTGCTTTATCATCATAGCATCATGGCTGCTGAAATGGAATGGAGACGAAATCGACAAGGGGATCTCAATTCTCAAAGTTGGCATCCATTTGAGATTAACTCTAAAGTTTACTTAATCAAGTCGTATTTTTCTGAAGAAGATTACGAAGTTTGTTTATACGATCCTAATTATGGATTGTGGTCAGAGAGATTAGATCAAATGGATATTAGGAAACGGTGCAAGGTATCTAATGGTATTTATTAATTAGACTAGCACGCAAAACATCCACTACATTATAGCTATGGACATTTCTTAAAATAAGCAATGCACCATTTCCTATACATGTCATCTTGATTTGTCTGATATTCGTGGTTTACATGACGAATTGTCCTTGCAAATGCCAAACAGCTTAAATTGAACGCTCTTACAACGACTGTTGATTGCATTGGGTGCAATGTAAATTATAACAGACATACTGTATAATAATATACTTGCTCGAAGAAAATTGAAATGTGCAACCACATGTATTGTACCTTTGCTATCACCAACATATTCATCATAGCAGTAGTGTTTAAACTTGCATGATTACATTGAATGTTGTTACAAACGAAAGTAGCATCACGTAAATATAGAAATGTTATAGCGGTTATTAACCACGTAACGTTGCCTTTAATGCAAATGGCCGTTATGGTATAAATCGAAATACTTGTAATTAGTCTTCGGTGCTGAAGAATCCGAATACTGCTTGGATGTTGATCTTAGTACCAACGAACCCATAGACAGTTGACTCTTATTTAAATTCACATAACGCATTTACTTTTGCATATAACAAAGCTCGCATTGCTTTGCTATGTTTATTTTTAGTGCAATAAAATTCGATGTAATTTTCTACTTTTGACTTATAGGTACTTAATCCCAATGTTGAAGCTCCATTACATCAAATCCTGAAACATATTAGCAAGTCGATTGAAATTCAAAAGCCTGACATAAATTACAGTTTGGAATTTCAAGACAATCAGGTTAATATTTTTACTAGCATTCACTACATTCTGAAATAAGCAATAAGAATATATATGTGAATATTGTATAGAGTGTAAACTATTAATGAGGATATGACGCACACCTTATATCAGGAAGGCGATCAAATGGTTATGTTCAGTTTTAGCACTCTCCTAGCTGGGCTTCCATTTAACTGGACATTCCATTGCGAGCTTGCTCATCTCCAAGAGGTATCTGATCAATATTAAACTGAACAACAATTAAATGTATAACTTTTGCAACTGCCTAGTATTATGAATCGTGCATGTATGACTAAAGATCCAATTGTAATTATTAAATAATCCTCTTGTTTTGATTCTCTTAATGTATAGTTAGATTTGCATTTGATACAACCATTATGGATGATGATTAGTGAGTTGCTGAGAAGACAGGAAGAGCTGAAAAAAATCATCGTAAATAAGGATAGAGAGATCGACGATTACAAAAGTACTGGGGCAAGATGCTCAAGAAGTAATAATGTATAAACCAATACTAATCTATTTTCCTGTTACGCCTATATCTTATAACATGGCCAAAAAAACAAACAAATTTAGACGAAGTAAAGTAAACTTGAGTTGTCATCTTTCGTCTGTATAGAACAATTAGAAACTTCTAAATTCGACGAGAAATCTTTTACGAATGAAATGATAACATCAAAGGTATTCCCATTGGCTTTTATTGACTTTACAAGTCTTTATTCCGTTGACAGTATTCTCTAGAATGCTTACAGTAAATGTTACATTCGACCAAAACATGATGTAGCCTTATTACACTTATTACACAGCGATAATATTTCAACTTGTAAATTTATTATTGCAGGATTTTGAAGACCAAATTCGAACTGGTACATCAAAATTTGTAGCTACCAAAGTATCGGAGCTGTACAAACAATTAATGATTAAAAAGACATGGCTTCAAGTCAGAGATAGTTACAATTTTGGTAAGTAATTTTATATTTGTCCTTATTATATAAAGTTGCAGCAATTAAGTTAATGTTTTTCTCTTAAAGATCAAGCTTTTGAAAATAGCTTGTATGATATGTCGGGCACCCAAAGAGAGTCTGCCGCAGTCACTGGCGGAGCTGGCTCATGGCTTAATAAGTTACCACCCTCTTTAATGCCAAATGAAAGTATCTCGCCCGAAAAGAAATCCCCTATAAAAAAGCAGAAAGCGACTATATCTCCACAAGTTACACCTCAAAAGGTAGGAAGTATTTATTTTATTTATGATTGTACGCTAATGCAATGAAATCGCAACTATAAATATTTTCTGCTTTTATCGAAATAGGAGGAAAATGCAGAACTAAAAAGGCGTCTAGAACTAGAACAGAAGCTGGCTAAAAATGCGGAGAAAGTGGCAGCGAAAAAGAAAAAGAAATTAAAATTTTAAATTAAGCTGAAATAAATTTTGTGATTCGTTGTGAATTTTATTTAGGCGATCAAGAAGATAGATTTAGATGTACGTAATTAATTAACTTTTATACGTGTGTGTCTTTGATTTTCCGTACTTGCGTATTGTAAAAATAACAACTGGTATCGACGCTGTTAGTCAGAATACAGTGCTTATATATTTTTTGCAAATTTCAGTTGTATCATTATTGTGAGATGATTGATAGTTTGAAATTCCATTCGTGCTTTAGCTTGAACACTGAATTTATTCTAACAGTTCTATGGAGTACAAAGAATTTAAAATATATTTAGCAGTTTAGATGTTATTTCGCAAATCTTTAATGCAGGTATTGTATGAAAATAGCGATTTCATGAAAATTATCAGCGCCTTGAATCAAGTGTGTAAGAATTTGTGATATGTAAAAATAACTAATTCTAAAATTTTAACATCTATGTTCAATGTATTGGACTTTGTTTCATTTTGTTCTATTATAAACTGTTGATTGTTTGAAAGTATCTCTAGCGGTTGAAGTTGTAGGAATTGGTGTTAATAAAGCAATCAAGTATTGCTTTCAATAGATATTTTACATGTTATGTATAGGAGATGCTTTGACGTATTTATTATAATTTCATCGCACAGAAAAATATTGTGAGATAATGGCTATATTTTTTCTGCACTCTCTGATACTGTAACTAGTATGGCTATTCAATGCAATTTTTTCGTAAAAATTAAAGGCAAATTTGTTCATTTCACCGAATCTAATGTCTTTACAATTTTAATAATCTGCTAAGTCTCTGTATCAAATTATTTTCGTTAACAATTTAGTAACTTACAAATTGAATTTCTTGAAAATTTTGTAGAAGCAAAATTAAAGCATAAGAATAAGTATGATTATATTTATTTTAAACATCATAAAATGCAAGTGTAGCAAAAATAGTTTACCTTTAAAAGATATACGTTGATACATTCAAAATGAAGCCTTATTAAATACGACTTACTACTGATAATTCGTCAATGACTGATATCGACACGATTATAAAAATGATATCAGCCATCTTGTAATAAAATTGACTGTAATAAAAATATTTTTGAGCCGTTAGAAATGAGTTATTATGCTATGAAACTACGGTCCTAGACCGCCGATAACATTTTTCGTTGAACTCCTCAATATCTTATCGAAATTTGCTACTATGGCCTAGTTATAAATTTATTTGACTGATCGGGCATATAGATTTTCTATGATAAATAATTGTATGTACGTACATGTTGATAAATCATTTAGATAAAATTATCTTGACTGTAATTTTGTTGCTACATGAATAAAATAGATGCAATTACTTCGGATATCACGCTATATAGAACGAGTAATCAGTAACAACAAGTAGTTCTGATAAATGCGTTTAAACCCATATTGAAACATAAATATTGAAACATAAATATTCCGTCAAATCCAAGTGCTACAAATAATCAGAACTGCATCTAGCTGTAGTAAATTGTTCTAGGAATTACTATTTTCAGATTAGTTAGTAATATTGCTATTATTTGATACATGTCAAGAAACAGTAAACAGTGCCATTATAATGTTTACAGCAACACTGTTGGAAGGCATTAGGATCAACTATTGTATCACTTAAACTAGTCAATATCAATGAAAATAGTATGTTGGACAGCCATGTATAATTTGCCGTTTACCAGATCTTGAATTTTCACGCAAATCAGGCGATATTTCAGAATAAGTCTGATTAAATCTTCTGTGCATATCAGACTTACTGAAGCCAGGCCTTGAATCATCAGCGGTTGGCCTTTCTCGTAAATGAGATAAGATATCCGGGGACTTTTGTACTGTATTACTACTGTTTATAATCGCTGTTTTGCTGGAGTTATCTTCATTGACTATGGTTACCTTATCTGAGATTTTTACTACTTTTGGAGATCGTTTATATTCATCACCATTATCATCATCATTTTCCAACTTGACTTCTCTGCTATTACCTTGATCTTTGCAAATGGAGCTGTTCTTGTTACCGGTCGACACTGGAGACGCTGCTTGCGACATATCATCATCTATAACATTATTGTCAATACCACAAAATATTAAACATCGTATAGAAGGTTTCTTCAATTTATTTAATTCCTGTCTATTTATATAACAATGAATAAGCTATTCTAGATTACCAGTCTTATTAGCATCCTCATCTTCATTATCTGACACGTAAACTTCAGAATAGAAATTTCCTATGAAAAGTTGGCCTCGGTTCTTCTTCATTCGATTTGCAGTCTATATAGTCGTATACGCAATAATAAGTGTATTAAAATGATAAAATTACTTTCTTAAGTATGATTTATTTCCTATTTTGCCTTAATAAGTGAGATAGCCTTTAATATTACTAGTATATTACGATAAATATATCAGGTAGGTTAGTGATATATACCGATCACGAAATTCCAAAACTTTAGAAAAATAAGGGCTTTATTGAATCTTATACAAAGATTAACTACACATAGCTCTACTCTAGCCGAATACTACTACGAAAGACTTCTAGAACGAACTAACAGAATAATCTAAAGTTGCATACTTTTATACTTTCCGTAGCGTTCGCAACTACAATCCGCATGGCAACCTTTTACCTTATTTTACACATAGTTAAATTATTCTTAGTAACACTATTCTACTGCGGACCACCATTAATCCAATATGGATACGACTGTAGTACTTACGTAGACATTATTCACACCATCCAAAGTACAATGAATTAACCATATCCTAATATATGATTTACAGTTCTATTTTTACCTATAAGCTTATTAGTAACTCAACAGCTTACTGTATATAGTCATCTGTACTCTAGCATAGAGTCTATACCACTACAGTCTATAGTTGTAGCTACCAAATATCTCTTAGGATAAATATCTACCGTACATTATATTAAACATGGCTAACAGTCTACAATACTAGTTACATTACAAGATTGTAATAGAGTCTTTAGAAATGGATCATCTACTCTTTAATTACCTCTGTTGTCACATCACCCTTCCGATGAATTTTTAAAACATTTGGTACGTGACTACTATATTTGCTTTGATACGTCGTAGTCATAAGCGATTTGCGAACATCAATAAGAGTATCAGCAGTTCGAGGAGAGATTGCTAGATTACCATCTCGAGGTCGAGGATTAGGTGCAATAGACTTGGGTGGTGCAGGGTAAATTTGCTGACGGACAGGTGTATTTGGGCCACTATAAATCTACCAAGTGCAAAAGTAAATGATGAAATATTGAAGATATTATTAAATAATTAGCAATTTAGCTTTGCTAAGCAGTCTAATCTTACTTGATAAACACTTTCTCCATGCCAAGTTAATGCTTTTCTATGAAGTGGATGCTCTCCATTTTGTACTATTTCGTGTCGCCAAGGTGATCCTTTAGTTTTACCACGTATGATTTGCTCTGATGGTTGGGTAGCAATGGTTGAGGGTACCGGAGGGGGTCCACCATAAGGTGTCGATGCTACAGCTAAGCGTCCATTGGCCTCATCAGGAGAAACCGGAGAAGGAAATATTGATAGTTTGGAAATATGCGAAGCATATGGATGTTCTCGGGGTAAGGGATGCTTAACCTGAATATTACTAATAAAAATGTTTAATTATTTATAGACTAGGAAAAAATTTTAATTTCGGAAGTATCAATTACAGTAATGTCGGTAAAACTGATGAGTAAAGGATACACTTATGAGGATATATGTTAGAAGAAAATTATGGCAGTCGATTGCTTACACTAAGTCTGCTGTCAGCGGTTTAGGAACTCTACAAAAGCCAATATGAAAAGAAAGAAAATAGCAAAATTAGGACAGAATTATCAACAATATTTTGTAAAGTTTTCGAATCAGCAATCATTTCTTACAGTTCATCTGTTTTCCTTAAGCGACTTAGTTGAGATCCTGTGCGACAGTAATTCTGCTGAACAGGTGTGCTATCGTAAATCATTAGAAACAACATAAATTTTTCTGAATCCTCGTAAAGGCTATGGTAAAATAGAATTGTTATGAAAGTTTGATTTTACGTTGGGAAAGGTATAATTCCGCTACCATAATGCTTATGACCCTTTTCTACTCTAGTTGGTGGCTCTTCCTTTGGTCTATGTCCTGGTGGTAGAAATAACGGTCCAATTCCAGCGTAGCTGTGATGTCTTCCCCACGGGGTTTTAGTCGCTCGTCCCCATTTCTCGTAGTAAGTTCGATATCTAATTAAAAACATAAATACTTTTGAATATTCTATAATTTAATACTTGCATATCTTGATGAGTGCTAATAGCCAATTTTGTTAAAATTTCACATGAAGATAAATATCAATAAAGTAGTGTTTCAATAGCAGAAAGAGTGTGATTGGACAATCTCATACTGTGATTCAGATACAGTTTCTCTTTGCGGTGATTGTAGCGGTGTGAATATCTGGTTGGATTGATAAGTTGGCGATAAAACTGGCACGGCAATTGTTTCCTTGTACAGCTCTCGCATTCTATTTGCTGTATAATCCATGATTAAACTGTGTTGACGTCAAATTAATAGATAAATTCTTCATGAAATGTAATAACTATCTAAGATAGATTTTAATCAATAATGGCATATATCAGGAAAAAAAGAAGTTGTAATCTTATTATATTACATGATAAGGAAGAAATTTTTTTAAAATCGATACATTCCTCTAAATTGATATTTAGTAAGCTTAATTTGATACAGCACTCTCATACAATTTTGACTGATAGCATCTCTTTGAGCTCGATGGTTGTCATAGTAACGAAACGCGATCGACGTAACCGATCGTCTGGATATCCGGCAATCCGTATGTTCTGTCTCCGTACATACAAAAGTAATAAATACATCAACATCAATATCATAAATTTATATAGAAAGGAGTGTACGAGTATAAAATATTTCTCCTTATACCATTTTGCTTCAATATTACCTCAGAAGTTCCGTAGAAGATCATAGAATTACTGATTTCTATAGATAAACGTACAGATAATGAATATTATAGCGTTATATACGTATGTTAAGTCTAAAGCCGAATCTCGACTATTATAATTATGTATAATAGCCGCTAAAGTCTAAATTAAGAGTACACATAGTATAAGAAAGGTTACTAGTTAAAGAGAAAGAAAAAAACTACATTTAGTCCTTTCCGGCCATACTACTTCATAAGTACAGAACTGTAGCTCTAGTGATTTGGATCAAAGAAGCCACTTATATGGTTACGGCAAAGTATATTATGAAATAATATTATATTAAATACTAAAGATATTTCTTCTATTCTCATCAGTGATTAATTAACTAGAGAAGTACCATCTAACGATATTGCAATTCTGAGAACAGTTACGGCCTGTACTGTTGCGGAAATTAAACCCAGCTTACCTTAAATCAGGAATATTCAACTATAATAATAGAACTAGGATTTATTGTGCCTGATCAAGCTTAGGTTCTTTTTGAGGATGCACTTTCATAATTAGTTCATTGTTTAAAAGTAATATAAAATTTGTCCCCCTTACACGATAATGTGTATTGATTTCATTGGTAAAACAGCAACTATAAAGAAAAAATTTAGCTATTATCGGTAATAGCGGTAGCTTGAAAATTTTTTAGATAACATTCAAGAAATAGGATGCTCAGCTCGGTTGAAACAATTTATGTATCAACTATGTTAAGGTGCTGAGTGATAGCATTAATTAACAAACTGTAATTATTAAAGGATATTTTAATTTTCCACCAATTCTATCGTCGCGCAATCACTGCTTGTACAATAAATACGCAACTTGATATTTGACTTTAAGCTCACTGAAATATTTTTAGATAAACGGTAAAAGGGATATGAAGTAGAGCTTGGCCATCTAACTAGTAGTCCCTAAGCTGATTGATAGGATAAAATTAAGGAATAAAGAGAATAATGGGAACAAATAAAATTGGAGTTGTTGGAACAATAATAAAATTATACAATTACTTCTAACATTTAGCTTCAGAGGATAACTAGAGATATTTAACATCCATTGTACGATATGGTAGCACATACACGTATGCATAGTTTGAAAATTACGCGGATACTAGAACGCATGGCGGATTAAAATTGTTCGTAAAATAGGCGATAATAAGATCAACTCTCCATAACTTACTTGAGTAATATTTTCATAATTAAGTGTATGATACTACCAAATTGTAACTGAAATAAGAATTAATGGAGTTGTTACAATTCATAAGTACATAGATCTACTAAAAGTGACTTGATTATTAAATAAAGTTTAGCAGGTAACGTGGCATTCTCGAAATTCCCTGAGAAAAAATAACGATAATTAATAAATGATTAATATTGAGTAACGCAAATATAAAATATTAGTTGTCAAGTCAAATTATTTGGATAAGAAATTGCTATAACTAGTCCTTAGAATCGACCAAAAGCATAGAAATACTAGTTTCAACATCATACATCATCCTGTAATAGCAGGGAATAACAATAAAGCTGATTAAATTATTTAATTGCGTAATTAATTATATAGGTGAAATAATAGATGTTTGAAAAATGCTGTTAGGCCCTTAACCAACTAATTAATATCAATCATGAAAGAAATAATTTGATTTCTTGTAGATATTTTCCCATTTAACAAATGGCTGCCCAAAGAGTTTTTGCAGTGCGTTCTATTGACGCTAAGCATGTCTACTAATGGTATTGCGTAAACTAAGCAAATCTATGAGAATGAAAAAGAATAATAAACAAATCGAATCCTTAGCTGGGCTTACTTCACTAAAGAATATAAATAAGAAAAAAAGATTTTCAATTTTCTTTCGTTATTGATTCATAATTGTATTTGCAAGAGAATTATTTTTAAGAGAAAGCTTATTGAACCGTGAAATAAATATGAAATTCAATTAATGCAATGATGCATGAAATTATTTCATTTGATTTGTAGAATAATTTTATGCTGGGTAATCAATTTATTGTCTTGCGATTGAGTTTCACTTTTATTTTGGATTAATTTTACATTCATGACAAATATTCGGTTCTTAGAATCGAAACTAAGCTTCAATGAGGCATTTCTTAATTCATAGGAATTCTCTTGATCTAATGGAACTTTACTAATCTATTCATGGAGTTTCTGTTGTAGTTCTTATCCTGATATTATATACAGTTGTGATATATACCAATCACGAAATTCCAATTTTTAGAAAAATAAGGGCTTTATTGAATCTTATACAAAGATTAACTACACAGCTCTACTCTAGCCGAATACTACTTCTAAAGACTTCTAGAACGAACTAACAGAATAATCTAAAGTTGCATGCTTTTATACTTTTCGTAGCATTCGCAGCTACAACCCGCATGGCAACCTTTTACCTTATTTTACACATAGTTAAATTATTCTTAGTAAGACTATTCTACTGCGGACCATCATTAATCCAATATGGATACGACTACAGTACTTACGTAGACATTATTCACACCAGCCAAAGTACAATGAATTAACCATATCCTAATATATGATTTACAGTTCTATTTTTACCTACAGCCATATTAGTAACTCAACAGCTTACTGTATATCCTTCTAAGGTATAGAATCATTATAGAACTAAATACTCTTCATGAAAAGATTTAAGAGTTTGAAAGTTTAGATTAAAATTCTAATCGATTTACTCAGACTTTAATATCGTTAGTAACTATATAAGAGATGCAATTAATTTCGATAGAAATATTTCAAATCTTAGATTACTAAAAGTTTCATCAACCTGAAAACTTGGATCTAGTATGGTTATGTTGATGGATTAACGAACTTCCACTGTTGTAATGTAACTTAGTATTGTGATTGTAGACTGTTAGCCATGTGTAGTATAATGTACGGTAGATATTTATCCTAAGAGATATTTGGTAGCTGTAACTATAGACTGTAGTGGTAGAGACTCTATGCTAGAGTACAGATGACTATATTCTAACAGATTAGAATATTTTGAATCGAATGAGTCATTACTTCTCTATTGCAGTCTCCATAGCGGCATGGTAGTTTGAATAAATAAAGCTTTTTCTCAATTTAAATTTTCAAGACTTGTAACCTCATCATAAATAATTAAGACTAGGGCATTTTTAGTCTAATGAAAAGCTTATTTCATAAAACAAAATGTAGCCGCAATTATGCCAATTCTATCCAGTTATTATATGCAAGATTGAAAACTACATTATCATCTAGACTTGAATAGATAATGAACACCTGGATTCTTGCAGTCTATCAAATTCGTCATCATATCAACACATCAATTGGTGCATTATCATTATTCGGATTTAGAAAGAAATATTTCAACCAGAGGAAGTAAAAACAGCTTCGACTTTCTAATTAAGAAATAATGAAGAAAAGCTAATAATAGTATAGTTGCCGAGTACTAAAATGGATCTAGGGAATAGAGATCGTATAATTGCTATCCTTTGCTCTAAGCAAATAAAAGTAGAAAAAGAAATAACTGACGTGATCTGAACTACAATGTAATTCATTGCAACAACATTTTCGAGATATGTTATCTCTAATAAACAAAAAATTGGTAATACAATACTCGGGATATCTGCTTAATGCCGTCGATGTGATAGATTTTGAAAGAGAATCAACTTCTATCATGAATTACAGGACGACAGTGATGGAATAAGTATCTGTGGTCACACTCTGTCTGTGACTCAAAACAATACGTATGAAAAGAATTAAATGTTATTAATGACTAAATAACTAGCTATTAATAATTTATTCTTTCAAAGCTATAGTTTGAAATTTGAGAGAAAAATGTTTGCTAGTGTTACGTTATTACATCTTGAATATGTATGATGAATATTCGTTTTCTACATGACTTATAGTGAATTGAAAAACTAGGCTAAAATAAGTAATGTTTATATGAATTTCTTCAACACCCAGAAGTTATACGATGCTACATGCTATGTATAATTATATAATTGATAAGCTACAGAATGGGTCATTTTTATTCATATGTGTGCAGCGTGGTACAATTCATATTGATTTTGACTTATGAAATCTTCCAGTACGATATTGCCAAATTTACTTCAAATAAATGCGTCGTAGCGTGTAGATGAAATAGCCCGTCAAGTTATATGTGCTAGGATTTTGCCAAAGTTATGATAGCTTAAAATTAGTATACTGCATTTAGCTCGAATTTTGATATGAATATGAAAAATATCAGCAATACATTTATAAAAATCTAGGTATACTACATCATCTTCTAGTTAATTTAGCATATTACGTGCATGCACCATTTTAAAAGAAGTGAATTATCAAATTCTGCTTCATAAAGACTTTGTGAGGTTATAAATATTTGAAATTGATTGTAACATTTCAAATACGAAGTCTGATCTCTATTTTAAAGGCTAATTATATTATATATAGTTTGGATTTGGTTATTTAATTAACTAAATATTTTGCATTTAGAAAATTGTTAATTCCGCTCATTACATCGATTGTCTGCTTGCACTCAAGCACATCAAAGTTAATGATTGATGATCAATT